ATCGACAAGAACGGTGATCAGGAATCGATCGGTTTGTTTACCTCATAAACGTGACCGCTGACCAGCTGCTGAGTGAAAACAGTACGGTTCAGTGGCGAGGGGCGGGGTGAGGGGTGCACATATGCATTAAAGTATCATGATAAACATTGGGATTCTCAGTCTTAATGCGAAGGCATGCTTCGTGTTGCAGACTTTTTTTATTTTATTTAGTATTCTTTTTTATTTCAAATACATTTCGTTCCAAATAGGACTAGCATCAGTTCATAGATTTAAAAACAAATCTTTACCACGTAAATAAATGTGTTTAGATAATCGAGATAACCATTGAACCTATTGTATCGCACCGGAAATAACGTTTCTTGTCTTTGCCCAACTCTGAGAGCGTGGAGCGGCAAAGACGCGAGATACGAGTCTCGCGTCTCGCGGCTTCTCCATGCTCACAGGATACGCGTGACCTCACTATCTTTAAGAAAAATAAGAGACTGCTCGAAGTCTGTATTCCGTTCAACCATTTCATAAGAGTGACGCGAGTCTTTCAGTTGAGTGAGAAAGTCACAAACCCATTCTTTACCTTACGAGCGTAACCACTGACCACTCACGAATTACAATAGGCTTCTCCTTTGACGCGGAAATTGAATTCGTATCGAATATACAAAGTTATAGTGAGTTCCTTTAGATCTCCCGAACTTGTATCGCGTTGGAAACAATTACAAGTACGGGAAGAAGTCGTTCATTAGCGAGACGTTCATTATGTCTCAGGACTCCTTTTTGAATAGCAAAGATGGAAAAAACTTTGGTTCATCGTGTAGCTTAAGTGGTTTGGTACGACTGTCTGAATGCAATGACGAAGTAAAACATCATTTGATAAGCTGCTACCTGTCTAAAGAGGTTTTTAAGTGAAAATGAGCTAATCTTGGCAAAGATTGGCCTATTTCACCTCGCTTAGGAGGATAAACAAAAAAATGTGGATTTGCTATAGGCATCGCCACACTCTGGGGAAGTTTTGGAGAAGTGCAAAGGTAACATGTCAGTATCCTGATCATGATGGTGTCAGGAAGCGTATCCAAGGCAGAGATGTAATTACCTTGCATATGTCTCAGGACATTCAAAAGCTGTTTGGAGTTATTATTCCAGTTGAATCAGGTAGTCTTCAGTAACATTTTCTGTTATCTATTTTTGTCACGTGACATATCTGCTCGTAAAGAGGAGAAATTCTTTATTAGATGAAGGGTACTTAAGTACACATCACGTTGAAAAAAACCAGATCTATGTGTAAGTGCTTTTAATTACAGATGGAAATATGTACAATGTTGCTCGGTTGATAATCAATAATGTTTTTGTAGAAGATCAAATCACCTGACAACGCAATATACTTACTCATGCGTACGGTTCACAATTATTTGCGGTCAGTTTTCCTCAGTTTGTATGATTCTCATTAACCAGTATGATTAAATTTGCAGACTAAAACACCCCTTATTTGATTAAGAATAATAAAAGTAAACAGTGCAGGTCGGTTTTTAATTCCTGATGGATGCTACTGGGCTTTACTTTAACTGAGAAATTTGCAATCGCTTACCTCAGCTCTCTGTGTCCCATGCCGTAAGAAGCACAAGAAAAAAGTTGATGATAGTTAGTCTTGGCTAAGACAAGAAGAATCAGAGAAGAATCTACGGTCCCCAGAAACGCCACTTTTAAACACGATACAACTAAGGTAAATTGAATTAAGTGTTATTTGTTTTATTTAAAACTATCGTTCAGATTATAAGATACGCGAAAAACTCTCCCCACCGATTTTTTCTTACACTCTGTTAATCAAAAGTTTCAATAATTATAAAGGCTTTCTTGTTGATCGTCTTAATAGTAACAGTTTCCAGGATCCAAGGGGAGCAAAAGAGAGAACAATTTTCTGTGTAGCTAGATAAGGCGACATAACGATAACGATAATGATGACAACAATGGGCAAAAAGCACCGTCCGCTAATGATGACGATTATCATAGTTATTAACAAATCTCAGTTATAGTCCTGAAAAAAATATAAAGGTGTCCTTTGAAAAATCCACTTAGTCTCGCCAGAAGTCAAAGTTGCCTACACTCATTCTAAGGTTCGTGCGATTTTACGACGAATTTTCAATTCCGGTGTGTTGCATGCGCGACTTTTGATAGAAAAAACCTGCACGCTTTAACTTAAAAGAACGTGTCAGCGGAATGAATCAAATCTCTATCACTTTGCATACATTCTTGGGAACAGAAAAAAATTACTTAGAGCAAACATTCTAAGTATAGTGCTCATTCCGTGCAATGGGGCATAAATAAAAGGTTCTGGTGTAAAAGACACCTTATTTTATACTACTGATGACAAGCAAAAAGGTTATATGGGTACCCGGTTAAAAATATATTGATAACTCTATTAATTAATACCAGTTCTAATTTAAAGGAGAAAGTTATGAGAATAAAATAAAAGTTGTCTGTACCACGAAGCATGCCTTCACTGTTTAGACTGATAGTCCTAGAGCTTTTTGAGCATGTATTCGAATATCTTATGACGATAAGCCCGCCACCCACCCCACCCCGCGCTATGCTGTTTTCACTTAGCGGCTGGTCGGCGGTCACGTTTATGAGGTAAACAAACCGATCGATTCCTGATCACCGTTCTTGTCGATCGGAAAATCAAAATACCAGCGTGATATTGCCGCGAAGATGGAGCAGTTATGTTACTTGATTCGTACTTCACATTCGAGTCGAAGCTTGGGTGGCACAGGTTATTTCTTGCGGTGGAATCGACGAGGGGAACTCTAACACTAGTTGTAGTGTTTGAATTGTTGAAAGACATGGTCGCATGGGGATTGAAAGTTTAACGAACAATTTCAAATTTTGCCGCTTGAATTAAAAGTGAAGTTCATGTGAATTGCTTTCGTATGTATTTCTGACGGTTTTAGATCTACCCGCTTGATTTATATCGGTTACGCTTCATGTTGACAAGTCCCTCAAAATGGCGGCCAAACTTGGAGATTGCCGAAAATTAGGTAAGTTCACGGAGTTATAAAGTTCTCGTAAAGGTCGGGTCGCAAAGTTTTTTTCTGTAGTTACCTTTTCTGTGGCACCTACTTCCTAGCTATGTTAGTTGGATCAGTTAAGAACGCCTCACTTTTTCAAAAATTTACCTTGAATTTGATCGGTTTTGGCGTGTGTGATTTAGGCGAACCGATAAGGTGTCATTCGAATCTTCCTGTTTCCTTGATTGACACGTGATGTTTACGAAAGTCACCTCGATAGATAACATAGAGTTAATATACATGCCTGTGGTATTTGTTTTTTGCTGAGTTCCGTAGTTTTTTGTAAATTGTCCTCCAAAGTTGTATGAAATTAAAGTCTTGAAAAGTGTCACGACAAGCTTTCGCTCGAGTGAAATTTAATTTCCGTAAAACTCTGAAAAATAAAGAGATCCGATCAAACTGATTGAGGTTTTAGTATAGGTACATGAATGTCTTACAACACACGAGAAACGAGCGAAATCCGTGTCTCAAGCAAAATCGACCGGACCGCTCTTACAGAGACACTCTCTTAAGTCATCTGACTATTTAAATATAAGCGACACCTAGATTGACATTTTATCAAAATATGCCTGTCCTTGCAAATATATTAGGATGCTCATTGGCCGAGATGACGTAAATTAATCCCAAACAGTGCAAAATGTTGAAATTTAATTGATTGAATTCGGCAAAAGTACAACGAAACAAAATGGCGGAAAGGTGAAGAGAAAGTCGCAACGTTTTGATTCAGAGTTTGAAGGAAAATGCTTAAAACAAAAACACCCAAAAATAACCAAAGCAAAAAAAAAATCGACTAAAAGTCTGAAAGTATTGGGCTTCCAAAAGCGAGTATGAAGGTATGAACTGAAGGCCCTTAATAGGACTTCTTAAGAAATTTGTGCTGAACACCACAGAGGGGCAGGTCTGATCTGTTTGACGACAAGATCAAATTTTTTAGGTGGTTCAGGATGGATGATAACGCGTAAGCGCTTGCATTTCAACTATTTCCTCTTTGCGATCCTGAAAGACTGTGTTTACGTCGTTACGCTGGGATTGCAGCACAGGCCTCAAGCTTAAGGATTCAAAATGAGGCATAGGATAGCATAAGAACGAATGAAGCAGTATGCAAATTGACAGAGAGGCTTCGCTCTTGTTTGATATTTTCGCGTAACAACAGACAGCAAATTTTAAGTCATTTGACCCTTTACAACCTAATATTAGTACAAGTATTCTCCATTGTGTTCTGAATACATTTCCTATGGTGCTGGAAAGGAGAATGTAGAGGCCTAAAGGTAAACTGTCAATCTCTTCACTTTTATCTGGACAAAGAGGCCTAAGGCTCCCTGTTTGACAGTTAAGCAGTTGACAGTTAAATAAAAGCGACATTTAGATTGAAATTTTAAAATAATATACCTGTCCTTGCAAAAATATCAGCATGGTCATCGGCTGAGAACATTTGAATTAATCCGAAACAGTACAAAATGTTGAAATTTAATTGATTGAAGTCGGCCAAAGCACAACAAAACAAAATGGCGGAAAGGTGAAGAAAAAGTCGCAACGTTTTGATTCAGAGTTTTAGGGAGAATGCGTAAAAAAATAAAAAACCCAGAAGGTAACAAAAAGACTGGCCAAAAGTCTGCAAGTATTGGGCTTCCAAAGGCGAGTATGAAAGTATGAAGTGAAGGCCCCCAATAGGAACTCTTAAGAAACTTGCTGCACTTGACTTGAATGTGCTAACCGCTACAGAGGACGGGATGAAGTTATTAGGTGGTTCAAGATGGATGATAACGCGAAAGCGCTTACACTTGAACTACTGTCTCCTCTTTGCGATCTTGAAGAACTGTGTTTACATCGTTACGCTTGGATTGTAGCACAGGCCCTGAGCCGTCAAAGATTCAAAATGAGGCATAGGATGGCATAAGAACGAATGAAGCAGCATGCAGGTTGACAGAAAAGACTTCGCTCTTGTTTGATATTTTTTTTCCAGTTTTAATTCTTTCTTGACACTTCTGACCTCCTATTCATAGCTCGCTGATATATTCTCGAGAAAATTATTTTAATCTCTTAACTCTTTTTCCTTTTCGAGAAAGAGAAAGAACTCATTGTTGTCCTGTAAGTTGAATTGGACCTTTTACTGTGGCTCATTTTCTTACGCGGTTTGAGACTGTACTTTTTTATCTAGTGCCTAAATAGGTTTCTTACACTCTAATTCTACATTCGAAGAATTGTCAGTCCTGGATATCGAACAGTTGATACGATGTATTCTTTTCCTCGTCGCTACCGTAACAGCGAACAGACGGTGTACCCTTGGAAATGTAGACGGACTAACGCTCGAAACGTCAGCTTTTTAGCTCTTTACGATGGCAAATTTACGTTATCAACACAGTTGATAAGACTAAATTACCCTGTTACACACTCCCACCGACGCAGCACCACAGTTGCTTTAGAAAGTTACCCCCTTTACCCATGCATGGCAATACCAAATATACCACACTTAAGCCTAGTCTAGCGACCTGAACCAGTAATGGAATAACGAGCACAGGGCCCTTACGAAGGAGGAGATCAGGGGCTGCAAAAACTTTCTTTATATCCACATCGGGTGAAAAGGAATTAAGGTCCGCGATGACATGAGAACAATTGAACTGAAGTCAAACCCGTGTTTTCAACGAATTCGATTAACTCAGTAGAATCTTCAAACATAGAAGGCATGTGTAAGTTTATCGTAAGAAGTTCATCAACAAAAATACTTATAGGCCAAGTAATGTACGAGTGAGAGGCAGCAATGGGTCGTCCTACCGTAGGTTTCTTATTTAGACGAACGAGACGCTTTAAAGGTGTTGCCTTGAGCTTTCTTAGGCGATTTTACACGGAACGCTTAGGAATTTTTGTCAATCAGGCCCGTTTTGTTGAAGGGTAGATAGCACTATGCATTGGATAAACCACACTGAAGTGGAAGACTCAATCGGTGTTGATAGTGCTTATCCGGTGAATAGTGATTTCTGCGGTCGTACTGAAATTGATCATATCAGTATACCAGCATACGAAATATAACTCATTCTGTAGGCATTCTGGAATCTTTAAACCTGCAGTGATCACAAGCCGGTATCTGTTTTTTTAACATGAGCCATGTGAGAAAAGATAGCAAACTAGCAAACTAAATGTGTCAAGTTTTGTTTTTTTGCTCAGCCTTTAAGCTATGTTTTGTCGCTATAAAAAGTGCGTAAAGTTCCAATTTTAGGAACTTTACATAAAAAAAAGCAATAAAAAAAAACAGAAACAAAAACTAAGGAGCTCTAGAGGATCGAAAATTGTGAATCAATTAGTACTTGTTCTAGTTTTTCTAGTGAAGTCAGTGGTATGGGTGTTTCATCAACATACATACAGCCTGTAATTCTCCTTGCATGACTTTTGAATGACATGTCTTGCATATTTATTCTTTACCATCAAATGATTGTTGAACATTGAAAAATGTTTGGCGGGGTACTTGTTGTTTATGCACCTCATTACTGAGTTTTTATAAAGTATTCGATTACAGAAAGTACATATGAAATAAGAGCCTTCTCTTATTTTCCTCTTAAAGTGTTTAATACATGATTCGAGAGATGTGGCTTTGTCTTTGATTTTCTTCTTTTCTTTTATTTAATAGATCTCTTTTAGCTTCTTTATCCATTGATTCGTATTCTTCTGTGCGTTTCTGAAATAATTCTTTTTTCTTTGTCGCATCCATGGATTAATATGTTTCTTTATGTTTGTGAAGTAATTTTTTTTCTCTATACCATCTAAAGATCGGTAAAAGTTTTGTCTGCGTTTGCGAGATAATTCTTTCTTTTTTGTTGGATCCATTGTTGAATACCTCTTTTGAATCTCTTGCTGTCATACAGATGTTTTTTCTGTGTTTTCTCACCATATTTTTCCTTTCATTTTCACTAATTTCACAAGAACAGCAAATAAATTGTATATCATACTCTGTAGTCTGACATTGCTGTTTATTTTGAATAATATGAATTCCTTCTACAAGTTTTTTTACACCACTGATGTGTTTTATGTGTTTCATTGCAAGTGAATTACCATCTTCATATGTTAGAAGTGAAAGCAATCTTACTGTAGTATGATAAATACAAGCTAGACAGTAACTTGAAATCCACATTAAAAATTCTGTTTTCCCATTGTTCCTTAAAACCAAGGCCGTTACAGATATCCTGCTTTCAGCTAATTAAGTTAATTTTCTGTGACTTAGTTTATAAACATCTTCATTTATTTTCATGCCAAAAATGTAACACTATTAGGAATATAAATAGATGCTAAATGATGTTCACTTTGCATTGTATTGTTAAGCCGAGATCCATTTTGAATAATTGCATCTAAAGTATTTGATTTCCAGTAACCACAAGGTGAAATGATTGAGTAACATAGAATAAAGAGCTTTTGCAAAGCAGTGGTGGTTTCTGAAACAATTCTGTTGATCTGATGGTGTATTTAATACATCTTTTACACTGTTGCTCGCGGTCATGTCATATTTTGTAATATGTAAACCTTTCAGTTTATACACATCATAAACTTTGAAAGTATTGCACTAAGTTGTCTGCAAATGATATATCTAATAGTATGCATGTCCCTTCAGGATGACTCTTACCATACTTTTAACACTTTAAAATGGCGATTGTCAGCACAGTAAACAATACTGACAGCAATACAACCAACTGTAAAAATAAGCGATCTGTATTGTTCTGATATCAGTGACTCAAAAGCTATTTTCAGGCCTATGCAGTATTGATATCCCTTAATAGCAGTCTCACCATGGACATTATCAGTGTAACTCGTACTGTATTCTAGCTGGTAATTTTCCTGCAATACTATAAGCATTGTTGGTAATTCTGTTAGCAGTGAAAATGATTGTCTTGATAGTTTTGACAAACTGCTGTATATTTGATTGCCAATATGCATTATCTGTTTCAAGTGACCAGGGTTACTTATTCCTTTCATATTGTGGTATATTAAAGCACACAAACTCATTGCAACACATTGTTGTCCTGCATTTTTCCCAAATACAATAACATCCCCTTGACTATATGGTGCTACTATTGTTTTACTGGGGCTAACATGGTGCATAACAGGACCAGGGTTTTCCTCTACATCATTACAAAGCTTGTACTTTGTACAATTGCCTCTATGAGTTAGACTCTTGTCCTTATTATATGGGAAATTACACGAAAACAACCTTAAGTATTTGAAATATTTCTTTCCATGTTTAGCTGTGTTTGACTTGTTAACAAATCTCATTGCAGTATTGACTTTTCTTGTTCTAAAAATTGGTTTCCTTCTCATTTCTTGTACAAGCCTGACACTTGTTTTGTGTCTACTTCTCCTTCGTGTTGCAACATTCTTAATAAGACGATGAACTTTCGATCATTTGGGTAGGTTTTTCCTCAATCGGCTTCATACATAACTCTGTAATTTTCTGCTTTTCTGAGAGAGACGTTTCAACATGCTAACTGGTACTCTGCTTGGTTCACGATCACGTTTGTAGCAATGACATTCACATACAACTCGACTACAATTATAATATACATACTTTGCATAACAAGATCTGAATTCCTGTACTTTTATTGACACTAGAACATCATTATGTTCATGTACTTTAGTCAAATTGATAACTTTTTCTAGTATATCACAGTTATCAAGAGAATTTAACATGTCCTCTACCAAGCACGTGCAACTCCATGCGCAGTGCAAACCAATATTCTATATCCTGGTGTACCGGTTAACGAAAATATGTCCTGGTGTGCCGGTTAACGAAATTTGCGTGACATCGGTAAATAGAATGATAATACAACAATAGCAGTGATAAAGCTAGCAATATCAAGTTGATCACAATAAAAATAAACAAAACAGTCACGATATTTAACACAAGAGTTAAGCTGAGAAATTCACAGTTAAAGTTGTTTCGTTGAACATCCTTCTCTTTATCCAATGTGGTGCTTTGCTTGTTGTTGTTTCTGTCAACATCCAAGTTCTGCTCATCAAGATCCGTGATTTTTTCAACATCTGAGGTATTCACATTTTTCAAAGTTTTCAACGCTTCCAAGCTATAGAATTCGTGGAGCAACCCGTTCCGAAATCGCTCGACATCTTTTAGTGTGGGCCTACCACGAATGGTGTGTGCTTTTGTATGTGAGACGAGCGTATGAGGCATTGTTATTTCTGGAGATTTCTTCACAAAACACGGCGGCATTCTGTATAAGTTGTCCTGTTTGCGAGGAATGGCTCTGAGGTTGTCGTGATTCTCTTTTTGGTGCGAAAACTACACTTGTGGCGACCAAATACGACGAAGAACGGCTTGCATTTTTTGACCCGAGCTTTCCTTCGAAAGCTCGAGTTATAACGTAAATTTGAGTCGGTGTAATTTAATGATCGTAACCACGGAATCTTGCTGTATTTGAAAATGACGATAAACTGACAGAACTTTGACATAAGCAGTCGTCGGCGCTTTATTCTATTGTCACGACAAATATAGCAGTCCCTCAGAATGACCCAGGAATAGTAAAGTGCAGATGGCTGTGTGTCTCGATTTACACTCAATCTGTTGACAGAAGCGTCGGCCTAAGTTTGTTATCGACGGGAAGGAATTTGATCGTGTGATCATTTGGATTCGACTATCTCTGATTTGTATTTCAAACTGGGCCGCAGGCGGATGCTTTAGCGGAGGTCTAAATCTAAGACTCATTCCCAAAACCACGGACTTCTCTGGAGTGACTTGCTTTCCTTGTAAGAGAAAAGATTTCCATTGGGCAATGGTGCTTTTAATGTTCATATCTCATCTCCTACATGGCATTATGAAGGTCTTAAACTTGTCTGTGAAGAAGGCAGCATCTTCTGCTCTGCTTTTTGAATAACAATATCGAATCTTTGTTTTAGACTGATGTAGAGCATCAACACTATACTGCCTCATGGCCGTTGGCCCTGATGCTAATTTTACATAATGTACATGTACGAGTGAGGCATTTCTTCCTTAAAGTGAAGACACTGAGACGTTCTCTGTTTGGGAGTGCAGGCACGAGTCCATTCAACGTTTTAATGTCATAAGCAGGTTTGTAAATTGAATTGATCATTGGAAACTCATGCAGGATATGGGTTTATGAATTCTAAGGTGACAATAAGTAACAACAGGAATAATCTAACCAACATCTTACATCATATCCAGGTTATTAATCAGTATAACTATCGAGTGTATATTTATTCTTTTCTTTAATTTGTTACTGTAAAGTTTTTATTAGTATGCGTGAAACTGTTGCTCGCCTTGACTTGCTATCTGCGAGCAGTAGATGTTAAGCTGTAAATAGTAACAGTATCATAAAATTGAATTGAATTGATATGAGTTTATGAATTCTAAACTAACAATATGTGATAACATAAATACTCTAACCAACATCTTTTTACATCATAACTAGGTTATTAGTCAGCATTACAGAGCATAATGATTAGAAATCTGTTCCAATCGGCAAAAGTAAAGTAAAAAGCCTAGAGATTGTTTGACCTCTGTAGCAGCGTGAAAATTTCTATTTTACAGTGAAACGGAATAGTTCCGTTGAGTAATCTTTGGTTACATGTATGAGTCAATGTTTTAAGATTGCTTGAAAACCCGATAGAAAAGTTCATTATATCTGAAATAAATTGTTCTATGTCTCTCGCTTCTTAACCCCGTATGTATCTGGATCAAGGAATAGAAAGTCTTAATTGCTCTCAGGTAGATAAGAGCTAAGTCTTACATCACATTCACTGTTTCTGACTCTTCGAGCAAAGCACATTGAAAACGAAAATAGCTATAAATAGCTTTATAAAACACTATCCAAGTATGTCAAAACATTGTAAGACAAACTTTACTAATTCATACAACGAGCTCCTCCACAGTCACTTTTTGTGCATTTTTAAGGAAAAATAAAAATTTAAAGTAGCAATAAATCTTTACAGAATGAGGAAGCAGTAAAATTCAATAACATTCACCATAAAATAATAAACTGCGATAGTCGTTTCTCGATATCTAATGCTGATAGTGACAGATATACCGCTTTCTCTGACACTCAGCCTGATTATTGGTAAATATCCAATGCACTGATTCTGACTCCTCGAGCGATGCACGTTCAAAACAAGAAAGCTCTAAATAGCTGCACTCAAATGAATAGAGGATATTTAACAGGAAAACATTACTCACTGAAGAATTCATTTAAATATACGTATGTACTGACCACGCCATTGAACTACTGAAGGAAAATGGCTAAATTAAACATTTTCATTTGGCACTCTTCTCCTACATCATGCCTGACTAAAGTATCCTTTGTTGGAACACATACATATTGGGGTGGATGCCATACTTCAAAACCCACATTGTTGGTGATATTTATTCCGTTCTTACTCGCCAGCATGCCAACGTAAACATCGTCCAGTCTGAAGAACGGCAAAGAAGAGAAAGTGTCAACAAATGCACGTACAACATCGTGAGATAAAACGTATCCAAAACCGGGGCAAAAATCTGGATATCTTGTCTCGTTATATTCCTCGTAAGTTACCTTCCATTTTCCTCCCCGAAAAGGAACAGGATTTGTGTAGTGATTTCCAGCGTAAAACATCTTCTTCGGTGTGGTGGGTGCGCTTAAGAAAGAGAGAACTCTTGGAACATGCACGAAAACGTCGTCATCTACCTTCAAAAGAAACGAGAAATTGCAATACTTTACTGCCCATTCGAAGCCCATTTTTATCTTTCGGGTTTGATTCCAGTAGTGGTCATAATAGCTAGCTCGCACTAGGTCTTTATGAGCTTCATCTTCGTCAAGCAAAACGTTTGAAACTGCTTCATCCCGTGTTTGAGCGACCAGAAAAACGGACGTCCATCTTGGTTTTGCGGATCTTTCGAATGCCCATGTCTTACGAATGATTTTCCTTCTTTTGGAATTACCTGGTGAGGATGAGATAATCATAAGAAGATCGTAATGTTGCATACAAGATCTCCTGGTTATAAGAAATGTTTTGTGACTAATTTGCGGCGAAAGAGAAGTTGTTGTGAAGCTTGAAGACTTCGCAGTTGAGTTCAAAGGATCAATTTTCAATTCTCGAAATACCATCTCCTGCAACCGACCTTTGTCATTTAGTTCTTCACGTGGTTCTTCGCTAACGGTGTCTGAAGAGTAGGAACGTGAGTTCCATACAAGTCCCAGCTGAAAAGATACACAAGATGTCAGCACAAGGGCTAAAACCACCAAAATTCTTCTTACCCGTTTTCTGCTCATTGCCTTCTATAGCCGAGAACCTTAGTGTGGAAGTCACGGCACAGTGGAATATGCAAATCAAGTCGAAAGGTTAATTTACCTTCTGACATCACTTCACAACAGACAGTAGTAGTATAGGAGTTGGGGGTACAGGCACGTTTTCTTATTTATGATTAGGGTACGGAAACATTTTATGATTAATCTCCACGCGATGATATTGTACTCGCTTACCAGTTTGTGACATTTTCGGAAGAACAGGAAGTTTATTACTTTATACTTTAGGGGCTTTCCAGAGAAAATGTGATATCAGAACGCTATTATTATGAGGTCGTATGATCGTCATAAGGCAGTCGTATGATTTTTCTCAATAAAGCATAATTGATAAAGTTTGGTAAACAAAAGATAATGAAAAATTATTTATGAAGTAGTTTAACTTTTAAAATGGCTGGCAGTGGCAGTGAAACTGGTCGGTCTGATTTATTCGATGATAGCGGAGCTCGCAGCGCGCGTAGCGCATTGTAATTGGACGTAATTGGACACTCCCCTTGCGGCTTTTCAGGACCAATTTTACAATTTTTGTTTCCCTACTGGGTGAGATCGGACGCCAGCTTATATAAGGCGCCTCAGGCTGCCGCTATCAGTCCATTTTGATCTCACCCACCCACCCCCCACCCTTACAGGGAGAGATAGACCACCACACTGGGAACTACGTCCCCTACTCTTTTCGACAAGTGCGTGGGTTCTTTAACGTCCCCTGCTAACCATGTAACACTGAAGATGCAGGAGACGGGGCCTACGGCTTAAAGTCCTTATCCAAGAAGACTTGAATGTCTAACCATTTGAAGATATGATTACAAAGGCAGCACATTCTCCTCAGTTATTTTAAGACCCTGAGTGTTGGTCCGGTCTGGGACTTACTATACTTACTATAGGAAATGGCAGTAACCCATCAAGCCGAAAAAATTTGGACTTACAATCGTACGACCGACCCTACAAGGGGCTACTTTTAGCATGCGCGGCAAACTGGATTGCGGGCACTATCTTAGCCATTACATAATGGAAGGGCAAGGGAGAACGTAATACGCAGACGCGATTGCGTGTGTAACTTGGACACCCTTTTAGTGTGCACAAGTCACAATGAGGTGCGAATACTCGAGTACTGAGCTTTAGTGCTGCGTACCGCGGACACACGGTTAGGCATTACACCAGGGCTTCACTTGGGCTAGTAGATGTGAGGCTGCGTAAGCAAATAATTTGCAACCCGTGTTTTGAGCGGGAAATCATACCGGTGAGGTTGAAGTTGAACAGTAATTCCCAGTATTTTGCAATTTCTAATAAGCTCGCAAAGGAGCAATACTGGCAGAGCTAAAGCTTTTTCAACCGGAGGAAATTGTTTTAATTCTAGTTCGTGGAGAAAGGGTTTTGAGCGAAAATAGGCTGGAAAGAAAGAGAAAGGGCGACCAAAGAAAGCAATAAGTAAAGGGCGTAAAGCGAGTCGAGAAAAGCGCTCAAGAAAGTCAGAAAGGACACTAAAATAGGCAGAATACGGCGAGAGGAACGCGAAAGAGAACAAGAAAAGGCAAAGGTAAATATCTGGCGAATATCTAACGTAGAGCAACGTGAAAAGGAAATACAAGAGCTCCAGAAAAGAGACTTAAAAGAAGTCATCAACAAAGAGAAAGCGAACTACAAAGGATGTTTGGAAGACCAAATATCCAACAAGGCAATGATGCGCTCGAACTTGTCCTGTGGAAGATGAGCCTGAAGGGCAAGTGAATCCACCTCAATACTGAGCACCGTTAAGCAAGTGGACAGCCCCTCGTATTTATCTGGTTGAAACGGGATACCTTATTCCTCAAAAAGCCGAGTGCACATATCCAGGTTGTTCTGGCAGAAGGGTGAGTTGGGGGGATCCAATGGATGGATGTCATCCAGGTAGTGTGAGAGAAACTTCACACCGTAATTATGTTTGAGAATTCACTCTAGCAGGTCTGCAGCAGGAGAGAAGATGAACGGGGTGGGCGTAATCCGAAGGGAAGTGCCAAATCGATGAAATAATTGCCTCCCCAGTTTATGCCATGCAAATGACGAATGGAAGGGGACATTGCAGTACACACTTTCCACACATAAGTGCTCCTCGGTCATAACACATAATCCCACTGATGACATTATCTACTTTCATATACTGCGACGAAAAAGGCTCCCTTGGGATGCCATCGTTGACGCTATGGTCCGACGGGCTAGATAAATCCAAGATAAGACGTCACTTTCCAGGTTGGTATTTTTTTGGGACACTCCAAAGCGACTGACGCGAAGGCTTGGAATTGTGAGCAATATATTTTTCAAGCCAGCTTCTTTCATCAAATTTTGTTTCCCAGTTTTTGGATGGAAAGGCTACTTACTCCGCACAAGAATTTCGTTTAAAGGTTTTTTTTCCGGACGTTTCGGCAGCTACGCCAATTACGGTCTTTTCGTATTTTTGTTTTTCTATGCAAACGTGACTGTTTTGATGGTAAGAATGACTGTGCCTAAATCCCACCGGCTAGAGGTAAGCCAGAGGAGCACAAGTGACGAGTTTCCGAGTCGGGTGATAATCGGAAATTGTCGGCTATTCCAATATGGCGGACTATTCCAGAAACACTATTTGCTATTTACCAACAATCAAGCGACGTAATTGAACCAGACGTGAACATTATTAGATGCTTTACCTGTGAAGAATACATTGTTGAGTTTAAGTCAAGGAAATTTCGCCAAATTTTCTATCCCTGTTTCCTTCACCCTCGTCGATCTTCAGTTTCTTGTTCAGCAGACTTTTGGCTGAACACCGTAGCCGCAAAGATCAACGCTTGCAAAGGTAAACAAAACTTATGAATAGTATCGTCACTATAATGCCCTTGTCATAGTACTACTGGTTAAAAAGATCCCCAAGATGAAATTTCTTTTGTCCTGTACCTCTAGCCGGTAGGATCAGAAGGCGCTTATAAAATACTACCGGCTAGAGTTACAGCCTGCATATTTAGACGACTTTGTCCAATTTTTATTACGGTTTGCTCCACATTTGACTTTTCTGCACTCCAAATTAGTCTTACACTCCTTGGAATCACTTTTTACAAGAGTACGTTTACATTTATTTTCTTATTTGGTCTTCTACCTCTAGCTAATAGGATCTGAAGGGGCTTACTACCGGCTAGAGGAACAGCTTGCATACTTAGTCCATTTTGCCCAATTTTTATTACGGTTTCCACCACATCTGACTTTTCTGCACTCCAAATTAGTCTTACACTCCCTGGAATAATTTTTCACAAGAGTACGTTTACATCTATATTTTTTATTTGGTCTTCTACCTCTAGATGGTAGGATCTTAAGAGGCTTATAAAATACAACTAGCTTGAGGTACAGTTTGCATATTTAGTCAACTTTGCCCAATTTTTACTGCGGTTTGCCCCACATTTGACTTTTCTGCACTCCAAATTAGTCTTACACTCCCTGGAATCACTTTTTACAAGAGTACGTTTACATTTATGTTCTTATTTGGTCTTGTACCTGTAGCTGGTAGGATCTGAAGGGGCTTAGAAAATACTACCGGGTAGAGGTACAGCTTGCATATTTAGTCGACTTTGCCCAATTTTTAATACGGTTTCCACCAGATCTGACTTTTCTTCACTCCAAATTAGTCTTACACTCCAAGGAATCACCTTTTCATTAATACATTTACATTTTGTTATTTCCTATTTAGTCTTAAACCTCTGGCTGGTAGGATCTTAGGAGGCTTAGAAAATACTTGAAATACAGCTTGCATATTTAATCGACTTTGCCAAATTTTTATTACGGTCTGTCTTGCATTTTACTTTCTGGCATTCCATTTTAGTCTTATACTACATTGGAATCACTTTTTTCAAGAATATCTTCTTGTTCCTTGGTAGTGTACCTACCACTGCCTATTTGATAGCACAGCACACAAGCTATGAGCATCAAATGACTCTTTATGACAAATCAGCAGAAACTAAAGCAGGCATTGTTACATTTGGTAATAAACAAAGGGTTTCAGGTTCATGTTCAATTAAGAAAGGTTTGATTTCTTTTTAATAATAGCAATTTGTATTTAAAAAATATAATAATAACAGAGGCATAGGTTATTTTCATTTATTAAATTGTATAAATTATATATATATATATATATATATATATTATATACATATATATATATACATATATAAATATACATATATATATATTAGTCTGAGTAACAGAGAATCGATGTGTCCTCTTTGATTCTTTCACTTATATATATATATATATATATATATACATATATATATAAGTGAAAGTATCAAAGAGGATGCATCGATTCTCTGTTACTCAGACTAACAGAGAATCGATGTGTCCTCTTTGATTCTTTCACTTATATATATACTCAGCTCTGCTACCACAGCATTGAGCACTTTATGCCAAGGTTGACTCTACCCCCACATTTATACACATATATATACATATATATATACATATATATATACATATATACACATATATATATATATATATATATATATATATATATATATATATATATATATATATATACATATATATATATATATATATATATATATATATATATATATATACATATATATACATATATATATATACATATATATACATATATATATCATATATATATATACATATATATAAAAGTTCAGTCTGACGAGTGCTTAGGAAGATGAAGCTCATAAAGACCTTGTGCGAGCTATTATTATTATTATTATTATTACTATAGCTAGCTATTATGACCACTACCGGAATTAAACCCGAAAGATACAAATGGGCTTCGAATGAGCAGTAACACATTGCAATTTCTCGTTTCTTTTGAAGATAGATGACGACGTTTTTGTACATATTCCAAGAGTTCTCTCTTTCTTGAACGCGACCACCACACCGAAGAAAAAGCTTTACACTGGCTGTCATTATGCAAACATGGGCCCTCATAGGAAAGGCAAATGGATGGTAACTTACGAGGAATACAACGAGACAAGATATCCAGACTTTTGCCCCGGTTTTGGATACATTTTATCTCACGATGTTGTACGTGCATTTGTTGACACTTTCTCTTCTTTGCCGTTCTTCAGACTGGACGATGTTTACGTTAGCATGCTGGCGAGTAAGAACGGAATAAGTATCACAAACAATGTGGGTTTTGGACTACGGCATCCACCTCAATATATATGTGTTCCAACAAAGGATACTTTAGTCAGGCATGATGTAGGGGAAGAGTGCCAAATTAAAATGTTTAATAGTTAATCATTTTCCCTGAGTAGTTCGATAGCGGGGTTACACTGCACGAAAAATGGATTTAATCGGGTTTGCCAAGGGAGCAAATATGTAACAATTTTAGTGATCTAAACTTGCACCACATTCGCCAGCTGGCAAAAAATACGTAAATTTGCTGATATTGGTATTTGAATGTAATTGTACTCCAGAGAATAGCGCCTGAAATTTTGGAACAACAATAATTTCTGATCCTCTGAACGAGTACTTGGTATTTCTCTTGGTTACAGTTTTGTCACTTTGTTGTACAGTAATCTATCGTTGTAGGCATCATACACCAGCTTAAACATATTGGTCTTGAAGATGTTAGCTAAGGAATGCCATTCGGCTATCTTTAGAATGTCTTCATAGGAGGTGTCATTTCCTAAGTTTTAGAGTAAGTTCACTGCTTAGCCAGCCGTGAAGTTTTTCAATTGACCTATATAGTTCAGAGTTGCTGCAGTTTGCCCATGTAATATAGCCGTAAGTTATTGAAGGCAAAATAATACTAAAGTAAAATTGTTCTAAAACACTCTTAGGTCGGAACTTCGGATTAATATTAGTATCTGGGCAACTGCCCACCTACCCCTCCCCTAACCCAACATTAACCCTAGCTTGTTATCAATTGACTGTTGTTAGTCGTTTTTATATATATTAGCCCTTCGATATTTCAGCTTTATGTTTTAAGTTAAGCCTGCACAGATCGCTGATAGTTTCAAAAGACACAGATTCCCGAGTGATAGCGAGTGATCCCCTGGAAAATATGCGAAAAAAGTTTCGAAAAATTTTCCCAAACTTTGAAGTGGTACAGACGAAAGACTTTGGCAGGTTTGATTTTCTTTAGTTAAGTCAGTCAAACGAGAGCGAAATTGCCGACAATTGCATAAAGCGCTATACCATAGTTCGCTTTATTTTCCTTTCTTTTACTATTTGTTGCCTTCTTAATCTATTTTCGAAAAAACTAGTGCTTTTCAAAACTTCCCAGCTGTCCTCATTCTCAGAAAAGATCAGAGCTTTCAGCCCGGCTGACGCCAGCCGGTGTTACGGCATCGCTCTTCGTTCATACGAACCAGTCTAGCGCGACAAATGGCATGAGTTCGTCATTTCAGCGTTTGTTCGGGTTTGGAAAAATTGCTTGCACAGTGTCTGCTCCATTCCATTTGCCAAAGCTTCTGGACATTCTGAGCAGAAAGCACGTTGTGGCTTCTGCAGCGCGGGAGATTCCGCAGTTTGAATGCAATAAACTCCACGTAAGAAAGCACATCGGTTGAGAAAGCTTTGGAGAAATGTTTTTTCTTACGGAATTCCGGATTACACGGTTCCTATAGGCACTCGAGGGAGAAAGCAAATGACAGATGCGTTTTCACGTGGAGCTTATTGCATTCAAACTGCAGAATATTTTTACAATATAATTCATCTTTTGTTCAGCAAGCTTGTTTTGGTCAGGATATTTGGATATTGCTTTCAATTCTGTTGTAAATTTGTGTTTCTTTTGAAACCATTTTGTTCCAATTGCTTTGATTACTCGGATCGAAATAAGCAGCCAGTCTCCACTAGAATTTAACAGAATTTAACTAGGTGAACTTAACGAGATGAATGCAACGAAATATGACGCATTCCTGGCCAATCAGGACGCGCACATCTTAATAATCACTTAAGCAGTTATACTAATGGCAGTTCATTGGCAATCAGTTTTTTAAAGTCTTCCCCCCCTCTACACTCTGTTGGTGACGACTAATCTCCCCGTACTAGACATAGATATATGCCTTACCAATGTAGATTGTTCTTGGGCCATTATATTTTTGGTCACAAAAAATTTGGTCACATTGATCTTACTTCGTTTGAATTTTCCTTAGAGAATCATAGGGAGTGTATGAACGTATTATTCCTTTTCGACAACACATGAATAGGAAAGAAAGAAAAGTTACCCGGATTTATATCATTTGAGCAGCGTTTGCAAGAGAATTTGACCAATTCTTTACTGCGAATCTAGAATACGATACCAAACCAAGTATACTGTAATTGTTAGTCTTTAAGTAAACATTTGTGGTACTTTCGCAATACTTTCGATTTTTTCCTCAAATAAGTAATTACAAGAGATTTCTCTCGCAAGAGATTACAAACAGTTTATAATCTCTTGGTAATTACGAACCTAAGCTACTTCAAGACCTTGCAAAAAGAAATTATTTTATGGCTTTATTAATATTTTCCCATTACATTTGAATTTTTGATCTCACAAAACTATTGCTTATGTAATGCAATTGGCCATTTGTCATTTTACATTCTTTTGTTACAGGAATGACAGAGAAACACCTATTCCTCTGATACAGCCCTTGTAAAAAATGACCAATTTTGGAACTGACGAGACTGGATTGGTTCTCTCAGTTAAATTCCATCATCCTGCGTTGAGCCGCTAACGCGATAAATTCCGCTTTCACCATATCAGGGAGTTTTCCCGCGGAATGGTTTCCTTATGGCGTTTGCGAGTCTTTTTAGCATCTCTCGACGTTTTCTCATTTTTCGAGGAGTTGCCTCTGGCACGATACACATCACTGGTAGAGGTTTCTTCCTTATGTGTATGCTGAACAAGTTTTTCACCTTTTTCCTCTTGCTTACATGGATCTCCAACTGAGTTGCTGACAATACCAGACAAAAACTCGTCATTTCCTGACACCACAAAGCTGTTTCTTCTTTCTCTTAGAACATTATCTGGCAAACTCTCGAGCGCAAAGCTTGATGACCTTGTCACTTTCCTTTTTGAGAATTTGTAGAGTCGTTTAATGAAATTTTCTCCCTCTGTACCAGTTTCAACGATGTCGTCAAAACGATCAAAGTCTCCTGAAAAGAGGTCCTACAGAATTTGAGAATCAATGTCAGTACCTGAGCAAATGCATTGCAATGTCTTTCTGCAGTCAGTGCAAGTTATGCAATAGATGACTTTGGCGTAGGTGCTCATGAAGAGATAAGTAATCTCAATTGATGGTTTGGGTCCCGATATTTGCTGGTGAAACAGGAAGACGACCAGGCCGTTTCTGAGACCACCTTCGCGACGTAGAAAGGAATGACAAAGACGCATCCCAATTGCCAGACACTTTAATCTCCCTAATCATTCTAAGCAGCACATGACAGTCTGCAGCCTTTCCTTACATCTACGTAGTTAGGAAAGACGCAAAAGTCATCGAACTCAGCGATCAATCCTAATGAAAAAATAAATACCTTGTTTTTTCTCCATGAAACGATTCTGGAGAAGAAAGATGTGCTTCGTTTCTCCGAGGAAACATCTTCATAGTTTGTCACCTGCGATGAGATTCAATTAATTAACAGAAAAAGTAATTTTGTTTAAGTTAGTTTGGCCCTATTTCGGTACCAATGGTTCGGGGCATTTTTGAAAGGCTCCCGCTATTTTTTCCAAAACTTCTGAAAATGCCTTTTAGGTATATTGGCGCGGATTCCGCGTAAAGTAAGGAAAGGTAGCTCGTATTTCTACAAAGAACCAATCAAATAAAATTAAAGAAATGATTTCATACAAGTGGCAATATTTTAGGGCATTGTTCATGTGGTAATCGGAAAGTCATACAAAATACTATAATTTTTTTATTGTAAAGGTATGTTTGGGCGTTCGGTGAGATATAAAATACTGAATATATAAATACATTTGAAAGATAAAATACATTTTAGCCTGCCAAGTTCTCCATTTAAGCCCGCAAACATGCCCAACAATGCCCGAAAAAGGAATATTAATATATAATAACTCATCTTTATGGCTCATAGTCGTTTGGGAGGGGTATAGTCATTGAAACCAAAACACTACTGCGTGTCTCATTGCCTTTAACCTGAAGTAAACTTGTCATGAATTGCCAACTTTTCAACGACTTTCATTGCCATTCGGATCCTACAAATGCAACCTTTGAAATCTTGAAGCAGCCAGCCGCCTATGAGTGTCCTAACATCGAGGAAGGGCAAAAACAGTTAGTCACCCCTTAAACTTACCACGTAATGTTGCGAACTGGTAAATTGTCGCTCAGGAGACGAATCATCCCGGCCACTTGCGTCCGAGAGGGAATAAGAAGAATAAACCTTTGATTGATGATGATTAGGTAATAACTCCGTTGATTGCGTCATTTGGTAAACACGTGACCAAGGTATTAAGCTGCTTCTTGTTGCGTGACTTTTAACATGCAAGTCTTCGGAAGAAGGGTCGAGTCCCCGAGATAGCCGACCGGCGTATCTCTGATCCGTAGGAGCAACCCCTTTGGGGGATTTGCTCCCGTCACTTTCCATTCTTAGATTGCTATAATGATTCATTGAAATGGCATCGACGCTATTCTTGTATAATAAATGTTGGTTTTGTATTGTATTTCCTCTTCCTAATAATTTGTGATCGGGAGAAAGTTGCTGTGATTGTTGATGAGTCGAAGCTTGTTCGGAACGACGGTCACGTTCGATCGCTTTTCTCTCAAAGCGAACTCGTTTGAGGCTGTGGTGTCCAGAAATTAAGCCATTCATACCTTGAATGCTGAAGGTCTCGGCCTAGAAAGAAGAGCAATCAAAATTATGAATCAAGTCAAACATAAGATTAGCCTGCGAATATGCCCTTATTATTAGCGCTGCAGGACGCGTGTTTCTTTTCCCACGGAAAGGTCGAGACGAGTCGGGGAGAGGTTTGCTGGGGTTCTGATAGTGAAAATAATTTTAATCAGTGCTAAGCCTCTTAGAGACCATTTGCCGGCTTGCTTTGTTTAAGGCCTCATAATTTCACGTGGAAGCGTTTGTGCCGAAGCTCTAACAATGAGAATATGTTCACAAGCTAACATCACTGAGATTCAAGCGAGGGTTTGCTCTTACCTCATCTTATTAAATGGAATATTTTGCTGGATTTTTTTTGGAACGGAAAAAAGTAACCCGAAGCGCGCTTGTCATATCATCTATCGTTAGTTTCACTATATTATTACAAGATTCCAGACAGTCGCAGATGTGGTGAGATAAAAGTTTTCTTTAAACGAGAATGGCTTTATGCGTCCGTATTGAGAACAGTGGCGAAAAAAGCCACCCCTGACTATGTTTCCAACATGTCTCGGGCAGGAAGATTGGAGGAAACGGTACAAAAGTCCCTTTGAATTTAGCCTGTTCCTAATCTCGAACCCAGATCCTACCGTGTAACTGAAATAAAATAGCAGAACCGCTTGCAACTGCTTAGCGGTGGAAGGTCTGGGTACGGGATAGTAAACAACGCAGTAGAAGCGGAGGAATGAAAAACCGAGGGAGGTTTGGGGTCGTGTTGCGCTCTTCACCTGACCTGACCTAACCCGCTCTCCCTTTTTCACTCTTCCGCTACTATCACGCTGATTGCTATTTCTCTCTGTTTTGCTAAATGAATGCCTGGAACAGGTTATTTTGAATCGCTTAGATATAATTGTGATAATTTGTCGCTCACGCTAGTTTCAGAATATAGATTAGCCGACGTTACTCATGGATTTCTTTAGTCTTTAAACGTATAGAAAGGATTCAAAGTTTTATATGTACTGGACTTCAATCTTATACGACGGTCGTGGTAAATTGTAGCTTAATACCTTATATAATAAGTTTGCGCATGCTCCATTTCCACTTTCGATAGCCACGTCGAATGGGGTTCTGCCCAGTCTGTCCCGAAGTTTGATTGCCGCACCTCTGTGTAACACAAAGACATTGAAAACGGTGTGCTTATACAAATGTTCATGTGGATATTGGAGACTGATTATAGGCATTATCAATGGCTATCATCGTTAATATATCTACTGATAGTCGAACGATATGCGGGTTGATGGTCAGTCAGCAGTCGGTTGCCAATTGACTCACAATTTTATCACATTCGATCGAGATGGCGAGGAATCAGCCGATCATAAGGATATAATCGTTTCATTATCGGTCGTGTGTCGGTCGATCATTGGCTGACCACAGGCTGACAATCGGCTGACTGTGGACTTACTACCAACCGGCTGTCAATCACTAAACGGCTAACTATCGATCGGCATAGAGATAGATTATCTAACGAAACATGCGACTTCGGTCAGGTTGGACGGGAAAATATCTGCCGACCGTGAAGTCCTATTGATGGGGAGACCATGTAACAGGGAAGTCGAATTAAGACTGTCCACTTTACAACAAAAATGATAAAATAAAAATGATGAGCAACGAAAAAATACTCACGCTCGAACAAGGAGTTTTACCACCTCTAGATGACCGTTTTGTGCAGCTACATGTAAGGGACTGGAGCCAAGTTTATTTCTCTCATTACCTACACTGCTAATGTTACCCAGGAGCCACTCGACGCAGGAACGGCGGCCACAGGCTGCCGCTGAATAGAGAAAGAAAATAGAAGATGCTTTGACTGTGAAAACATTTAAAAAGGCAGAGGTCCTTTTGGCCTTTTCATAGAAACAGTCCTTGTTTGAAATGTATAGACGCTAGGCTAGAGGACTGGGTTTAACACACAAGTTCGTGCTTGGTGGTAAACATCCCTGGAAAAATGCTATCAGAAACGTATGACACCGACATAACAGGCACATTAGAAAACAAATTGTAAAGTAAGGTTGTCCGCGTATGTAACTTTTATTACTGTGTAGGAGAAAGGAATCTTACATAAACTGTTATCATAGAATTGGTGACTTATCTATAATTTTATTATAGAGTATCAGAATGATACCATAATGCAAAGGTGTGTTGGCAGTCCTGTCCCGTGCCAGCGCACTACAACCAGTAGAGCTTAGTAGAAACACCAGGCAGCCTAAATGACCCTCAAGAGCTGCTGCATGAACAGCGGTCATACCATCCACAGACATCTCTCGGTGAAATGTTCCCGAGTGCTTTGCGAGCCACGCCAAGCAGTTCAAATGACCTTCTTGGGCTGAGAGATAATAAATGAGAGTATAACTGAATGAAAGAAAAAATGAATGAATAAACGAGTGAGTGAGTGAGTGAATAAATGAATGAGTCTCTATAAGAATTAATGAATTAATGAAAGAATTAATAAAGGAACAAATGGCTAGATATAAAGATAGGTAGATAGACAGATAGAAGATTGACAGATTGATAGATTGGTAAATTAATTAATTGATAGATGAATAGAGTGATGGAGAGTTAGGTAAATGATCATGAAAACAATCATATGTTAAGCCCTATTCTTTTTTAATTCGTTTTCTCCAAACCCCCCCCACCCTTTCCGATATGCCTCCCTCTCCTCTGCCACCTTCCCCCTTGTCTTTTGAAAACTGTAAAATGGCCGTATTAGCGTTAATCGTTTGAACTATGCTAGCTTTCCTCTTACCTGCAAAATAAAGTGGTGTAACTCCACTGTTGTCCTGTTGTGATAAATAGCACATGTAATCATTGTCAATGTCGAGCGCATTTGTAGCCTCAAAACTGTACGTTGCCTCATCTACTCGAAATCATTGATCATTAAAAAATAAGAAGGAAAGAATTTTATTGAAAACTGTTAACATTTCAGTTGAATTTTACGAACCGTTAAAGAGATGCTTTTCGAAGCCTTTCGGTGAATCCACTTGAGACATTCAAGATGGCCCCCGGCGGCCGCGTAATGAGCTGGTACCGAGCCTTCTGCAGACCTTTATCATGTAGAGAAAGCAGAACGGGTTCACGTTATCCAAAAATCGTTCAATACTAGTTGAATGAGGGACAGTCTGTTGCGGGCATTGAAGATAGAAACCGGTCTATCTAGCTTTACCAGCGATGTGTACATTCTCATCAAACTTATATAAAAATGGTTATGATTAGGAGCCCTGTTAAGTTGAAAAAATAACATGCTAATTCAAAACCGAAAAAAAATTTTCCCTTTGAAGCTACTACTTTAAAATGAAGAAAGCAGGTATCGGCAATTCCATCATAATAATGTATATATTCCCATCTGAGGCCTATTTTCTTAGCATTTCTTTAATTTATACCCACACAGAAATCTACCTCGTAACAATAATAAGAAGTCTGAATTGATATCGTTGACATTTGCCAAGATTAGGTTGAGGCTCAAACGCTGAGTTGCCCAAACTAAAAGTTTCGTGCAATTAGGCACTTAGCAAAACTTTTATTCGTCTAAAATGAAAAAGGATGACCAGAATCCAAAACCACGGAGAAGTTCTACAGTTTAAAAACTATTTCTAAATTGCTGGCTTACAATCTTATGAAGACAGATTAAACGGATAAAAATCAAAACAGTATTTTGGTAAATAAAAAAGAGTAATTAAATCAATAGTGCCTTTCGTACAAGACCAATATTCTGTCTACCTGAAAACAGGTACTTTATGAAGCAAAATAAACGGATTGATTATCTAAGAAATATTTTACCTGGCAGTCAGGCTGCTTCCACGTTTAATGAGCCATTTTGCACACACCAGATAACCACGATAAGCGGCATGGTGTATGTGACATAGTCCTTGCTGGTCCAGAGCATTTGGAACGAATCTCCCAGCTGTGTACAACGCTTTTAAGCGCTGTAAATGCTTTACCTCGCGTGTATCCGCCATCGAGAGTATTTTAATACGCTTTACCGAGGCAAAAACGTCGATGAAGTTCTGAAAACAACGGTGAGCGTAATGAGTAGTCGTTTTATACTTCACTATCTGGAACCTGGCCTTTGTTGGATCATGTAGATATCTATCTATATTTTTTTTCAGAACAAATGAAGCGCTATTTGGTATTCAATTTTTTTCGGATGAAAGCTTTCTACGTATTTGAGAAGTAACACCGTGTGATGTGACAAAAATGTCTTCAAATTTGCTATCCAAAAGTTGCATCTCTTGTTAAACTTCATTCAGGAGCTGAGCATAATTTTACGAAATTTTTTCAAAGATTTTTTCTCTGGCGGCATCGATAAAACAGAATAACAATGATGTTAAATAATTAAAGACAGTAAAAGAAGAAGACAATAAAAGTTTTTACAAAACTAAAACCATGATACAGGATCTTTAGATATTCTTTTGTGTTCGTTTGTCCTTACATAAATATTTATACAGTCTGCGTCCATTCATAAAAGATCTACAGGCTATTAGCCATAAGAGAGTAGTGCAGATGCTGATATTCTCTCTATTTCCCATTCTAAAAGCCTTATTTTTTTATCTAGCACTTTTGAGTCTAGCTAAATCTCGCGATGCTAGTTGCACTAATGACGTCAGCAATGCAGAGTGACGCAAGTAAACACAGTTGGAAATCTGGAAAGTGTGGGAAGCATGGAAACTCTCCCTGAACAAACCATTTTTAATACTATTTTTTTTACTTATTATTATTTTTGTTAACCTGTGAATGCAAGCTTTGCAAATTCAAGATTTAATTACTTGAATTACTGGGGGGAGGGGAGGGGAAGGAAGGAGAGAATGCAATTTTTGATTTTTTGATTTTTCTTTAGCAGTGAATCAGAATGAGGGCAATACATTATACTTCTTACCTCAAGTGGCAGTAGTGTTGCAATCTCATTTTTGTCTTTTTTTAAACAACCTCTTACCCAGCATAATTGATGTTATTGCACCATAAGAACAATTTTGGATTTAGAATTAAAATGGACACATTGCAGTTTTCTATTCCATCAACTAATTTCTTTATCAATATGTTTCCAAATCTTTGTCACATATAATGGTTAAACATACTATAAGTTGATAATATAAATTTGTTCTGTTGTCTCACAACAAAGTCACTAGATAATAATAATAATAATAATACAAACATATTTATGCAGGACTGCTGCTTCAGTTTTAAGAAAAAAAACTGCTATCAATGCAGGTCCTGTAAAAAATTAAAAAAATATAAAAATAAAAATAAAAAAGATTTAAAATATAGATAAAAATCAAATTACAATATTACAAAATAGTTTCACTAAACGAAAGATCGAACAGTTATAAATTCTAAGAATTATTAAAAATTATTAAAAATTTTTGCACCTTTGTAGAAAAAAGCGCGCTTGGTGCATTCTAAATTAATTTTTTCTAAAATAAGGTCATTATTATTTCTAGTTTTGTGGCGGTGTGAGACATCAGAACAAATTTATCCAGCTACCACAATGAACAATCTATTTCATTACATATTACAAGTTATTACTGACAGCACGCTTATTGCATCCTTCATCACTCACTGACAATTAGTGACTGGTAGAAATAATACTGTTACCTTTAAAATTTGCCAAGTTAATTGAAGCACAATTTAAGTTTGATTACTTAACTGATCATTAACCCTTTAACTCCCTAGATCTCATTGGTAATTCTCCTTACTGTCTGCCAAATGATTCTCATCATGTTAGCTGGAGAATTTGGTATCGGATCAATTAGTAATCCCATAATTAATATTTTTCTTTATTCTCATCACTCGTCTACTTGATATTGTATTGATGTGGTAAGGAGAAAATCTGTCTTGGTCATTCATGGGAGTTACAGGGTTAGTTCAAGTATTGCACTGCAACTTAAAATGGACTTAGAAGATTAAAAACTAAAACACTCAGATTGTCTGTAAAATTATAAAATAATACAATCTATTCTTTGTTACAAATTAACTTGTTGAACAGTAACATATTTTATTAACTCAAGCCCTGGGAGAACCTGAAATATTTGGAACTTCTTGTTGTGTAATTTAATAGTGTTCTATGCTATTTTAAATTGTAGAGTGGGCTAGCTTTAAATTGTTGATTTCTGCATTTCAACTTACAATGCTCTCTCCTTGAAAATACCCTCAGATCATGGGAACTTTGGGTTACATGTACAAACAGAAGTGCAATAGCTTTAAGCTGTGTTTTTTAAGGCATAAAATTGCTTCTTGGTTTACAAAAAAAGCATGTCTCACTACTTATTTTAAATTGTCACCTGATACTACAGGTTCAGCTGAACAATACTGTAGCTGATTTGAGGGACATGTCTGGCTGCCATGTGGGCTTGGTAAAACATATACTTTAGAAACTTATCCAATACTTGATTTTATGCATGGTAGTTTTTCACAAGTCTGCATTTTTTTCACATTCATTAGCTTAACCCTTTCATTACCAGGAGTGACCAGAAGGGAATTTATCCTTACAATATTCATTTACTTCAAGCAGAAATATGATGACAAGACAGAAAAAATTATCAGCCAAAGGATATTTCTGGGATTTAAACACTTAATACTAAGAGCTTAAATTGTAGGAAATCTCTGGCAGATGGTGCAAAAAAATTACCCACTGTATAGAGCTTGTAAGTGAAAGGGTTTATCTATGTGAACCTACAGTAAATTACCACCTTACAGCAGCGATAACTGCTTGTATTTATACAAAAGCTTTTAGAGTCTTGAAAACAAGTTCAGCATATTCAGTGGCCACGTCCTGAGTGACAACATTACTGTAATATATAATACTCCAAAACAATTGACCATCAATGGTCACTAAGTTGTTGCTAAACACAGGGCCAAAATTATGCCCTGCACCAGCAAAATACACTCCATTACACTCATAAGCCTTCGTTTCACCTTCTTTTCCAAAGGTTTGTTTTCCAAGATTAGAAACATGGCATAGCCTATTCAAACGACCTGCTGTTTTCTTGTTTTTAGAGACTTTGTACATTTTTTTGGCAAAGTCAATGTCCAATAAATGAAGTTCCTTCAAATATGCATGGTGTTTTCCGCTTGCAACTGCTTGCCGTACCTGTTGAGTACATTTCTGTGCAAATTTCCAAAAATGCTCATGTATGTCTTGCAGAACTGGCACAAGGATTTTAAGCCCACAGTCTAATGTAAAACAACCCATATCTTTGCTTGATATTGGTGGCTGGCATTCCTGTCTCACATTCACACTAAAACTCAAAGGAATAGACATTGGTATTCGCAGGTCACCATTCTGTAACATGGTTGCTATGGCAACACTTGCTGCAGCTGTAAGCATTCCATGTACAGTACATTTGTTCTCTTTACATTTCTCTACCAGCTCAGAAATGGAACATTTGGGTAAATTTCTTGGCAGAATACAAGTTTTCCTTAAAATGGTTGGATCACATAAGCTAGTTGGTGGAATCACTGCGGTGAACTGATTCCTTGGCTTTCCAACTATCTTATACAACAGTCGAGTGAATATGGGCTTAAGAGAAAGCAAAACTTTATCCAGTTGAGTTAAGGTAATGTGATGCTTTAAAAGATCAGAAATAGGTGGGTATAGAGGAACACTTGTTGTTTTGATGTCATTGTCAACCTTGCCACTCTCCATGTTCAAGAAATCTAAGAAATCTCCACAAAGATTCAACAAAGCAGTATCGTCTGCGATGAGCTGATGAACTGAAAACAGCAAGGTGTTCAAGAAACACCTCTCTTTTGCATCATATTCCTCCTTGAACAATCGTGCTCTCCACAAAGGACCGTCAGAGGTCTGGAATGGAGTCGAGAGTTCCTTTTCAAAAGACGATTCCCAATTACGAGCCTGTTTACTTTTGATGTAGAAATCTATAGCATACGGTTCATCCATCTCAATAAAACATTTCACTGCCTTCGTTCTCCCGTGCACAGCAACTTCTCTGACTCGCATACGAAGAATGGTGTGTTTCCTTGGCAAACGTTCCAATGTTTGCCGAACAATGGTCTGTTGAAGAGAGACTTTGGACTTCAGCAAAAGAACAACAGATTGCAAACCTCCACCATAGCTATGAAGGTCATCAATCGTGCTTTCAAACAATCCAAGACGCCTTCCAATTTGATAATCGGAGTCAATGGCGTTTTGTTGGTTCTTCCTTTGCCGTATTCGATCGGAACAAAATCCAATGAAGGTCAATATAGCAACTGCGTAAACACCAGTTAGTCCGATCTCGGGCAAGTAGTTGCTCAACAGCTCCAAAGTTGCCCAAAACATGCCTGGATTCTCTTGATTTCCTCTAAATTGATTAAAAAGCAGCTTAAACTAGGATCTTAGAATCAACTGCATCTTGCGAACTTTTTTCTCCTCTCAAAACTTCGTAATCCTCACCTTTAACACGTATTTGACGCAGTTCCGGTTGTTGACAGGATTTTGGGGGAGGGGCTTGGGATACCGGAAGTGATTTGCAAAAAGGGCCTCGAGGGTCAAAAGCCAAATTAATGTTTAGACATGGAACATTCCACATACACAAATATTCATACAAAATCTGAAACAATAATATTCTCTCTCTTTGAATTGTTTAAAAATTGTTTTTTTCCTTCTTTTTTCATGAATACCACAATTTTCAGAAACGGATGATTATGAGGATGCTTGGATCGTTTCCAAATATATTTTCTAACATATTAGGACTTCACAGCAATATGGAAAAACAAAGTGGCAATTCTGTGTGCTCTTTAGTTCGGTTGTGTAGATGCAACATTTAGCTTTCCCAATTAACAACATACATTTACAAAAGTTAATATGTGACAGCAGATTGAACTGTTTCTCTAGAGGTGACAACACCCCCAATAAAGTGTAACATGTTATCATACAACAATAAATGGGAAAAAAAATCTGATGAAACATCAGAGACTAAATCTTATTTGTTCACAAAAAAGTAATTTCAACAACTTTTATTTTGATGAGTTCAAGAAAAATGACAAGATACCACTGCTTTTAATTTCTTAGGTCATGAGGGGAACAAATAGAGCTCATAATGGCTGACAAAACATGCACAAATTATTGTTGGTCACCATAAGGTCACTGATACTACATGTATTTACCAAAAAAAGGTACAATACCAAGTTTACAGTGTTACTAACACTTAACATATCTTGTAACTGGATAAATATCATAGCGAGCAGCTACATTGTGCAGCATACAATTAGTACTTTATTAAAATAAAACAGCAGTAGCAGTTAGTGTGACACTATATGTATTTTGCCATAAATACATGAACATTTGGAACTTGCAATCCTACATGTATTAGCCAGTGCAGGGTTAAAAAACAGAACATATGATAAGAAGCAAGATGCTTGGTATATAAATTATTGCTATATGGTATGAACAACTGTAGCAAGCACACTTTGTTGGTGATAAATTCTGGAAAAATTGGAGCCATCAAAGTTCATAAATATGAATTAACTCTGTGGTTTGTTCAAGGCGTAGTACATCTCCAATGGCTTGTTGACTTTCCAGTACTGGGAAAATAAAGTAAAACAAAACATGAAAATTGAAATACACTGTTAATTGTAGCATTAATTTTGATAGAAATGGCTCCTTTTAATCCTTTACACCTTAACATCAGGATGCACAATCTCCTTACTGTTCTCCATACAATTCCTAAGGTGCTGATGAGGAGAACTTGTTTCACCAACATGAGTTTCATTGGTAAGTGATCACTTCCTTTTTTTAGTGCTCTAAATGTTTGACTTAGGGTTGATATTTTAGGGAGAAATTAAAAGCCAACCACTCATAGGGGTTTAAGGGTTATGTGATGTGTCCCTCACATGAAATCCTGTGAATGTCTTAAGCCAGTTGTTAGAAATGCAAACGACACTGATCTAGGATTACTATATATACTTTATATTTGTTTGAATTTCTTTTGTAGAAAAGTGTTCATGTATGTACATGTACATAAAAGCAAATGCTTTTTAGTGTGTCCGCTTGGTGTATGGCAAAAGTGAGGTATACTTAATTTTTAAGTGATTGAATGATTACCTTCTCATTCACAAAATCCAATATCATTGATCCAGGAAGAGGCTGAAAGTCAATTGAAAACAACTGTGAGCTACATGCATCTTTTACTCAGACCATCATTTTTCACTATTCTACATGTATTGCTAAAACAAAAAATTTTTTGTGCAAAACTTGAGGGTGTTGTGACTCCCTCCTGGATTGGACACAAGATGTATTCCTTTGCAAGTAACTCACTTGCAACTATCATCCAAACTGTAGCAATTAATTTTCTTCAATATCGGCTAATAAATCACAGCATTCTGCTGCTGGCCAGATGGTAATGTCTGTTCACTTACTGTGTATTGCCCTGGCATGCTAGCAATGTATATTGTGAACTGTGTGGCTTCACTGCTCTCCTCAGTAGGGTTAGCACCTGTATTAAAGATCTTTTGTTTAATATCATGACAACCACAGGCTCTTCTTCTCTGCTTTGAAACTCACAACTGGAAACTATAACTCTCACAGACTTCAACCTTTAAAATTTTTTTAATTATTGCATCTGTTTTGGCTGGATCTTAAAATTATTGAAATGGCTGGTACCAATTTTTTCCCCAAGACTCCTGAGTGGTTTTTGAGGGGGATGTTTCCAAGTAACTTTCCCCCCCCCCCACCCCTCTCCTTCCCTTAATTTTCCTTCCACTGATCCACTGACTAAAAGCTGGATGGTGTTCTTTAAACAACAACAAATGATTAATATATAATTATTACAGTTTTACGACTTGTCGTTGTTACTTACCTCCATCTTCTTGTTGTGACTCAAGGGCAAGTCTCATTGCTAGGTACTTGGCAAGATGGTCGACTGTAAATTCATAAAACAAAATGCAAAAATATGTTATCATGAAAAACTAAGTGATACTAACACGCAAATGTAGTAAATCTACTGGTGAGAATATTTTTACTTGTTTATAAGTTGTATACTACTGTTCAGGTGAGTGTTTGATAGTAACCTGTCGCTCATGCTCATCAGTATCATGGTGTAAGTAAACTGAGAAGGTACTATAGATGTATTAAAAGCATGCAATGGAATGTCGCCAAAGCTCATAAATACTTCTGCAGAAACAGAGAGGTACATTTGCGGTACTGTCTGAAACTATGGAGACATTGTCTGGGGGTTTAACTGGGGGATGTGTGTGCATGGCAACTGAACACAAGTTTGCTCTTTTTAATTCATTATTGTGCTTTTTGCATTGAGAGTAGTAGAAAATTATCAGTGAAATAAAAATGCAACAAGATCAGATGTAAACTTGTGAGTGTGAGAAGAAGATTGCTGACAAATCTTTTTTCTCTTTAAAGTCAGTTCACCTGAGGCATTAGCTGTAGTTTTTATGTAGCGTGTTTGCTGGGCCACTGTCTCTGGGTCATGATCCTTGGGATGAGGTTTAAACACCAATTCAATTTCCTGCGTAAAAAAAATAAAAGTGTGAGAAAAATGAAACTCAGATATGACAACAATTCTTTACAATTCTGGGTGACAGAAAAACACAAGTAATCATGCATCAAATTTCCAGATCTGACTGTTTGAATTGGGGAGAAATAGTCGGCAGTGTTTATTTTGCATTCAACAATCAAATACAAGTACAAGTAAGAATAATATTAATTTTGACAGACAAATCCTCACATTAACAGGTTCTGATGTTTCTGTGGCAGCTTCTCCAGTGGAGTCTAAGGTATCTGTTGATAAAGTGTTGGTGGATTCACATTACTTCAAGTACAATAATGATAAATATGCACCAAGGAAGGTTAATTCAGTAATAAAGTGGAGTGGCTCATCTGGCCACAGGTTATACTGGTTTATGTAGCATGAAGTTACTAAGAGTTCTGTGGCTCTCTGTGGGCAGCATGTCAGTCCATCCTAAAAATTCTATAAAATCCCAAAAATTTACATGTACAGAAAAGGAAGACAAAAGAGCTTTGGACTCCAAAAGATAACTCCCACACTGATTCCCTTGAGGGTACCACTCACTTTCACTTGCATCTGACTCAGGATCTGATGAGGTCTTCTGTCGCTTTCGCACCACATTACTACCTCCTTCTCCAGCAGCTGGTTGGCCTGTGGGACCTGGTGTTCCAGGGGCTCCTGATCCTCCCACTACACATGGGTATGTAATCAATAAGACATTTAAATGTAACTTCACCAGATATCTGGTACAGATACCTTGTGCAAAAAAATTACTCAGAATTACATTAAATTCAGGAGAGTTACATTAATTTTAATCAAACATTTACAGTCCCAAAGTGAATAAGTCAATCATAAACCTGGACCTGAGAAAGAGGGATGGAGGATTAGCCAGTAAAGTCACAATGATTATTAAAAGTATACATGCCATTCAATCAGTGAATGTGTCATCACCTGGTGATGGGTCATCCGATGATCTTTTTCTCTAAAATAACAACAAACATGTATATAACAAAAATGATGCAGCTTCAATCACAACCATTAATAAGATTTTTTTTGAATCAGTCTTTTTTCCTATAATTTTGTTTTTCTTGGGTCATACATGGTCTGTATGGTTTGGTTGGTTAAAATTAGTTTGCATTGAATACAAATAAATGCTTGAGCTTATTTCCAATCGGGATGATCAGATATTAGGAGTTTTATTGACTGGCTTTACTATCAAACAATTTAACAGTAAATGATTTCAACAGCAGTTAACTAGGTAGTTGAAAAAAAACATCAAATCTAGGATAGTGACTGCTAAGAAGTCACGATCAGAGTCAAGAAAAGAGTTGTCAGTCACATTGTGTTGGTCAGATTTGCCTTTGTGTTGCTAGCTTTGACTACACCAATGGATCAAAATTGACCTGTAAGACTGACAAGTGCTCCTGTGTCTTATGAGTAAACAAGCCAATTTTACAGAGCTCATGTATCATGTACTGAACATACCACTCTTTGTGCTCTATTGATTGCTTGCAGTTTAAGTCCCTCTTCGATGCTGCTTGTCAAAGCTTGTTGGTTATGATGTTTGTTCAATCTCTGTAAAACTTTTTCCTATAAACAGAGTGAAAAAAATGTACAATGCAAACTGACATAACAACTAATTTCAATAAACTAATGCACTGTTCATTCAGGAGCTTACAGGATCATACCAAGCACATACATAAATGTATATGAAACAGATTATGTGGTACAGCTAATGAAAAACCATCTAGCATTTAGGCCTTGACTTGCAAGCTAACTCAAGTCTTTACACCCTAGCATCAGTATGCACATTCTCCATACTGTTCTCTATGCATTTCTTCAGGTGCTGTCATGGAGAATTTGTTTGACCATTAATAGTGTCTTTAGTTGATGATCATTTCATTTATTCTTGTGATTTTATTGTGTGATTTAGGGGTGATATTGTAAGTAGAAATTGGATGCCAGTCACTCTTGGGGGTTTGATTCAGGATTAAAAGGAAGTATTAATTTTTTTAAACAAATCTAATTAATAACACAAGATTTTATGCCTTGATGGTGTGCCACAGAGTGGCTGGTGTATTCCCATGGGTATTTATATCAAGTATCATTTTAATCCAAGATATGTCTATTACACCAAGTGCTAACCTGATGTGCTTCATATTCATCTCTGTCTGGGTAAATCTGCAATTACAATTGCATAGAACAAAGAATCAATTGGCAGACAATAAAAATATTGCATGTTACAATGACCACAAAATGTCTGAAAAAGCAGACAAGAAAACAACCCAGAACACCTTACCTTAGCAATGAGAGCATCAAAATTAGGATCTGGCCGTAAGGAGCGTTTTGAAATCAACTTTTTTCTACATGTGGGGCATTCTTTGTTCCTACATGTGTGGAAAAAAATTGAAAGAGAAAATTAGAATAAAAATATGGAGAAATACCATAATTCTAGTTAGTCTGAATTTGTCACAAATTTGGGATAAAAAAAAAGTGACTCCCAGTAAATTTGTACATACCCACTTCTCAGAGCAGTGATGATACATTCTTGGCAAAATCTGTGTAGGCACTAGATAAAATGGACATTTGGTTCAACATCTGAGTTAATGGGATAATATATATTTACTATTACTAAAGGCAACTATTCACCACTTTCACTGATACTAGGATAAATGTTTTAGTATATATATATATACATGTGTACCTCACAAGAACCAAAATCATGGTTTATTTCTGTCAATAATTAGTACCAAAAATTAGTCTTAAAAACTTTTTGGTAGCCTTGTGAGTCACTTTCCAGCTAGCCAATCAGCAAAAGCAAAAAGCATATTAAGTCCCTTGTGAATTCTCTACTTAACCCTCCCAAGATCTAATTAGCAGTTCTCCTGACTATCTGCCTTACAATTCTTATGATGTTAGTTCAGAGAATTTGGTATTGGATCAACTAAGAATCCCATAATTGATATTCTTCTCTATTCTCATCACCTACTTGCTTGATATTGTATTGATATGGTATGGAGAAATTCTGTCTTGGTCACTTGTGGGAGTGAAAGGGTTGATATGAAAAGTGTATAGCAGTTTAAGTGTCTTATACTGAGCTTGCACATCTAGTACCAAACCCACTTACCTCTTTGGTGGTCATTGTATTTTTTAGCATGTCCAAGCATATAGGACACATCAGTTCACTGTGTAGGCTGCGAGGCGAAATTGAAATCTCTGTTCCATCAGTAATGGCTTCTTGTGGTGTGCGATGAAGCTCATATAAACTAAGTTCTGAAGAGGCAATAGAGATCTAATTATAAAATGTCTGACTGATAAATTACCCAGTGGACTGTACTGCAAAGTTAAGCTCTCTTTTTCTAGAGAGTTTTCATGAACAGATGTGGTGACCCAACAGTTAGCACACTGGACCCAAGTCAATACTGATCTGGCTACAAAGGAGTATAAATGAATGGTACAAGGTAATTTAGTATTATCTACTGACTTGATAATGTAAATTGGCCTCTGTAAAAATTTTAAAGCTGATGTTTCAAGCGTAAGCCATTTGTCATTAGAGGACAAAGGCTAACGCTTAAAATGTCAGCTTTGAAACTCTTAAAGGTGGCTAATGTATGTTATCAACATTTGATAATACCAAATTACCATTTTATACTCTCCCACCAATGCAGCTCCACAGTTTCTTCAAGAACTTATCCTCCCTTTAGGGTAGTAACTTGGTTTGGGGGGAGGGGGCAGTTTAACCTTGCTATGGGAAGGTATTCCATCCAGAGAGAGCAGCCATACTCCTAATTAATTCTTGCAGCAGAAACTGGGAGAAGCTGCAACTGGATGGGCCACTTAGCTCACATGCAGCATTTTGTTCATATGAATTATTTGATGCTTTCCCAGATAAATAATGTATGGGCTGGGTACCATGTTTGAGGGGCTAAGTACTTAATGTTCAATTGGATGCTTGTTTGTGATTGGAAGCTAATAACCTGAAAGTCATTTGGAGAAAAAGGAAGTATAGGTACATGTAAGACAGGTGATTATGTCAAGTGGTGAGCAAAGAAAAGTAACCCTGTTTCTCAAAAGAAAGAAGGTAATGAAGAGTTTCCTTACACGAAATATTCTCAGAGAGGTGTGTAACTATTTCATCAACGGTGATTTCAACCGAGAGAGGAAAGTCGACAAATGAACGTAATTCGTTAATTATATATGAGATTAAAGATGAGTTGATGAAAGTTGAAAAGAAATGGCGAAGATGATAACTGCGTCAAAAATGTATATCATGCGGGGACGGTTGATGGTGATAAATAATGGTAGGTCTTTTCGGAAGTGTTGTTTCGCAAACAACATTAATTAATAAAGGCGATCTGGATGTTAGCTTAATTTTAGCACGTTTTATCCAACACAGATCCCTCCTTTGTGTTGCGAAACTTTAAAAAAAAATATTAACTTATTTCATGGGAAATAACAAAGACTGTGTACTAGAAATCGAAAAAAGAATGCGAAGAGAAAGATAACAGCTTTTTTTTGTTTGCGCATTTGACAGAAGCATGTGTTGACCTAAATGAAACATCGATAAACTTTTTCACACTCACCCCAAGATTTCGGCTGTTGAACTGGTTGAGGTTGTACTGGAATAGCCATTACCGACACTTCTTCCTTAACAAACGCGATCTAAAGGAGTAAATTCAAGAAAGATGAAAGTATCCAAATAGCGGAACTACTGAATGTTAGATCTAAAAGGAAAAACTCCCACCTAACCTTGAGAGGAAGTAGTTTGCTAGGTGACCAAGCTGCTGCCCGCTAGCGTGGCTACCAAGCTCGGCGCTCGAGTACCTTGGAGACACAAAAAAAGCTTAATTTAGTGAAAGGAATCCTTTCTAGAGCAACTGTTAGACCTATGGAAGATATGAAAACACAGAGTTTTTGTTCTTCCTCTCGCGATTTGCTCGGAATAATGCATTTTTGGTGACCAAATGGACATTATTAGAGGCAAGAAGCGTTCAATGCACTGAATAATAAAGACTACAAAAGGAAAGACTATTACGAGGAAGCTTTGGCATCAATAATGGAAAGATATGACGTTATTAGAACCCTCGGCAAAGGAACTGGTGGAAGAGTACTTCTAGCAGCCGAGAAAGAAAGTGGAAAGTAGGTATACAGTTTTATTAGAGTGTTTACTATAGTTATTAGAGTAATAAATGTTTTGATTATTTACTTCTTAACTTTTGTTTGGCTTACCTTAACACGATTAATTATAGCAATATATACATGAAAAAAATTACGCCCCGCTGATTGGCTGAAAACGAATGCATTTGTATGGGTCAATTGCACGAGCCCATATGGCAAGTGCAATTTTTAGTCTCTGAATTTTTTTGTGCTTATTTACACCAAATTGCAATCAAAATCATGTTATTACTTGTTAATAATTTACATGAAAAACGCATCATAGAAAGTCAAGACGGGCGAAATCTTGGTAGAGCGCGCGCTATTTGTAATTTGCAATGTGTTTCAAAATTGGACTCACGTTGCATGAAAAATGCTCTCGTTTTAGTATGAGTAATCACATGATTTTGAGTGCAATTTGGAACAAACAAGCAGAAGCAAATTTTTTCACAGACTAACAAAATTGCACAGGCGCATAGGGCGAGTGAAATTTGTGGTCTTTGAAAAAACTTACAAGTGCTTATTTATTCCAAACTGCAGGAGAAAAATCATGTGATTAGGTATTAATAATGTATGTGTAAGAGTATGAGATAGCTGATCATAATTATGCAGAAGCAAAGCGTGCGCATCAAGTAAAAAAATAATTTATTCAAACCCTGTTGGTGACATTGTGCATTTGGTCAAAACAACTGTGTAAGATCAAAACAAAAATATACATAATTTGATATTTTCACATCTTTAAGGTGCAAATAAGTTCAAAGTTGGGCTAAACAGTTCAAGGAATTGTTCAATCTGGTTTGTTACTTCATTGCACTGAATTAACCCTCTTCTACACTGAATTACCTGAAAACTGCATTTATCTTAACCAATCAGAACTGAGTATTTTTTCCATGTATCTTAATATTCATGTAACATGCACGCAAAGTAACTGTTAAATGAGTGCAAAGTTGTAACATGAGTGCAAAGTTGTAACATGAGTGCAAAGTTGTAACATGAGTGCAAAGTTGTAACATGAGTGCAAAGTATGAATAGCATGTGCAGGCTGTCAAAATTTCATTTGTGTTGACTCACTGTTATGCTTCTTCATGTAAGCTGTTAATAAGATTTTATTGTTTTTAAAAAATTTACTCTTGCTTATCAACCAAACTGCACTAGAAATTGTGAGATCACCTAATTTGCATCTTGACTACAACAACAAATTATCAGTTTTGATGAGAAAATCTTGGTTAAAGTTTGAACTTGTTTTTTCCTTAGGCAGATTGCTATTAAAGAGATAATTTTAGATCCAAATAAAAAGAACAGAACAAAAGAGGCTGTGTTAAAGGAAGCAAGGTACATTCACTTGTGCAAGTTATTTTATCAGCTGATTATTACTATTATTATTAATTTATTATTATTATTATGATTATCATTGTTATCTTCAGCATCATCATTAATTATTAGTAAGAGATGCAGTACTATCACTCTTTATCTCTCTACTGAATTGTGAGGGAGGCCTGATAAATTATGCAAAGGGAAAGGGCAGGGGGTAACCTTGCAGTGGACTGGCATTCTATCCAGGGAAAGTAGTAATGCTCCAGTAGTACTTGCTTCATGCCACAGAAACTGAGATTTTGTAGAACAGATTATGCTTTCATTTCATATGGGATTTGTGCACATAAGAAATGTTCAGCATCAAATGTTTTCATTAAAAGCTGCTATAAAAAAGCTCTTAAAATTACTTTCATTTTTAAGTAATTTTGTGCAGGCCAGCATACAATTTCTATGCGGAAACTGGATCAAAATTGAGATCAGTGATGTACAGAATTACATTAATGGTGCAATGTCACCTTATCACTATCCAAGATAGAGCTGAAATGTTAATTTGTTGAGGAATATAGTTACATCTTTTGCTATTAAATACACTACAAATATACTTGTTTTATTTTGTATTACAGCATTTTAGCCCATTTAAAACATCCTCATGTTGTTTCGTTACAAGAATCTTTCTTTAATTCATCAGAGGAGCTACTTTTTATTGTGCAGGTGAATGTTTTAAAATTTATACTAATGATATAATGGATTTTACTTTAAACCCCTGAGAGTGACTAGTGTCTCATTTCTCCTTACAACATCATTCCTGAATCAAACAACATAAAGTGGAAATGATCACCAACTAAAAGAAGCTGTTGATTGTTTAACAAATTCTCTTTGTATAGAGAACAGTATGGAGAATATTCAAACTGATATTAGTGTGTAGGGCATCAGTATTGCTAATTTTATGTCATTTTCATCATCACATCATTAATCAGTATCATTATTTTTACAGTTTGATTTTTTTTTTATAACTTACAATTGTTTGTAAGTTTGATATCATTGATAACAAACATAAGAATCATTTCCCTGAATGAAATATTGGATGTCCTATGTTTTGTATACTTTGTCTTGCAGGATTTTTGTGATGGGGGGACTCTTCATGATCAGATAGTCAATGCCGTAGAGGTTTGTCTGTTCAGGAAGTTAATTAAATACGCTAAAATAACTTATTCTCAAGTAAAAACAGCACTTCTTATAGAAGTGTTACTCTTATGGTGAGCAGGACTGTCAATAAGGGCAGTTCCTGTAACACTGAGCTCATTTTATGTTACTGGTGAGGTTGTTGATTACTAAAATGTAACACGTGGGCACATATGACAAGTTGCTATGAGTGATATCTCCAATGAAATGACCTCTTCAAAACTCATTGACAGCCCTTGTTAAGATTGCAGTATAGGCACAAATGTGCATGTTATTGATTGCAGAGTAAAGTGCATGTGTAGCAAACAAGCTAAGTAATTGGAGCAGTTGACTCTGAAAAGCTTAAGTATCAACTGAAGGGAAATGTTGGAAAAGCTGAGGTATCAACTGAAGGGAACTGTTGGAAAAAGCTGGCATTTTAGGGAAGTGTGTGTTTCTAACCACAGATTGTGATGAGATTGGAGAGAAACTTGTTTTTTACTTGTTGAGTTGGACTGTTTGATCATTGCCACTTTTTTTTTCCACAGCCGTTTTGTTATGAACCTGTGGATCATTTCAATTTATGTTTTAATCTTTTTAGAAAAAGTCTCCATTTTCAGAGGAGCAGATAATGCAGGTAAGTTAACATGTAGCCACAGCTGTAATAAAAATTCATGCAAATGAACACAAGAAAAATGTATATGTTATATATTTAATGTATAGACTGAATGATAAATCATTCTAGAATGTGGTAGGGGTATGACAGTGATTTTTTTTAACACTCTTACACCCACAAGTAGACTAAAAAGGCTTTCAGTAGTTAAGTCAACCATTTTGTTGATTAGGTGAGTGATAAAACCTCAAGGATACTGTGACTTTTGCATAACTAGAGAGTGTTTTGAATTTAGAAACCCCATACAAAAATCATTGAGCTATTTTAAGGTTGAATGGAAGTCTGCATCAGTGTTTTGTATGGATTTGGGGACACTGTGGTGAGACATCATGGCAATAAAACTATAATCTGTTATTTTGCAGATTGATTAGTTTCCTAATTTATGAGTTGATATAGAATAATAATCAATTTTGACTCATTGTTGTAAATGTATGGTACACAATGCACTTGCCCTGCAATTTATGACAATCATATGTGATCTTGACATTTTGAATGTAAGAGCAATCTTTGCAGTAATGAACTCTTTTTATTTATTGATAAGCAGCAGTGAAAATAAGGCCTGAAAAAAAAAGAAGAAAAAATTCAGGCCTGTACGGGATTTGAATGCCTGACCTCTGCAATACCAGTGCAGAGCTCTGCCAACTGAGCTAACAAGCCAACTTGGAGTTGCTGATGAATTAATGTCTGTGACCACATGAAAATCATTCAAGTCGTATTTCTCTACTGCTTAAGTGTGTAAATCATTACTGTGAAGATCTCTCTCATATTCATTTCTAAATCCGCATTAATTCACAGTCATTTACTCATCACGGGTTTCTTACAAACAAACAAATCCTGAACAGGACTGAATTTTTTTCATGCCTTATCTTCAATACTGAGAAAATCGCTCTCGTATTCACTTCTTTTTCTTATTCAAGCTGTTTTTGAACACTTTCATTTGCTCTGCTTTGGTTACTTTTCTTTACAGTGGTTTATTCAAATGACTATGGCTCTGCAGCATATTCACTCCAAGAAAGTTCTTCACAGGTAAATTTTGAAGTAATGGCAGATGCCTCAGATTTGTAAAGTTAGTGTGCAAAATAGATAGGAAAGAGCAAAGAAACAAATATGCGCGCGCGGGGCCGTCTGGATCACAGTGAGACAGACGTATTCAGTCGTCTCTCTGTTGAAAAACAGTGAGTGCCACGCTTCACTCTTGTTTCTCATGAGTTCGTTGGACACTCGAGGAGGAGTCTGTTAGTGCTCGCTTATTTCACGTCCTGTCCAAGGTTTCTGTTCCGAAAAAGATGCACTGTTCAAGATGCTAAATGATGAAATTACATACCATTTTGAAGCTCAGGAACCAGAAGACTATGCACGTTCGGGCATTTAAATGCCTTTTTGGTGAAATAAGGATGTACCACCCTTCCTTCGTCCTTTCCTCACCCTTTCCCACCCCTCCCCTCTGAGCGAACTCAGCTCTCCCCATAATCCAGAAGCTCTCTGCTAACTGAGTGAACCGTACGAACAGACGAAGAGCGAACGTCCAGCGAACGAGCGCAGGGAAATTAAGGAAATGCGAACTAAGGAACAAACTTCACAAAAGATTGAATATACGAGTGAACGAAGAATAACCGAAATCCTAACGAACAAATGAAAAAAACGATTGCGTGGAAGGTTTAATCTAAGAACCAAGAGGCGGGTGATCTAATGCAGATGAAATAAAAGAATAAAGTTGTGAACTATTCCCGTCTCTTTTCCTTTTTGAACAGAACGTGACCTTCATCAAGTAACACGTTTCTTTTTATTTATTTTTCAGGGATTTGAAATCACAGAATGTGTTCTTGACAAAGAAAGGAGTTGTTAAAATAGGTAACAAGATGTTTTATATCACTCACTACCTTTTTTTAGTAGAAAGGTTGTCTTCTTAAGGTTCCATCATGTTCATGTAACACTTGGCTCGACAGGCAGACATAAAGATCGATAGGCAAGAGGCAAACAGATAAACCGAAAGATAGACAAGAGGCAAACAGATGGAGAGACAGATGGAGACAAAGAGGCACTGGTAGTAATTATCAACACTTCTCTCTTGAATTTTTCTTCTCATTATTTCCGTGTTAGGTGACTTTGGAATTGCGCGAATGATGGAGAACACTTTTGACATGGCACAAACTTGTTGTGGTACTCCATGTTACTTGAGCCCTGAGCTATGCCAGGATATGCCGTACAGCTCCAAGGCTGATGTCTGGGTAAGGACATTGATCGGTTGTGAATCTAGTTAGTTAGAGTCCTGCAAAGGGTCCCCACCAATAGGAGAGTCCAATTCCAAAAACATTTACGTGCCCCTTGATCGTGAGAATTTGAAAGCCGGGAAAAGTAAATAAACTTTAACGTTATACTGAATAATGCTGAATATCTGGATGGTCAGAAAACTTATACTTCCTTCGGTCCAGATCAGTTAGCCCTATTAGAGTAGTTTTCCATCGACTATCGATTAACTAAAACCAAAGTAATTTCAACAGCCAGTCATAACAAAGATCAACACCATTATTAGCCAATAAAAACTCAAAGTTAAAAACAGGCATACAACCAAAAATGCGTGGAAACGCCGGTGACCAAGCCACGATTGTTTCGTTTTGCGTCTGATCGGTTAAGGGGATGGCGCATGCTTTTTAGGCCAATCACAGAGCGGAATAAAGCAGAAGCAAAGTAATCCCCGATTCCTTTCTAGACTCTCCATAAGTAACGGTATCATAGGAATATTTGCAAGCGCAATGCTTTACAACGCGCGCTACCGAGGAATTGATGAGTGAACTGTTTTCTTTTCGCAGGCCCTTGGTTGTCTTCTTTTTGAGATGTGTGCGTTGCGTTATGCTTTTGATGCAACAAACTTTGTCAGTTTGTTTTACAAGATTGTCAAAGTGGACCACGGAGTAAGCCTTTAAATTTCTTAATTTTTCTTCATACAGCTTTCCTTGAGGAGGGTTCATGTTAAACTGTACCGATTAATCGTTTGCGATTAGGCTCTCTTTAGTGCCGTGGTGAGAGCGGCCAAGCCTACGATATAACAGCCGGCGAGGGTGCAAGAGTTCTTGCGTGGGGTTTGGCACTAAAGAATACTCACGGACTTCTCGCGCGCTCATATAGTTCGCCAGTCGTGTCGCATTGTTTTGTATTTTTTCTTCTTTCCTTTCGATTTGACGTCACTGGTGGTCCTTGAAATCTGATTAGTTGTCAGCATTACAATTTCTTAACTGCGATTAATTGCGATCAAGAATGACGTTGCTTTTTCCCTTTAAATCTCATCTAGTTCCCAACGGCTGAGATATGAAATACCAAACGAAAAAATCACCCAATCAGATTAAAAGACCTGTGAAAGTAACAAACTGGATTCCAGAGAATGGAAGACAAATTTAGAAGAAAAAGCGAAAAAAATTTACAAACCGGCCACTGAATCGATTTTGATATCATTTTGATATCACGCATATAATTTTTCAATTCAGTTCAATGACCATTGTTAATTTTCTCTCTAGGAAGTTCCAGCACGGTATTCGTCTTCCTTAAAAGCCCTCATCAAACAACTTTTGGCAAAGTCCCCGGATGACAGACCATCGTAAGTGAGGGTTCATTTGACTTTTCACATAACAATCACGTGCTGTAACGCTAAGCACGCGATCCTCCCTGTAACTTGCTTTCATCTTCCAAGATGAAGTGACAATAGCTGCAGTTTGACCGTTCGATTCAAGTTCGAGTTACCCACGAGTTACTGCTATGAATTAATTTTTTTCTTTTTCTCTATTTGTTTTTTAAAATATATTTTAGCGCTAATTTATCTTTTCAGTGCGGGAGCAATCCTTAACCTGTCTTTTGTTCAAGAGCATCTCGCAATTTTCATCAAAGAAAAGGAAAACCTCCAAGAGTCGTTGCATGCAAAGTAAGTAAACTCACCTAGTTCATGATACGCGCCATATCAGAAGTACGTTTCAAAATACCTTTCTAATGGCATCCTACAAAGCTAAGTTAGGCGACGGATATACACGAGGTTCCTACTATGTAAATCAGGAATTCTGATTGGTGTTGCAAATCGTTTGGCTATAAATCATTTTGCCAAAATTCTAAGAGTGGCTTGATTGGTAGTGAACAGTGCCCAAACGAAACTCAGTGTATGTCTAGAGGGCGATTTCTGCCAAACATGATGACATTATCAATCATGTCTTGTTGTTAGACAGCTGTTGAAGACCGCAGCTGGGAGTAGAAACAAGTCTCCCAGCATGCCTCAGCGGCCATTGTCGGCTGCAGGAATCAAATCCCCGGATGAGAACCGCAGATTGATGAAGGTCAGATGCAAGTCAGCTCAGCCAATAAACAGAGAACATCAGCCAATACCGACAGAGCAAAAGAAAGGTATGACACATGATCAGCTCTTGATCGTCGTCATCAGATACTTACACTGACCATGGTAGCTAAACAGTACTTCCTACATACTTCTAGAGCCAAGCTCTAATGAAGGGCTAACGCTCGAAATGTCAGCTTTTAAGACACTTTACGGTGGCCAATTTACGTTATCAACTCTGTTGATAAAACCAAATTTTTATGTGGAAAGATTTTTGTTGTGGAGACAACAAATAATTTAACCTTTTTCTAAAATATATATATTTTTCTGAACTAAATGATGACACAATGCCTACTCGAATATTGTTTGACCATGTTACATTCAGAAGTCAGTCCAATATGTCAGCCGGAAGACCCTGGCGAGTATTCCGACGATTTCGACGAGTCGGACGACGAAGATTACTCGGATGAATTCGAAGATGATTCGGAGCTAAACGGTAACTCACTGAAGAAGCCATTATCTGCAACAAAACTGACAGAAAGTGGAGGTGACGAGGAGACAGAAAATGAATATCCTGATGACTTTGAAGATGACTCCGAAGAAGAAGAGGTATGTTGTAATCAGAATACGATTGAAAAACGCAGAGAGCATTAAAATATTTACTTTTCCTCAAGTGGAATTATCCAAATGTTTGTTTACCATACTATTTTCTCCAGGTTCTAGGTGACATTTTGACCAATGCCAGAGCTGCTCATGATGGTGAAGGTGAGTCCTGCTTCCATTTGGACGATTAGTTAAATGCAAATGCCATGGGTCTATTGAGAAATTCCAATATGGAGGATGGCTCTATGCTACTGAATCATGGCTGGACTGATGGTTCAGATATTACTTAACAAAAAGATTCCACGTTGCCGTATCTCTGTTCAGTAATAGATCCCAAATGACATCAAAATGTGGTAAGAACAAAAATCTGGCAGATGAGACGCAGCCGAGTGTGTCACCGATGTCTTTATAACATTTTGACGTCTTACGCGAGCTTTTATTAAACAGACCCCCGACAACATGGAATCAATATGTTTTATACCATGTAAAAGCAAAATGTTGTTAAAGGTGACGTCATCTATGCATCTGTCCTCTGATAGGTCATGCGTGAATGATTCAGCTTATCATATAGTTTAAACTGCTGTGTGTCCTGGTGTTATTATTATTATTATTGCTTTGTCCTACAATTAATATTGAAATTCCTTGTCGCAGTACCGGAAGAAGAAGTCGTTGAGGACTCCGACAGGCCATTGTCTTGTAAACAGAAGCTCAAAGAGTAGGTGGATAGTGATATGCTATGTCATGCGCTACTTACACCAACCAATTTTGTACTCTGCCCTTAAGATTCCTACCTCTTTCAACGAGAACTCTTCCGTCGCCTTTTAGATCTTGGAAATATGACCCGAGAGTTCTTCGTTTGCAAGCTGAGATGATCTTCTCTGTTCTCTATCATCCTTGATCACTTCTGATTTAATTTATTGCTCTTGTATTGGCGTAAGATTTTTTCGTGCTATCTCATCAGGCATGTGATAACAGTTATCGGAGAAAAAATGTTTGAGGAAGTACGGGAGAGGTTTGCCAAAGGAGAGTTGGAAACTGATCAAAGGTAGGAATGTTTTCGATCGATTGACGCGGGTGTATAGTTGTTGGTGACAATCATAGTCGGTGAGGGGTAGGGTAGGGGCAGGAGGTTGTTCTAATTAGAATGAAAAGCTGTAGAACATAGTTCAGGTCTTGTTTATTTTTACGATATGATGAAAATTTTGAGGATATGGATGAGGAGTCACCCACTCCCTCTTCCTCCCTTACCCTCTTTAAAAGCAGTGAAAAGACAGTTACATATAAGTCATAAAGAGTGCTATATAATGGAAGAAAACTATATAACAGCTTCTTACACTTTTTTTCACTCTCCAGACCTGAATTCGAACAAGTAACAGGATCCAAAATGGTGGAAACTTGTTATCTGGTGAACGAGTTATTCATTGGATCAGAGGAAAGAAGTTGACTTTGTCTTATACATAGAATCACTGCTGTGTCAGAGGGAAAGGAACGAACCTATGACTCCGTTTCATAGACATTGATAAATCTTAGTTTTTTCTAGCAAGATTTAGCGATCATCGTGACTAATTTAACTCAGAGCTTTCGAAGAGTGGGCGTTATGCTTTAGTATTATTATAATTATTATTTTTATTATTATTATTATTATTATTATTATTATTATTATTATTATTTTTATCATGATTATTGAATCCTCTACTGATTTTACCGCAAGTCTAGACATTAAGATATTTGGCAAATTTAAACTTTTCTACGACTCTGTCAATCCTTGTAAACAAGGAATTAGAATTGTGTTTTCATTTCAGTTGTAAATATATTTGTATCTATTGTCTAGCCAAAAATTTATTGTGTGAAAAGTTTGTATATTTTTAGAAATAAATTGCAGATAGAAGAGAAAGTCGTCATTAGATGATAAGAGCTGGGTAACTGGCCAGAGCACACAGATGATTTTTAATACCGATTCTAACTTTGCCTTTTTGAAAGGAATGTTTTTTGAAGCACATGGCAAAATTAAAAATCCTTTCGACTTTGTTTGAAGCTGTTTGTTACCAGATGTTGGAAACTTTCCCATGTGTTACACTCATTACAATTGTTCCTACATGGTGCCCTTTTTGTCTTAAAAATTTATCAAAAAGAGATCAACTGATTTCTTGGATATAGATGAGGGTATGCAAAATTTTCAACTGCAAACATATCTCGTCCTACGGGATCTTGTTTCGTCTCAACTTCCTGTATATTAATGTGTTGGTTTGCCACAATCCTGAAAGCTTTTGATGGAAATTTCACCTTATTATATTTACTTAATTTTCCTCTCATTTATTACGCCAGGTTGCAAAAACACACAAAAACTGACTTAGCTGAGCTATCTTGACTTTGAGTGATTGACTGACAATGTTAAAACGGCCCGCCTGCTGATATTCACGCATTCAGATTGGTGTCGCAGAAATCCTTCCGCCTTTGTCAATAATTCATCATTCAAGAACTGGGTTAAAAAGGTCGTAGACTTGAAAATGATTCTGTGAAGCTCATTGGCAATCAGGTGAGACTAGAGACCAAAAATTAATGTAACTGCAATTATTGGCAATACAAACATGAAAAACATGACGGTGAGGTGAGCATGCTGTCTAATGCATGCTGTCCTTTTTGCTGGCTGAAACCAGCTGTTGACTTTCTAAAGTTTACAGCATACAGATCGAATACAAAAGCGAAACTGGGTAAGTCTTACGATCAGTGTAGCAGAAAAATAACATTGCAAATTTTGAAATGTCAATGAACGTGATATTTTGATTCGTGTTAGAGAAAAAAAATAGCGTGTTCCTTCTAATATTACCATAAACAAAGGAAAAGTTTTATTTCAGAGAGCTCAAAATGCACGTACAGCCCACCATTTACATACTGAATGAGATTCGGGTCAATTAAAACATAGTAAATGGAGTGAACTCGGTGATAAGTCTCGGCATTTATCACGCAAGTTCCCATTGTTTTCATTAATTCTACGTAAAAGTTACTGACTGAAATTTGGAGCAGAGCGACCGCAGTTGACCAAGTGTTGATTAGTCGCCCACATGCTCGCGATTTCATTATGTTTCTTGATTAATAATTTCGATCTTGGGCGTCTGAACTCAAAAGCAATCGACTTCTCATGGTCAATTAAAATTGTAGTAAAAACAACCCCGCCGTACTGTGATCGAAGCATGTTTTCAAAGTTTTGACTCGTTCCTGATTGTAATCTAATATCATGATGAGAAAACGACAATATTTTCCGAAGGAAGTACAATTTGATTGAACAGGTGCAAAGTTGAAATGTTTCCCAGACTAGTTTATTCCTCGATGTGGCCACGGAACCACTTTTTCATCCCTCCTCACGATCATTTTAAAACTTCAAGAGAGATACATCGTCGCGCTTGTAGATAATCATTCATCAGGTAACATATGCGTACTTCAGAAGTTTTAAAAAATTTCAAAAAGGTGACATTTTTTAATCCTCCTGGTCTCCCGAAGTAAAGGTATATTCTACTGAAGCTCTCTGCTTGATCGTAGAGTTTCGTTTTTGTTTGTCATTTTGATAAACAATAGTTTTTAAGCATTCAGACGAAGAAAATACGAACGAAGCTGTCTTTATCAACTCTATATGAAAATAGAAATGAGTCAGCATGATGACATTTCAAATACACGTATAAAAACTATTATTCCATGTTGGGGTCTAGCGCTTAAAATGAGGTCAGACTCCTGTGCAAACTTCTCCCCAACCTCCCCGCGGGCAAAGAAACGTGATTCGCTAAAGTAATTAAAAAACCAAATCCGAAATCGAATGCTGAGATAACTATTGAAGTCAGTTGTGCAAAACATGTTATTTGTCCGAGACTTGTGGATCAATCATTTGCCTCAGCCTTCGGCATGGACAAATAATTGATCTTCTCACCACAAGAATATTTTTCTAAAGTTGTTTTAATGATTGTGCGTTGTTTTGGTTTTACGTAACGGTGCTAATACTAGCAAAGAAATCAAAATTGAGATATTGAGACCAACCTGATGGAAATTGATAAATTGCAGTCTCCTGCCTTCCCAGTAGACTCCCTTTTTGTATTGTATGAAGAATAATCTTAGAATATCTTAAGAATATCTTAAGTGAAAAAATTAGTAGTATATGCAAGCTGTAATCGTTAATATTACTGCGACAGAAAATTTTTTATATATATCTAACCCCGTGGCAGAGGTTGGACGCATTTATGCGAGTGCGTCGGGAAGAAATTAAAAAAAAATCTTTTTCGCTGGTGGCGTATTAGTGAAGACACCTGTCAATATGCTGTTACACCCCGTTGACCACGCGTAATCAGTTCTTTTATTTTCAAACGTACCGAAAGATCAAGTCAGTTTCCAATAGAGATTAAGGGATTTTGCTCACTAATTTGTCAGATGTGTGACTTGCATTTTTCAAGTGCACTGGCAGGTAACTGATCGTTTTAGACATTTTGGAGAACGTGATTTTAAAAGACATCTTCACATCCAATTGCTCTAAATACAGCTGAGGTAAGAGTCAATTAAATTTTTTCCGTTTCAAGGTAGCTTAAGATCGCCTGATCGCACAAGTCGTGTCGCATTTTACAAAACTGTCTGAAAATCTTAATGATCTCCAGTAAAAAGCGCCTTTTAGAGCGCAATGTAAGTTGCAAACGTTTTCCTGAGCAAACGTCAAAAAAACCGTAGTATATACACATATGAAACTATTTAATGTTGGGAACATTTGGCAAAAGCGATGACAGAATCATTTTCGATTAACTTTATGTTAATTTTGAAAATTTTAATGTGTTCACGCCAATCATCTTGCAAAATGTGAATGAGCAAAATATATTTTGTCAAAAACTCTTGGATGCTCTTCCGGAAACCAAACTCTACATAAACCTGAAGACATCCTTTTCCCTAATTTTTTACCTATCGATTTGAAACAGACAGGGATTTGAACATTCATTTATGCGTAATCGACCAGTCAGAGTGATGACATCTCGTTTCCCTAAGTCTAATCAGTTAGTGGACATCAATTTCCGCCGAAGAATAAGGAACAATTTCACATGCATTACTGCTAAAGTTTATCTTAATCTGTATTGATTGTTTTATCCCTGTATTGTCAGATATTGCGTTCGCTAAGAAAATTTTGCCAAAGTGAGTCTGTGGCTAGTATTTTGTTGCGCACCGTGTTCTGTACATGTAATAGCGCGCGCTCAATAAGCCACCATCTTTAAGCTGTAGATTTTGAAAAACAAAAACTACTGTCAGAAAAAATCCTAGGTCGAAAATCATTCGAGTTTATCACTTCTGCATGCGATATTGTGTTCTAAAGAACAATTATGATTTTACTACTGTAAATTGTTCAGCTTTAGACGGTCTAGCTCTTTAGCCTTTTTTGTCTTGTGCATATATATACGCGCATGCAGCCCTTTTTTTTAGACTTGGTAGTTCTAGTTATAATCTCAAAGAAAGCAATTCATGGTCAATTGACTGCTATTAACTCGCCTCTCTTTACTGTGGTTGCTCAATCCTCGTTATAAAAGTGAAAATAAACAAAGAAACCACTGGACAGAAAGTATGTAACTAAAAACAAAACAAAACAAAAAACAACAACTGAACCAACAAACTATACAAAAGAGTTAAGGATTTTGGCTCTTGGCTCCTAAGTATGGCATGGCGTGGAAGTCATTTTATTTGCTGCAGCTAAATTAATTTCATGTATTCAAGCTACAATTGCCACAAACGCGAATAACTGGGTATCTGAGGTGTTAATTGTATAATTTGTGGTCGTTAAGCAGTTCGTAACTTAGATAGCCAAAATATGTTCATTTTTTCGAGTTTGTTTATTATTCATCGATAATTTTCATAAGTTTTAATTCAAAAGACCTCCAGCTTTCTTTACCTTGTGTCATTCATAGTGATAATGATTTGACTGCGTTCTTTCATTTTGAATTTGATATGAGAAGTGAGACACGATTACGAGCCAATGATTGGGCAATGAAAATGAATTTAGACCTGAATGCTAATGTCACCGCCATAATCATACGAAGCCTTCGATTTTGAGCGTGAACAGAGTCTTCCGGCTTTCTTTGGGTAAGTAAGGAAATGTTTCGTTTCCAGTTGGCCTAGAATCTTCATGCTTATTTGATAGAATTAGTAGCCTAATGTATAACCATTTAGGAGACACAAAACGCCAGCTCTCATTACAAAAACTCAAAGAAATGACCCGCAGTCGACAAAAGACTGGTGGGCTCGCTTGATATTCTCAAACAGCTTTGGAAGCAAACAAGTGATGAATCGACAAAGTATTTGTAAAACGGCATCAAAACGAGCTCTTCGTTTCGTTTGCAATTTCAAATTAACGGACGAGCCTCTCAGATTGAAGAAAGTGTTGCGCAGACATTTTCAATTCAAAACTGCAACAATCTTAAGTCATCCATCACGTTATCGTTATTTCCAGTTCCTCATAATGAAAGAAATACCATCAAGAGGAAACTGTTCTCTCATCAATTCATTATAACTGAGTGCGCTATTTTGATCTATCTTTCCTTGCGCGTATGTTACCCTAAATTCTCGATTTTAAACAATTAATTCAAATTTTGACCTCTTTAATAAAGCAAATTAAAATTTTGAAATAAATGCAAATTTTGAAATAGTGACAAATCTCGATGAAAAGGGCTTAAACAAAGTTTGGACCAGTCCTTCGAAGAGTTGCAATGGACGTACTCAAACCTCTTCTTGCTTACGTAAACGCAAATTCAAATATCGAAAAAATAGTTGCTAATAAGACAAAATAAATAATAGCAGTTTGACCACGCGCGTAAGCAATGTTATCATTGGGCTGTGAGTTGAAGTTTAATTTTCTTGTTTTAAAGTTCCTGGGTATTGAGCAGTATTTAGAATTTCTTTACAAGTGTTATCAACTCTTTTCCAAAAATCTCTCTTTATCAATTGATTTGTTTTGGTCGTAATGCCTTCAAAGGACTGTTTCAAATTTAAGATCAAGCGATCAACTTTATTTCTTGGTTAGTTTGACTTTCTTTTTTCTTAGATTATGATGTTGCAGATTACAACACAAATGAAGGTAAAAATAAACTTGGACGAAAATTATTAGCCGGCATAATTTTTTAATCATAACACTTGCACCTACGTTGCTCTAATCAATTTATTTGCCTCGTGGGCTTCGAAATTTTGACCGAATCGTTTTAGCATGTAAACATAATCCACGCGTTTGATCTGGCAGCGACCTTGAATGGACCAATTATATTCAACAGAGAGTAAACAGTCCATTTTGTTTTTATTGGCTGGTTGATGATCAAATTGAGGGAACGAAAGGTTCACTGTTGCTTAAGAGTACCAATCTTTTTAACCGGATCAGAACTTCCGTTTGAAGATTGCTCAGTGCGCAAACAAATCAGGATGCGGTGATCCTAAATTAACTTATCATGAACAAATTCGTGAGTCGAGTGGACAATATTTGACGACGTCTGATTATTTTCCGGAACAGTTTTGTTTTTATTGACACCTGCCAAGCCTCCTTTAATTCAACAGCTGACCTGATAAGTATTTATAAAATGAAAGAATTGTCAAATTCTCGTGAAAAATTAGTATGTAGCTGGTATGACGAGGCGTTTCGTTCGTCAACAGACTCATGTAGCAGCTTTTTCCAATGTTCAAGCGAACTAATTTAGCAGCAAAGTTCAAGATGTCTGAAGTCTGGCCCTTTATCGTCGACTGATCCTCACGCACGGGCATATGTACTGTTGATTTCCCGCAATTTAATCCCATGTCCGTTTTTGCCTCTGACCAGGGGCATAAAATTGTTATCAAATCATACAAAACCGGAATTAACTCGATAGTTGATGACTTCCACTCATAGGGAATTGTCACACATTCTCGAAACAATTATTTCTTCTGAGACTAGGCAGCTGAGAGTTTTTCTGGGGAAGGTGGGTAAAATTTTCAGGGCTGCGGTATCAATAATTGCTCTCAAGATTGTGACATCCAACCTTATCTACTCTACATTGGTGCCATTCTTGAAACCATTACTTAATAAAGGCTGAAAAAACAGGACAAAACAAAAAAAAAAAAAAAAAAAAAAGAGAAAAAAAGCGAGAGAAAGTAACCACGGGGAGTTTTGGCAATCACTCAACCAAGTAAAATCCTCTTTAAGAAGGACTTGAACGACGGCTAAACCTCGGTGGTCGCATTTAAGCCTCGATTTTGAGTTTCGCCAATCATACTGAGAGTTGTTCGCCTGAAAGAAAAATTGTGAAGCTGATCAAGGCGCATCCGGCAATATGAGTTATCACGCAAAGTAACATGTCTTAAGAAGAGAAACCTATATATTTATCGTGCTCACTTCCATGGAAACGTGTGCGAAATTTCTTCACTTCTCGACTCATTTATCATCACCTCCCGCTAATTAAGAACAACTTTGATTTTTCTGACGTTTGAGATACGAGAGCTGGAGATCATCATGTTTACGTTGTTCCGGCCTTGACATCGAAAGCATTTACAGAATGAGGTGAACAATTTGTTTAATTAAAACATAAAAGAATCTCGTCAAATGTCAGAAGAACACTTGAAAAGCAATTAGCCTGGGAAAAATATCAGAATTTTTTCAGATCTTTTCCCGGCTTCTTCGAGTTGTGGTAAGTTTGACAGCTTTCTTGTCTTCTATCTCATTCGAAAATTAAAATTAGAACTTTAGAGTAGATTATCCCCATAGCGCTAGTACGGTGGTCAGAATCCCGTTATCAGGACACACCGTCTGGCCACAAAAATTGATTGCGATAATAAGACGATGACTGAACCTGTAATATTTTGGAGACACAACGACTGAGTCTTGATATCAACATGGTGGTTGTATTTCGTTGAAGGAGTGTTCTCCGTACATGTTAAAATTCAAGGCTATGTGGACAGGTTTGCTAGAATTAAAGGATTTTGTTAAGGTGAAGTAGTAATGCGCAAGACGCGTGTGTGGGGCCAAGATCACGAGCCAAAATCATTTGAGGTGAGATCTCTTCGATAGCGGCTTTTGACGCTTTGTTAGAATATATGAAAAAAATTATAGTTATGAGTTGAAATTATAGGAGTGCACTGGTCTTATTCAGCCGAGTTCGAGTCATCTCAGCCAGATTTTATTCATTATAACAGAGAATTTATTCACTTGCGATGGAGAAAAATATCTTATCCAAGCCACTTGACAGCGTAGGTCAATTCAACACGGTCTTAAAATCCAAGAATCTTTCACCACCAACGCGTAGATTGAGACAATTTGTGCTTAAAGTACACCAAGATTACGAATTGTTTGCTTACACATCTTACATGTGCGAGCTACTCATGACTTTTGCACAACATGACATGAAGTGTCACATACAACCATGCCGGAACATTAACAGTTATGAAAAAATAAGGAAAAAAGGGGAGCCATGTGCTGTTAATTCATTTTTAATTCTATGGGTCATTTTGGGCGTGCAATCGCAGTGACCTCAATGAAGAGAATTTACATTTGAGTCTGTGTAATGAAAATATGGGATAATTAGAAAGTACACCTTTTATTTTGATAAGAAATTAATGAATAAGCATGAAGACTTCACTTATACTCTTCCTTCCGGCCGTAAATATACGTTTGACCAAATCTTGAAACAGGAATTTCACCGGCAAGATAAGGCAAGTTTGGAAGGATTCCAGAAGCATGCGATCAATCGGAGAATGCCTCGACCATTTTTCTTGCAAGAAATTTCACTCGATATAGAGCTTTAATGAACAAGCATAGGGTCAGAGCTTGAAAACCCGATATCAGTCTTTGTATGATATCATGATCTTAGTCGTTTGCAGGAGGCGTATTACATACAAACCTTGTATTGATCTAGTTCACTGTTTCAACTTCTATGTAGCTTCATGGTAGACTATCAGAATGCAAAATTCTAAGGTTCGATTCCTTATGAGGGTATTCGGATTTTTTTCTTTTCCAACCAACGTGAATAACCGATTTAAGTCTCTTATTATGTACCATCTTTTTTATTTCGTTTTTTTTTTTTATACATTACTCTTAAAAGATATCGACATGTCAGTTAAGGAGCTGTCAAAAGCATCAACGTCGGCTGAGCATGGAAAAGCGTCGATTACCAAATTCGTTTTCTCAATAGGCTTGAGCCTGTCTGGCGGCATCTTTGAAGGCGCCATACGTACTTTGGTCGATCTCATTTGGTCGATCTCATTTGGTCGAGATTCTCGTTTGTGAAAGACAACTACGAAATGTCGAGAGTGTTACAGCGAACGCGCAAATTTTTCGCCATCACCACGTTAATTCGCTTCGCTTCGTGGCTTGCTTTAGGTTGTTGTTGAGTTCCAATTTTATATCCAAAAAGAGACAAATTACCTGATAGGGCAAAGTATCCATACATGAAGACATTGATAGCCGTTCATAGAAGTCACAAGATGTAATCCGCTATTTCTAGTGCACTGTTTCCTAGTTTTCTGTAATGAACCCAGAAACATGGCTCAAATTTAAAATAAAAACTGTTTAAATATGATTAAATTTAAAACGCCTTGTTTATTTTCCCAGCCAGCAAGACAGACTATAAATGTAAACGAAGAAACAACGCAAATATTATTTTGCGTTACACCTATTCGGGTTGGCTGACACGACAAACAAATTGCCGATATTAATATTGATCAAAACCGCCAAAGAGTTGAATTTATGAAACAGGGTGAATTTTGTGGGCCAGCGAAATTTCAGCTTCTGTCCAACTGCAGCTGTCCTCGATATTTAGAACATAATACCAACGAATTTGTAAAATTTTGAGCGTTTTATTTTTTTTTTCTTTAAAACAGCTCATTATAATTCAAATTCTAACCCAAACAAAAATGCAGCCGCTTATAATTTCAGTTTGGATATATCACTAAATTGAAACGCTGTTGAAAGACGTTAATTACGCCAAATTGCGCCGGCCGCAGAGACCACGAAAAACGAAGAGCTAACACAGCCGGAACAAGATAACGAGGATGATATATCTGCTTATTAAGATGTACAAAATATATAAAAGACGCATCTTATTCTTTCTTTTTTTAACTCAAAAGGTCGACTATTTTTTTTGCTGTCTCTTCAACAGACTTGATAACTTATTCATAGGCACGAAAACTGTATCTGCTTGCTTATCAGTCTTGACGTCATCGTTGAAACACCAAAGATCTATTATTCCTCTTCGCGAACAATAAGCAAACACAAGCAGGCTGTCGTTCTTTGCGACTCACTTCCCTCCAACAAGGCTTCTTGTGAGGTAAGGTATCTTTAAATACGGTCACTTATGCATGCATTTTGGCCAAATCCGATAAGTAACACTTCATTTTTAGGCTTAAGCGCTTAGCAATTGGGACCCTTTCTGAAGAAAGGCTAAATTACCATGCTCAGTGAAAACAGTTTTATCGTTATTGTTTAAAGAGTCCTATTTCTAAAACTCCACGTCGATTGTTTTCTAATATTCCTTGCAGAGAGATGTTGCACTAAAGAAAAACCATGTATGGGATGCTCTTGGAAAGCGTAGAGCATTTCTTGAAAGAGAAATACGGTGAAAAAATCTGGCATTTAATTCGTCAGCGGACAGGAATTAAAAATCATGTATTCGTGACACACGAACGGTACTCAGATAATCTGATGTTGGAAATCGCGTCTGCAGCGGTAGAAGTACTCGGAAATGAGACAAAAATGACCTCGGAAGACTTCATTCAATTTTTTGGGACGTGCTTTGTGAAATTTTTCAGCAACTACGGCTACGATAGGTTTATACAAATAAGCGGCAGGCATTTTAGTGACTTCCTACGAGGAATCGACAATTTACACGAACACATGCGATTTGCTTACCCAAAGCTCATGTCACCGTCATTCTACTGTTCAGAAGAGGCAAGCACGGGATTACTGCTACACTACAAATCTAAACGTCGAGGATTCCAGCGATACGTAATGGGGCAAATCATGGAGGTGGCTAGCATGTTCTACAACATCGTTGTTGAGATGCAAGTACTAAAAAGTGATTCAACTGAGTCAGGTTGTCACGTTGTTTACAAACTTAATTTTGACAACTCGGCTTTTAAACCTCCTACGCCCGACGCTCTGTCAATTCAACATAATCGCGATTTATCTTGCGAGGCTTTTTTTCATATCATGCCATTCAGTTTTCTCGTGACGCCTGACATGAAAATATATATGGCAGGAAAGGCATTATCTTCAATGCTTGGAACCATTTTAGTTGGAAATCGTGTAGATGCAGTTTTTACCTTACGACGACCTCAAAGGGAATTTTCCTGGGAGAACGTAAGTGGGTTTTGCAACTGCTTAATTTTTTAAACGAATTAGTATATTTGTAGACAATGACACTCGGTAGAAAAAAATAATTTAAAATCGCTTATGAATTAGTAAATTTGCATAGGTTCAAGAATATACTATAAATTGATATTACAAATGCAATATTTCCCTCGCGTACGGAAACAAAAAAAGCTTCTAAGTTGAACTCCATTTCCATGGGAAAACTTTGATAGTATATGCGACAGAAGATTTTAGAAAACAAAGAAACAAAGTCATCAGCGTTAGCGCAACTAAGGACTTAACACATTTTCCGCATGGTAGCGTTGTTCAATTTCCAATTACGATGATGCCAATTTTAGATAGGCGTGTTTGCAAAAATCATTAAAAAAAGAAAGTGCAAAATTAAACTTTTTAGATAACGGTAATATTTTGGCACGTACATATTTGTGGGAAAAAAAGCGCTTTAGTTTTTATCTTAAATCTTCTATCTCTGGCGTAATTAATTTACATCTGCCTCATTAATTTATATTCTGCCCCGGGGACATTTAAAAATAAACAAAATTTTTTTCGTTTTTAAGCGTAAAATTTTGTTGCCAAGGTCAGAAACTCAGGTAATCCTCCCTGATTCTAGATTTTCTAAGTGATTGCTAGATAAAAAGTGCCATGAGAGTTTTCGGTCAAGTTCAGCCTCAAAATTAATTAAAAAGCGGAAGTGAAATTGGCCGTGCCTAATGCAGATGCAGTAACTAAACTGTTTACAAATGCAGATGCTCACAAAAATCATGTCCCGCGCTTCGGGGCCCATTTGCTATATTTAACAGTATCTTTCCGTTGTCCAGATGCGTTCGTTTGATATAAGATTGTATCAAGACACTGCCAACAAAGTTGGCAAAGATAAAATTTTATTAAATCTTTCTTTTTTTATATGCAGATTAAATCATGGAATGTCATCTGCGAATTAGTTGGCAAACATCCGTGCTTAAAGAATCACTCCAGCAAAAAACCTCCGCTGAGGGCTGTGAAATCAGTGGGTAACGAAGATCATCATAAACCCAGAGAGTCAAACCACATTTTAGAGCGTAGAACGATATTAGACGAAACCGGACATCACAACAGTTTCGCGGCTCTTAAATCACGGCGACATAGTGACCATCCGCTAAACGGTACTTTGGTAACAAAATTTTGTGGAAGTGATTACTCGGCTAAAGTGTCGAGGCCTTTGCATCTGAGAGGCCAGATGAAATATCTAAAGAAATACGATATGGTGTTGTTCATTTGCTCTCCTATGTAAGTTGTTATATCATACTCAACTCATCTAACGTACTGGCCGACCGACTGACTGACCTTGACTTCCTGACTGACTGACCTTGACTTCCTGACTGACTGACCTTGACTTCCTGACCGAGTGATTTGACTCACTGACCGACGGACTCGACCAATAGTCTGACTAACTAATTCACAAACTGTCCGACATTTCCAAGTTATTTCATTTCTTTTTACCCTTATTTTTGTCTTAGTCTTACATTGTGACTATTTTTTGTCGTTTCCCGAGTGGAAAGCTTTGCACGTTTTTATCCAATATGGCATTGACACTGCTATCAAATATTCTCGTAAACACAATATATGAACGACGATGAACTATAAAGCTTCAGAATGGCATCTAACATAATATTATATATTATATATCCTGTCTTGAAAGCTCATCATTTTAACATGTCGCTTACGAAAAGCTTTTCACCTCTCCAAATAGATCTGCGGACAATTGTGATGTATTGCTTACACTGAGCACAAGCAGTAGAACTACCATTTTATTTCTGTTTGTCTTCGAGCAAGACAACTTTCATTCCTTTTAAGTCATTAGCATTCTTTGCACAAAATTTCATTACCAGCGAAACATTTCACACATTCACTAAAACATGTGAATAAATCTCTCTTAATTTGTGGATGATGCACTTGGAAATTGTATTTAAGGTAATTGCTTTTAACTGAACATATTCCATTCTCAGGATAAGCAGTGTGGAAGAAATGGCCCGTACAGGGATGTACATAAGTGATCTGAGAATGCATAACTCCTCGCAAGAGATGGTTTTATCTGGTATCCAGCCTCTTCCAGAGCTTGAATATGCACGTGATCAGGTACCAGGAGACTTTATAGTTGTCCTCCGGGATGTCATGCCATGCCCTGGAGCGTTGCGTGACATCCCAAAGAATTGGCTGAATAGGCTACGTTACGATGTCTTGTTGTTTCGTTATTATGATTGCTATTACTATTGCCATCGTTTTCTTCTTCTTCTTCTTCTTCTCCTCCTCCTCCTCCTCCTCCTCCTCCTCATCATTATTATTATTATTATTATCGTTACTTTTATTATCATGATTAATTTACAAGGATGGATGGTACCATGATGGTTTGACCCTTTGAAGCAGACAGCATTTCCACTTAAATTCCCGGATAACAGCAAGCGAATATTTAACAATTATTATTCGTGAACCTCGAGACGAAATTAGGGGGCATATTCAATATGTTCACAGAGCCTAAGGCGAATAATTGTTTTTTGGTATAGTACCTCAGGTGTTTTGAAATTCTACTGTAAATTCTGTCACATTATGTTACGATTGTGTTGATTACTCATATCAAGATATACACATAGTTTTAACAGGTTTATTTCATTCAATCAGTAAAAACTTCATACTTACTTTTGTTCCGCTTGGAAAGTGGAAAAATTAAAAGTGGAAGCTATAACGAAAAGCGGAAAGCTATAATTGAAAATGGCCGCAGGGCAGCCATTTTCAATTATAGCAGCGCCCCTGCAATAATCACCTCGCGCGAGATGATTATAGCGAGATATGACGGAATGCTCGACCAATCAGAGCGTGCGCATCTCAACAATTACTTGAGCAATTATACTAGATATATAGGATATTACATGGCCGCTTGGGGATACGAATTTTATCTTCGAGTGCTGAAGCGAAGCTCACTCGTGAGAGATACTTTCAGCACTCGAAGATAAAATTCGTGTCCCCAAGCGGCCATGTAGTGTTTTGTTTATTTTATTTATACTGATGAAATTTCAAAAGAACCCGCCGCGCGCCTGAGCGGGAAGCTCTTTTGTAATTGGCTAATCATGTTAGTAACCATGGCGACACCAGTATCCTCACACGTGAAAGATAAAAATAGTATCTTCACTGCGCGCGATGAAGATATGATTTTTTAATTAGAGGAAAATCCTGGTATTTCATCAGTATCTACATAATAAAAAATTATTATATTCACATTATATTTAAAATAAGGTCAAATTTGTATGTTAAACGTACAAGCCTGAAAAGGAATCAACGAGAACAAAAGAGATTTTCACGATGCTCATATCTTTTGCAAACCCAAAAAACTACAATTTGATAAAGTAAAAGCAAATTTCTTTTAATGGCTAATTTTTCCCTTAAAGCTCTTGGATCGGGGAAAGATGTTAGAGGAGAGTTTAGAGAAACTTGATCAGGAGAGGCAGAGGAGTGAGGAACTTCTATATCGAATGATGCCAAAAGCTGTAGCTGACCGGTTACGAGATGGTCAGAAAGCTGTTCAAACTTGTGAGGTAAATTGGTGAACATAACACAGTTTTCACTGTAAATGAAACTAATGGCTTTAAATATAGCTTTTTTAACCGAACTAGTATACCTAATCATATTACAGAATCAAATGGTATTGCAGCCTGTGAAAGGAATGATATAAATTTTCTTAAGGATAATCAGAATTTCTAATTTTATATTTGTATAGACTTTTCTTACACCTTAATTAGTGAGACATCTCTAGCATGGTGCGTGAGCGCTTTTGGTTGTCTCCTCCTCCACAACGTCTCTTTATTGTAGTGATAAATCTTAAGTTAATTTATTGTCTATTTGTAATCTACTTGAGTGAATCTATAATAAGGATGATTGTAAAAACTTCTAAATCAGGGATATTTTTGGTTTAACTTTAATTTTCGCCTCTAAATTGTCTTTTATCCATCTTTTCTTTCCTTTCAAGCATTTTGATAGTGTTACCATCATGTTCAGCTACTTGGATAATTTTGACAACATTTGCGCTAGCGTTTCACCAATGGAAGTCGTCACTCTAGTAAATAAGATGTTCTTAACTTTTGACGAACTGAGTGAAAAACACGACGTCTACAAGGTACGTAGAATTCAATAAATTTGCATGAGTAAAAGCAACAATTGTTTTCAACCAAAAAAAAATGATGATATTGAAAAAAGGGAAGATGCCACAAGAATGTGAGCAATGTGAAATGATATCAGTGGCAGAAAAAGCAAGTTGGAAGAATGATACCTTACACTTGATGTACCTGCGAGAAGTGAACATCTCCTTGAAAAGAGACGCAAGAGGAAGGCATTTTATTAGCAACTTCAGCAAGCGTCTGTTTTCACTCGCAACACCTGCAGTGGGGACTGCTATTCGCGTTTCGGACTATACAGCCACTCGCGAGGATGCCAAAAACAAATCCAACGGACACTACACAAGCATCTTCCGTAGACGGACGCATGACCACTACTACTATTACTACCTGCGTGAAGCATAACAAGGAGGTTCAAAGAAATAAACAGCCCTTTTTCAAATTACGGTTACTGTTTGTTGGTTATAGAAGATAGGAAAGGATTTCCAGCCCAGCGCTCGTCAAAATATGGCTTATCTCGTAGAAATACTTGGCGATACTACCCACCAAAGCGTCTAGGAGGTTTATTTATTAGGAGAAAGTGAAGTTCTGGCAGCGTTGACTGTTCCATGCACTAAAATGCTGAACTTGTATTTATAACTAGAAAGAGAAGGAACTTGGAACTCAGTTTTCACGGGGGCTCCCGTCTTACCGGAATTCTTGCGTTGAAAATTCCTTTACTGAAATTTTCATCGTCAAAACGTATCTGTGCTCTGACTGCCACTATATTGCCATCCCTTCGAACATCTGATGGAACTTAGCCTTTTTGCGGATATCTCGGAAAACAAACTAGAGACTCTCTATGAATGATTTTGTAGAGTTAACAAAACTCAAGCCTAGGCCTGGATTGGCTTTCCTTTTCACTATTTGTTTTCGCCTTTTGTAACGACAAGTTGAAATCCTACATTTTTTTTAGTTTCCACTGTCCTATGGCATTGTTACTACAGTAGGTGTCTATCTGTAAGCCGTGACAAATCCCAATGATCGCAAAATCTTTTTTTAGTTTGAGACCCTTGGGGACGCCCAGTATATGGTGGTCAATGGTGTACCAGTTAGAAAGGACCGACACGTGGAGCCTGTGGCAGCAATGGCCCTAGATATTTTAGACTCAGTTCGAGAACTGAGACATCCCACTTCCAAGAGGTTATTAACTGTTTCAATAGGTGCGTTGCCAACAAGTATAGGAGAGAGTGATTTGTTAAAGTTTGGTGTAAACGGTATATAAGAGCAAACAATTCAAGAAGGAAGCGCCGTTTAATTTTTCCTAGTTACGAGGAACAAATTGAATGTAGAAAACTCAAGACATGTTTTGTTATCCAAAGGGATTTATGCTCATGAAGACACTAAAAACGACCTTTTGTCTCAGTCTGTATGTGGTCAGATTTGTATGTGTATTGTGCATGAAATGTTGTGCGCATTTTGGAGAAAAATACTATTTTGACGGATCTTTTTTTGAATGATCTATTCTCAGTATTACACCTCATGAGAGATGTTTACAATAGTATTAAGTACTGATCGTTTTCTAATGACAACTATTCATGTTGAAAAGCAAACTCATTTAAAAATCAAGAATTCTTTAATAAAGGTTGTTTTACGAACTCTTTATTTACAAGCGAAGCGATCGGGTTGTTTTTGTCTTTCTCACTTAGGGATACATCTTGGGCCGGTAGCAGCTGGACTCGTGGGAGAGAAAATGCCACAATACTGTCTGTTTGGTGACAGCGTGAACATGGCGGCAAGACTCAGAACAACGTCTCTTGTAAGATTTCAGATAGGCACTTTTGTTGTACTTTTCGTTGTACTTTTTGTGTGAGTGATGCATTACTCCATAGACTATCTTTTCCTCACCGAATTTTTTGTTATTTACTTTTTCGGAAATATTTGAAATACCAGGATGCCGTTCTCATGGTTCTTATGGTATAAAATGCAAAATCTTACACTCGCAAAAGATAATAAACTCGACACTAAAGCAAGCTTTCTTCTTATCTTTTAAAAGCCGATGAGGATTCATATTAGTAAAAGCTGCCACGAAAGCTTGAAGGAAATTGGCTTTAAAACAGAGTTCCGGGGACAAACAGAGCTAAAGGTAGGTAGTACTCTTAACACGATTCGTGTATTTCTGTATTTGCACTGATATGCTGGGCCTTTTTGGGTATTTTGAGGGAACCAACAAGAGACTCTTTGATGTCTACTTCAGAAGGTACACACAATTTAGTCGATTTGCGAGTGGTTGAAAAAAAGAAAGAAAAACAACAATAACAACGATGATGATTTAATGAAGATGACGACGATACTCAAACTTAGAGGTTTGACGCATTTTTCTCACCGTGTCGGCATGATATGGTCGAAGGTAAACGTTCTGGGTGAGAAAAAATAATGACTATTGCAATACATCTATCGTTTTTTTTATCAGGGAAGAGGAAAGATGCATACTTATTGGCTGATAGGAAGGAATTAGACGACTGATGCGCAAGACCTAACTTCTAAAGAACCTGCTGCTGACTAAAAGCTATGCATCACGTGGTCATGAGAATAGAGGAAATGATCGCTGATCAATGAAGCTCTTGATTGTTAAACAAATTCTCTTTGTCAGCGCCTAAGGAAATATAAAGAGAACAGCATGAAGAATATGAATTCCGATGTTACGGTGCATAAAGGTTTAAAAACGTACAAAATAGCCATTTGTGAACATTGTATCATGACTTAGAGCACTAAGGGAAACCAGTTTTAAATCTCCGCCTTATTTCCTTTTCCCATCAAATACTTGTTTTGGGATGGCATTGGGATTAACCTATTTCTACAGTATCACTGAAGAACGAAATAACGAGCTGAAAATGAATGTTTACAAGTGACCTGTATCGTCCTGTACCGTCAAAATCTGTACACGAAATTTTCATACGTATTTAAGAGTTTGAGTCAATATATTTATAAACTTGTTTTGAAGATGGGCAGTTTTGTTGGTAAAGAAAAGGATTTTTAATAAACACATTTCGAAACAGTTTTGAAAAATTGCGGTTGATGTGTACATAAACTTGGTGGACTTCGAAAGGTGTTCTTTATAGAGAAAATTACCTTTCAAATTTTTGTCAGAGGATACATGTTTCCATCAAACAAGACTTTCCCTCGGCTTATTTGTTACCCAGGTGATTTTGGTTTTGTCAACTGAGTTGTTAATTAAAATTGGCCACCATAAAGAGTTTCAAAGCTGACGTTTCGAGCGTTAGCCTTAGTGCTCTAGTTAGCGTCTGAGCGAATGACGAAGGGCTAACGCTCGAAACGTTAGCTTTGAAACTCTTTACGGTGGCCAGTTTACAATATCAACTCAGTTGATAAAACCGAAATTATTTTGTTGCCATACCCCACCAACGTATCAGCAAAGTTTCTTTAGAAACTTGCTCCCGTTATTTATTCGTTTTCTAGTTTATCGAACTTTATTTTCCGCTTGAGGCTCACTCTTCACTTGATTCTCACCTTTGTTTGGAGTCTTTGTTGTTTGTTTGGAGTCTTTGTTGTTTGTTTGCTTTTCATTTTCAGAAGTTGCAATCAAAAGATGCAGGATCTGACCCGGTCAACTTTAGTCTAGAGAGAAAATGGAGATGTCATCATGATTAATAAATCCAAAACAATCAAAAAAAAAAAAAAAAAAAAAAAAAAAAGACACAAACAAGCAAATAAACAAAGAAGCGTGAAAATAGACATAAATTGTTATGAGGTCGTAACTAGTATATCTTTATTTGGTTATATATATCTTTACTTTGACACCGCAACATACAGATATTGCTTGTGAGAAACCTGCGATTAAAAATTAAAATTTAATTGCGTTGCCTTCCGAATATGGCAGACACTATGTAGATCATTCAGAATTATAGGGTCAGACGAGGTTGTCTTTACTTTTTAACAAGTAACTTGGCTAGCTTGTGTCCTCTGTGGATGGAAAAATTTATATATTACTCTAGAAATGTATCACAATTTGAAGTAATTAAGCCTTCGAATAAACGAAGGAAGAATGTGGTATATTATACGACGTTTACATGGACAAAGTGTCTGATATGCTTAAAATATGTTTTGCATAACGGGCTCTGCACTTGTAGCACATAACAGAAACAGGGGGGAAACGAAGCGTTCACGAAGTAATTGTCACAAAAATTTAAAGTGTCAGCTTAACACAGGTTTGCAACCAGACTGAGTACAGGAAGCAATTTCACAACCATGTCTGTTTATGCAACCTCTCTTGATCACTTTAAAGATCTTTTCAGTTACACAACTGCGTGTAAAAAGGCTTTCGACGTCAGCAGTACCATTCACACGCAGCACCATGCAGCGGGTAGCCATCGAACATTCGGTCATTATCATTTCACTGTCGCATTGCTGGGAATTCTTGCATATCGGACAGGTGGGGCACTTAAAGGAAGGATCCTCGGGGATTTCATTTTCTGTAGAAATTTCTGATACTTTAGCTGTGCAGCCTGGCTGGTTGCAAACAGTCATGTGATAACTTCGCTTTCCATTGCATTGCCATTTCATTGAGCTATCAAGTCTGCAGTTTTTAGTCAGCGCATCAAGCATCTTTTTATTGATACACTTCCTTGTGAAGACGTTTTTATCCCACAAGGCCATGCAGAAATCAGCTTTGGGGCAAGTTGTGTTGGTGACAGTAGCAGCACAGGACTCCTCTGAATTGCTTTGACAAGTTGGACACCAGAAAGGTTTCATCACCTCTTCTTCATCATCAAGGTGATGATCTTTGGTCACTTTAGAAAACTCTGCTTTGCATCCTGATTGGTCACAAAATGTAACGTGGTACCGTCTCTTTTTGCGGCATACCCATTCCTCGAATCCAACAGCTCTCGTGCAGTCCTTGGTCACCAGTTCACGCATCTTCCTGTTGACGCATTTCCGAACGAAAACGTTCTCATCCTGCACTGTCATACAAAGGTCTGCCTTGGGGCAAGCTGTTTGTGCCAAATTGGAATCACATGATTCTTGGGAGGAGCTCTGACAGGTTGGGCACCAAAATGGGTCGGGTTTGTTTACGGTTCCCGGTACTTTAGCTCTGCAGCCTGATTGTTCGCACCAGGACAAGTGGTATGGCTTATTTCGTCGCCTGCATTTCCACGCCATGGGGCTAACATTGGCACAATTTTCCGTAAGTACATCGAGCATCTTTCTGTTAACACATTTCCGGGCAAACATGTTTTTGTCCCAGACTGCCATGCAAAAGGCCGCTTTGGGGCAAGTTGTGTTTGTTGAGCTGCCATCACAGGATTCCTTTGTGGGTCCCTGACATGTTGGACACCAGAAATCGCTTGTTGCAGTTTTCCCTTTAAGAACAAAAAGCGAAAATTAATAAGGGCTTTTTGTTTTGGCTGGTTACTACAAGAGTTTTCCATTTCTTTGCTCTTGATTCTTCACCAGATTGATTCTCTGTCAGTAATGACAATGCGTCTACATTGAAGGTTATTGCACCAAATAAGAAAATATAGTTGTACGACTGGGATACATGAAATATCGATATTCTAAATATCATAGCCACAAGGAAAAGTGACTTCGGACTTAAAATAATTTGATTGATTACACATTGGTGATATGGAAACCCATCTCTGTCTCTTGATTTCAGTTTTCACTATGCTATGGAATAGAATTGAGAAGGATTGCAGTCAAGATTTTCTTCACATCACCTCGTTGTCAAATGGTGATTGTAGGTTCACGTGTGATCTCCTTTCGTGTAAGTGAATGACCAAATTCCAAATAATCTGACAGGACTACGTACCTCTTCTTTGGTCCCTCGTGCGGTTGGGGTTCTTTGTTAGTTGTCTACGACGGGCCACGGACACCACGACCATCCAACATAGGAGAAAGACTGCTTTCCAATAAAAAGACGCCATTTCTGCAATCTGAAGGGCATTTCAAGTCATTTAATTGAAATAAAATTTGCCGACGAACATTTGCAGCCTGATTTTTATACCGTGGAGCCCTCTTTTTCACCTCTTTTTCAAGGCTCAAAAACCTGGAAGCTATAACCAGACCCTGAAAAAATAGTGCGTTCTAATATTTGTAAGCTCCTCGCCAGCTACACTCACTAACGCTCCAATGAGATTAGTTATTTACTGTTTTAGAAATTATTTTTTCAAATCACCTCCTCAAAATCGATAATTAGAGGCCATTTGACGCATTTAGCTCTTATGAAGCTCATGATATTCCATAGTAGATTGAAAGCTAACATGATTTTATTGTTTTGCATCACTAAAGTGGGCAGAACTAAAATATACATTTATCATTTTTAACTAATTAAGTTTTATCTTTCTGAGTTATGGTTTCCCTTCGTGACGTTTGCTGTGTGAAATATTCCAGTATTCCATTTCAAAACATCTTTGTTCTTGCAGGATGTCATCAGGATAGATATACGATACGTGCCTTTTACCGAGTTTTCTTCCTGTGCGCTCAGTCTTTTACTAAGATCTGTCAAATTTTGAAGAAGACCCTAATAAAAATTGCACCACAGAGGGGCCTGAATACCTGAAGAAAAAAACTTATGTTGGCAAACGCTTAAATGTTTACCAACGGGGATCTCTCTCATGGATTGTTTTAATCCTTCAACAAGGCTAAAACGCTGGAGGAAGTCCTAAAATATGATCTCACAGGAAATTCAGACCGATTTAGCCCAGTTTGCCACAGGCACGAGGCCAGTGATCGGCAGGACTTGTGGACCTCTTATGGAAAAGTAACAACACGATATGTTTAAGCTTGTAATTTATCCACGCCATAACACATTTTTGTCAACTTAGTCTTCCGTCGAAATCTCTCACATTTGACCTATAGTAATCATTTTTCCAGTTGTATGACAAGGCTAAAACGCTGTTTTGCACAAATACCTTGCTCGCAGTTATTTCAATTATTCAACCATCGTCATAATTATGGGAAACACCTTAATGATACTTTTAATGGAGTTTCAATGTTGTGAACCTGAGTGATCGTACATAAGGAGGCTATCAGAAACTTATCTCTCGGTATCATGCCATTTAACTCAGTTGCTGTAGAATCTTGAATGCCAGATAAGAATTAATGTTGTTTCTATGCAATATTGTACTGTTAATGTGATAAAGTGTAAGAACAAAATGTTACGTGTACATGAATGCAGATTAAACCTTGGTTCGAACATAGCTCTGAGAAGACTCATTTACGAAAATAGGGTGTTATGAATTAATGATTAAAGAATAATTGAGGAATCTTTGAAGAATTTTTTATTAGGTACGACGCTATTTATGTGGGCGAGTTTTGAATTTTGCGGATGCTACAGTTTGATTTGATCTGCCGATTCAAGGTGTGTTGAAAATTCATTTAACGTATCGCTTTGCTGACCGTTGAAGACAAAAACGCTCGTAACTTTTTAGTCGCATTTGCTTTAAAAGGAACTTATTTTTCAATTAAATTGTTTTGATCCAATTATTATTATTTAGATATTGATGTAAAAATCATACGGCATCAAAGTCATTTAGTGTGGCAAGCTGAAACTCTTCTTTCAGCTTCTGACGGGCTTAAGTTGGTTAACTGCCTTTTTAGGTAAGATAAGCTTAATCCCTTACGTTTTTTAACATCTTGTTGAACAATTATAAACTCTTGCCAACAACCCAGAAACGGTGCGCATGCAGTTGCAGATTATGATTGTCATCACGCGCACTTGAAGCAACTTCATGGTTGAAGATCTACTCCGGCTCGCTCTTATTCTTATAAGATTGTGAAACATGCAGTATGCGCGTTTTCTTTTGTTCGTTTGAGTTTTAGTATGGCTATTAACAGCACAACAGCAACGACTGGTGACAGTGAATCAAAAGAAACTGAAAGCTTACCTCAACTTTTGATCGGGGGTCGAAGAATCAATATTCTGCCTCAACTACTTCTCCCTAGCGTGTTATTGGCGACTAATGACCTTTTTAATGAGGTTCGCTTGTTTTCTACCAAACAGTGGGTTGGGTTGAAGTCTTGGCATACTAGTGAAAAAATAAACACAATAGAATATTGCACGAAAGTCAGAGTTGGCCAGTAATTTGAGTTTTTGAGTCATTTGACTAGTGAGTCGCTGGTTGGAGGTTAAACGTTTGAAAGATTCCAAGGGAAGTTCCTTCTAATGTTTCAAGATTTAGTTACAAGAAAGTCTTAAAAATAATCTTACTATGGCAAGTGACACAGGTGAAATAGACCGTTGAAAGAACCATAACCATTTTCAAGTGTGAAAATATGCGAGTCGTTATATCATGGAAAGTTTGTCTGCGATATATATTTAGGTAGTTCTGGGTTAAGTGTTGTTTCGGTATCAAGAGGAATCTGACCGCAACTTTACTGTGATGACATTTAGGAATTCTTGTTATATAACAAATTACATGTCAGGTTGTTTTATAGTGATATGAAGGAAATATGTGCAAAGATTCTTCTCTGACTGTCAATAGCTTCCTTAATAAAAGCTCTCTTTGTTTGATTTCACGGTTAATCATTGTGTGGCTGAGGTTTTTAGAACAATTCCGAAACAAACGAGAAAAAAAAATGGGATGGGGTGGGATGGGGAGCTGACTCTCGGAAGCAGAGCATCTCGGCTTAAAAACAATGCAATGAGATTTAAGCTAAAGGAAATGCCAAAATGCTCAGCATTTGACTTGAATGAAGCTTGGCTACACCAGCTACACCATGAGAGCCTGTTTAATACGACGTTGGCAGAGTATATATTACTGTTTCTATGAAAATCCTATTCGACTTTCGTATACCTTTCGCAAGAATATGGACGAAAGGTTAACATGTAAAGCCCACCCGTTGTTGAAAGATGATTCAGAACGGGGCTCATACAAAACAAAGTCATTAATACCGGCGCTTGAAATGAAACATGAGTTGTTTGTGCGGAATAACATACTAAATGAAAAATGCACGTGTTCAACACACAGTCCATGTTTATGTTCAGATGGAAAATACCGCATATTTGCGAACTTTACCCTCAGCTTTCACCCAAACATTGCCAGACCATCATTTCTATCATCTTTTCAGTTATTCAAGGGAAAATTATGGCCCATGCAACTGTAAGTTGAAGATTTGTTTGCTCTTATATTCTTCAAAAAAAAAAAAGAAGTACATTGCCTTATCCTTTAGCGTGCTTATACTAACACCATAAAGATTTTCCAGAAAAAACAAAACCAGATGACTATCATTTTTGTCTCGGTTGCAGCTATTTTTTTCTTTTTCGGTTTACCTTTGTTTGGTCTGAAAGACTCAAATGTAGCTTTCTAGATATCAAAGGAAAAAACCGCAAAAACTAATAACGTATTCCGCCTAATGCTCTTGAAAGTATTTACGAATCGAGATATCTCGTATAGGGCCGGTCGCAGCAAACATTGGAGTCACGTTTGTCATCTGTTGAAGGCTGATAACCATAGCAAAATCTCTTTTCAGGGTTCGTTAGACGACAAAAGTGAAATTTGATACACCCAGTCATCTCAATGGAGGTAATCATGTCACTTAAATGATTCTAGGCAACATTGCTTATCTAAGCTGGATAATTTTTGTTTTATTTCTAATGATTTTAAAATCTGATCATGATCATGATCATTTGTTTCTCGCCTTATGACTATTACTTCTCCTTGAGATAGCTGGAGAAAAAGACCGCATTTCTATTGGCTTACCGATCTAATGATCCACGCGGGATGCGAGCTGGAGGCGAGTGATAAACGAACTTTTGGAGATATTACAACGGTAAACCGACATAAGTGCAGTTTTGCCTTGATAAAATAAAGTTAAAACAGAACAGAGTAAGTTTCAATGTGACCAGTTAGGGCGCTCTTGGTATCTCATTCACCGGCTTTAAAGCAACGAATGAATACATCCAAAAATTAAAATACACCTATTTTTTCCCCATTCCCTTTTCCTAACGACTACAATTACCTATTAAGTACATAATTAAATAGAATAAAATGAAAAACCATCGAGTATGAAAGGAAAATCTCACTGCGCAAAACCTCTTCTTAAAAAAGTGTGCTCAGTACATACTTTCATTTATTGGTCTGGGCGATATAAATTTTTTCTCCCAACAAATTGTCAGTTTTTTCCAAAATTTTCTAGCTCTCAGCTCGTGTAATCTTTCATTCATACCCTTGAGATTCGCAAGTAGTTTAAGGGCACTCGGCCTTTTTTTCAACGGTTTCCCGGTTAAGCATTCGGTCTATGTCGTTATTCAACATAAAAATCCCTAAGGCTAATAAAGGTTCATCCGACCTGTAATAAAATCAAACGTACGTGACTCATAAAGATTTCAAATGACGACCAATTACGGCCAAACCGCACGAAACAACAACATGGACATCTCAAAGCGAATACAATTCATTTAAACATTATCAGCCATATTTAAGAATATTCAGTTTAACTTAAATTCATCTTAAAATCCTCATGATTTCAATGTTACGCAACGGTACTGATTAGCAAAGCCTTCACTGTTAAACGTGCTCGCTTTTTACGCTTGAGCTGTTGTGACGTGACCTCTCCTGCGTTCAGAGAGATCAGATCTTTCTTCTTATTTCGTAAATGAAGATAACAATGATAATAACGATACTGATAATCATACAAATACTTATTAAAAGAAATGGACCACCAATAACACTGTTCTTATTTAAGGACCACTAAAGTCGATGTCACCATTTGAACATTTTCATACAGATAGTGATCGATGGAGACGAATTTGACCGGGACTTATTCAGTCAGATTCTTCAACACGTTGATGTCTTCGGAATTTTGCTTCTAATCGATGGAACTTTCTAGCATTACACAAAGACATGATTTTTAAGTTAAAGTGTTGAGGAGTGAGCCTTGATAGCTGAGCTAGAGATTGCGGGCGAATTTTGAGTTACACCAGCCTCCGCTTACTGTAAGAATTATGGGGTCAATAATCAAAACGTTACTGAATCGTCGGTGTTTTGGTCTTCTTCGTAATGATAGATTTAAAGCATGATTTGTAGTAGTGCAATTGGCGGTAATCATGTGCAAACTTTTCCCCAAGGATAAAACTCGGTTGATGATGAAAATTTGGAAAATTGCGTAGAGCTCAGTGGGAAACCCTCAGCAAGCACAGCTGAGGTATATGATAATATGATAGGGAATAATATGATGAGATATCCTACTGAAGAACTTGAAAATATCAGCGGGGCATTTAAAAATACCTATTTTAACCCGCAGAAGGGGCCTTAAAAATAATCATCTTTCGGGGAGGTAACAGCGAGTCCATGTGAATTTGCTTCTCAATGGAAATACACACAATTTTTGAGGATGACACGTTAATTTTCGAACACAGAACCACAGTGGAATGTGGTCAGCCTTCAACACACCATTCATGCGACGAGGTCTCTCCAATTGCTATGATGGCCCTTTATTATCAAAGCTCAACCGTTTGAAATTTGGGAACATTTCCAAATTCCATGCATAGCTAGAATTCATAAATCTTCTTCCGAAAAATGTAAGAAATATACTTTTCGAACTTGTTGACAGAATTTACACAATTTCGGCACGCGCAGGGTTGCAAGTCGATCCGTAAGCCGTAAATGTCTATACTGTGAGACAAATTATTTGCTTTAAGTGAAGAGATCGATTGAAACTCGATTGAGATTCGTGCTGATGGCAATTGTCGAACATCATATATATCTTAATAAAATGCGGTTTTTTCATCATTACAAAAAATTGCTTATTACAAATCATTGGTAAAGACATTATTTGTTCAATTGAACAGAAATGATTTATGGGCATCATTACAAAACGTAAACTCAAATCGTGAGAGTTTTATTTGCACGGTTAGAAAAACAAAGGAAAGACTAATGGAATAAATAATCGACATAAATATTATTTTTTTCATTGTTTAAGGTTTCTATTTTTCTCCTTTCCCTTTCAAACTTACCAGCAAGTGACTTTTTCAAGGAGCATCTTAGCCGATAACAAATACGAATTTTCTTCTGGAGTGATCTTATAAAGCAATAACCTATTAACACCAAAAAATTTGATTTCCAAATTTTTTTGAAATTATGAACAAGCTGTTTTGCAAATGACAGGAAAAAGCCTCTTGGCAAATTTAGAACGAAAGAAGAAGTGGCGCGAAGATAGACTAATTACAGGAATGCATAATGAGTTGAAAAGATCATGCCGGCTACATGGTGTCTTTCAGTGTTTTTGTGATTGAGATGCTAACAGCAATTTTGAATCGGCGTTTGTTTTTGGAAGTTACGTAAGTGTTCAAGTAATCTCATACTTAAAACATGTTCTTAAGAGTCAATGTTTATTTGCGGTATTTCAATAAGATAAAAATGATACATAATAATGAAATTCTAGATATAAATAATGGATCTCTTGATGACTCTAGATCTTTTCATGCTTGTGTCGAAGTTTTAAATTTGTTCGCCCATGCATCCAAATCATGTTTCATAATTATTGGTAACGAATGCTTCTTTCAAAAACAAAGCAATTTAATAAGGATTTCGTGGGTAATGATTAATCCAGTCGACAGTCTTTTGATAATAAAACCATGGAAATTGATATGCACTTGAAGAATGCTAATCGAAGAGATCAACTTTTGGGGCGCTGAAGCTATAGATATCACTCATTAAATATTGAATAAAGACGGGAAGAGATGAGACGTCCAACTGTTATCCATCAACGTTAGCCATTGAAATTGCCCTCGTGACTGGAAGCAGCCAACCAACCAACTTGGGAGCGAGGAGCACGTTTATGAAAATGATCATTGCATGTAAATGTTCTTAAAGCAGAAGCACATCCTTACCTGAATCTAGTCTCGCTTGAAGACGACGCAGAAATGATTTTATCCTTGATTGTAAAACTCACCCTACAAGTCATAGTGACCTTGTTTGGGGTTTTTGGAAACCTAATGGTGGTCTTCGTGTTTGGAAAATTCGTAAAAAAGAAAACGTCTGCTGACTTTTATCTTCAAAACTTAGCAATTGCAGACCTTGGGATGTTACTTTTCGTCTTTCCTCTCTTGGTTATAAGAATGGAGCTTCCCACGCGTTGGCCTTTCGGAAGATTCTCTTGCCTCTACTTATCTTCCCTCCCTGAAGCATTTTACGGCGCATCAGTTTGGTGCATCACAGTTATAGCAATTGAGAGGTATCGCAAGATAGTCTTCCTACGGAAACCTAAGGAAAAAATCAGCAAGACGCCCTTAAAAAGAGCCAGAATCATTGCTTTTTTCATGTGGATGATGTCATTGTTAGTGTTTTCTCTACCTTTAAATTTCGTAGTTAAATATCGTGAACTTCCAACTGGTGGAAAATGGTGTGGTCCAACATGGCCGTCGTTGTTATTACTACAAGTATACGTAGTGATATTGACTTTATTATCGTATGTCCTTCCCCTTGCTATCATATCTTGGACATACTTGGCGATATCACGCAAGTTAAAACAAAGCAGCTCGTTTCTCAGGAATTTTAAAAGAAATCAAGAGACTTCAAGCCAAACTAAGCTTGAAGCTCTTCGACTCCGCCAGAATAAACGTGCAAAGAGGATTCTCACTCCAATCGTTGTGGTATTCGGAGTTACAATGCTTCCTATGACAATTATACGACTAATTTTCATATCTTGGCCTGCTCTTACCCTTCAAAAGTATTATGGAAATTTAATGTTTACAGTCACGTTTTTTGTAATTTTGAACTCTTCCGTTAATCCTGTTATTTATTCCATTGTAAGCAGCCAATTTCGGCGCTGCATGAAGAATGCTCTTCTTCGAGCACTCAGAAAAACTAGGTCGGGTTATTTTTCAAATATTTTTCAAGGGTCGTCGACATTTAGTCGAAGGTCTCGTGATCACCAAGACATACAAGTATCACCGTCCATTAATTCAAGGAAATTTAACTTCGACGTAAACGAAACCAATCTTTGAATGTAAGGGAACGCGATGAAAAAAAAAACTGACTCAGAATGACAACATTGGCTACATATGAATACAGCTACTGTATATATTAATGCTATATATTAATTGACGTGAACAAATAAAGTTTTCATTACAGGAAATGCGATTGCACGTATGCTGCTCTTTGATGAAGGCCAGGCTTAGAGTGTCAATATCAAATCAACTTTCTCTCCTATCAAGGTCTGCATTTTTATTTTGTTTTTGAAAGCTCGTCTCGCCAGGAGCAAAAATAATACTTTTACATTACACCGTGCACTGCCCCACGGCATTCAGACTTCCGCTCGCCCTACCGTTCTACAAATTTTAACTAAAAGATTGTGATCGGTTGGTTTTACAAATAACATATTGCTTCCATAAGCCTGAAAAAATTTCCAATCGACAGATCATCTTGGCAGCAGACCAAGCCTGATTTCAGGCCTCTCTAAACTGATTTCGTTCATGAAATTAGCTTTCACCAATTACAGAGGAAAGTTTTCCATCCTTCATACCTCCAGATACTGAAAAAATGTTCTACACAGTGTTCCAAAAAAAATCAGAGCTGAGTGCTGCGTATTTAGTAAGTTCCAGGACTTCACGCTCTTCTCCAACGACTTGCGGTAATCCTTTTGCTTTCTAAATTAGCTCACTTTCGAAGTAAAGGGTTAAGCTAAAGGGTTCGAAAACGCATAGTTTTCAATGCTTTCGTTCCTATCGTCCACGCTAAAACACCCCTAAACGTTCATGAAAACGGAGACTTTCTTAAACAGTTTCCAAAGAGGGTCGCTTTAAAAATGCATCATTCACGGGCAGCTCTGTTTCTAGTGTAGATGAATGAAAATGAAGAATTTCGAAGACGGTGACGAAAATTATTTCATACATGTATTTGGTGGCTAACAACAGCTTTTTGGGGTTCGTGATTTGGATGATGGGCAGAAATGCATCGATATGTGAAAGTTTTCAGCATAAGAAAAAGTAGTGTCTACAGTTGAGAGCAAAACAAAAACGCTAATGTGGGTGAGAATGTTTTCCTTCGTTTTGTCTGAGACAAAGTGGACACTTTTCAAAACACATTAGTGTGTACGGTCAATTGGGATTCACATAGCCACGAAAGGTATTGCATAGGAGACACTGTTGTTATGGACATGTATCGCAAATAGTTTTGTTTGAATATTGATCAGGCACTGACTGATTTGTCATTGATGCTTATCACGGCTGTATCGCAGTACAAGACTAAATGTGATTTTGAGACGCTAAAACCTTTCAACTGGCTGCCACTTTGTTGTGGTAATGCATGGGTCTCCAAATGGAAGTCAGTTTATAACACCGCCAAAACGCGATATTGATCCGGATAAACAAGATGGCATTATTGATAGGATTCCCTGTGCACACAACCAGACGATTATGAAACAAACAACAAGTGCTATCTTTCTTTTTTGCCAAAACTTGCATCCTTAAAGTCACGAAAGTTGCTCAAGATATCAAATTTTCATTTTCATATGATATTTGGTTAAAGGTTTATCCGCTATGGTTGATGTTTTCAGTCTAGTTCAGTTGTAATTATAAAATGAATGACATCTCCCTTTTCCTCTGCAATTTCGAATATGACTTGATGTCTAGAAAAGCCATTAAAGTGCTATTAATCACAAGAAGTGTGTATTTAGAAATCTTCTTCGGATCCGGTTTTGTTGATATTTAAGTCCTTATACTTAAATCAAATAACAAATGTTTTTAAAGTAGTATTTCCTAGAAGATAGACGTAAAACTTTTGCTTGCTAGCTAGTTCAAACCCTCGATATGCTCTAGCGTTCCTGCATGCAAAGCAGCATCCCCTTACTGAGTAGCGCTCCCTCCCTTTTAGAGGAGAAGTAATCGATTGCGTTTACGAAGCTTTTGTTTCCAGAATTCGGCAACCCAATATTCCTAACTAGGACTGATTAAGTATAACTCAAGTATTAACATATGGAAAACTTTACTCTTTGAAATAGCTAAATTTTTAGAGCCAAAAAGATTCGTACCGTTATCAGAGTATCAATAGAAGGTTGCGTTCTAGGCTTGCCGTCCTTTTTAACGATATTTTAGGATTGAAGGAAATTTCATAGTACAGACAAGTACTTAACTGAAAATATAACTGCCCCTGCAGCTGGGTGTTGCCACCATTCCACATGGTTGGATTTCTATATATATCGCCGTCTACATCATGAAAGAGTGATACATTCTCAAAACAATGTAAATTCAAATACAAAACTACTTGGTTATTTTTTTCGCAAATGACCAAAAAAGGGAAAAAAAAAATCACAGAATTCTTGGATTTCTTGTCGAAGCCTCCTGATTTAGGTGAAAGCTTTTCCAAATATATAGGTCATCGATCTCGTTGTTTTGTATTGTAGACACACACTTGTAAGATGTGACTTTGCGCACGCGATGGCGAGCGTACGCCAGTTTCAAAAGCGTTTAATAAAGCAAATTCGAGTGTCTGCTACGAGGATTGTTAGGAACTTAATTATTTGTTGTTTAACCTAAATAAAAATAGATTGTGCTCGTTTCGAACTGTTTCCTCAAAGTGTTCTGCGGTGAAGTGCAACACAAAGTTCCTCTAATGGTGACTGTACTACAACTAATGACTTCCTTTAAATTTCTCCTTCAATTTTTACCTTTGTCATTGTAAAAATAAATTGTTATTATGTCCGGACGTGTGTGTCGTACCAAGAACTAAAACACTAGCAGAATCATTACAACCACTTTTTCTGAGAACCAAGTTGCGTATTTTTCTTATGTAACACGAGTAGCGATATTGAGCAATGACGTCCAATTCCTGCCTTTTCAAACTTAGCTAAATCAACTTGGCTTGTTTTTTGTTTGAAATATATAAATAGCCGTGAGATTTGTTATGGTAAGGGAAGAAGATGTAAATGCATTTTCTGAACAAGAGAACGAGAACACCAAAAATAAAACGCCATATGTTCTATAGAATTCCAAAAAATCTCTCGAAAGTATCAACGAGGCAAAGGTAACTATTTTCTGTGTTTGTGCTGAACACTCTTCAAAGGTTCGTAGTTAAAAGAGGCTAAAAATAGAAGTATCCGGTGATTCAAGTCAGGGTTAGCAACAGAATTTTCATTAATTCAGATGTATTTTGGCCTAACTGACGGTGTTACATGTAAACCTTTTTGTAATATAGGCACCGGTAAATTTTGTTTCTGTTGATACCCAGTATTTGTATTAAAGCCAGCTTTTCATCCTCTACTGTGTGTGTTTTATTGTCCATATAATAAAAAGAAAATACACGTTAGTTCAAAGATTTGAATTTTATGTTCTCGAGGCATGAATAATATATTTTTTTGCCACTCGAACATAAAATCATGTCTAATCGCCACCTTGTAACATCGTTCTCTCCTGGAAGCGGCAAGTTTGAAAATAGCCCGTCATAAAATAGCTCGTTCCAGGCGTTTAGTGGGTGCAGAGGGGTGATAAAAACTAGGGAGGTTGGGTCGGGTCGGGTACTGAACGCTACTCGATCCAAACCTCCTTCGTTTTCGCTCTGCTGTTTCTATCGCGCTGTCTCCAGCACTATTTCGCTCCATTTCACTAACTGAACAATTTGACGATCACTCTCTGAACAATAGTTCGTTCGAACCTGTTGGAAATACCACCGTTCGGCTAGACAAATGGTAAAGCCCTCGGTCGTCCATATTAGCTTTAGAATTTCAGACTTTTCAAATGTTTGGTGGGCCATTGCGCTTTTCCAGGGTAGTTAGGATTCACTGCAGATAAAAAAATGTTCCCTTAATAAACTTCTATACCCGACACCTACAGCCATCTTTCTCGCGCCTGTGTTCGCTCTAAACGTTCGGGGAAGATTCGGAATTCTTATTCAACAGGAATTTGGACAAATTTCCTCAGAGACATTGGAATTCGAAATAGCCCTTTTTAGGAGCCCATTACTGCCCCTTTTTTTTATCACCTCTTATGATCGCTTATATTTGTATATGAACAATCAACGAATTGCTTGCAAAAAGCTCACAAAAATGGATCAGTTGAGTTTGCAGAGCGATATCATAAAGACCTATAAACAGTTGAGTTTATTTCCTCTTCTGTCATGACAACACAGCGCCCTAATTGAATCGCACTTAGGCATTTAACCTAGTCGTGCGCGAAACTGTTAGATGTACTATGATATCCAAATTAACATGCATAAGGAGATAAATATGGTTTTGATGAAACAATTGATATCAGTAGGAAGGAGAACATTACAATTGAAATTGATTTTGGTCTGATAAACCAAGATAAATAGATGTGGTGGTAAGCAACTCATGATATTGTAACATCTTAATCCATCATCTATCTTCGTGTACACGCGATCGGTTTAAACTCGTACGCGTCATGTGACGGTCCACATGTATATCCAGTGATATTCCTTAAAATTATTTCCCCTAATTTTCAGACCTCGAGTCTGATGTGATTTAAGGCTATATTTTCATTTCGCTTTCGCAAGGTGTGAGCTCGGGATGCATGTGGTTTATTGGATCTTCATAGAGCTGGCTTTGTAAAAAGAAAACAAGAAACAAACGAAAACAAAGAAGACAAAAAGCCATTTTTTGTGTAAGCAATCTGTTAATTATAAAATTTTAAGATTTTCTTGTTATCATCCCTTAGAGTTTCAAAGGAAGAACAGCACAACAACCACTTCTTTCTCTTCATATTTATTATCTTAAAATTAATTAACACGAAAAAACGCTACGTAATGACGGAGAGGAAAGATAAGGGAATGACGAACAGCGACGTTTGTTAATTGTAAAGGGAAAAAATGGAAACCGAGTCGATAGCTTTCCATTCGATATTGAAACAACATGACCTGTGAAATCTGCGCGGAGGAAAGCGCTGTCGTATTGTCAACATAAGTTGATATATCAGCTCGGAGTGATTTAATTCGCTGCGAGTTCAAGAAATTAAAAATTTAACAGTTCGTGCGTTTAAAATTAAACAATTTTCAAGGTCTAAAAAACAGCCTCACGGATGACTTAGAAAAAAATAAATATCACTGCTCATGCTTTGTAGGGAAAATGCTCAACAAAAATTAAAGAAGAAAAGAACGAAATGTAGTTCTGCTGGTGTTCCATTGCTATTGGGTGTTACATTCCTGTTTAGTTCTGCCGTGATGTTTGCGTCCTCGCAACGAGCCGGATCCATCCGCAGGTGGGCAGCATTTGATTAAAAAAGCGGTTCTTGAAAATACTAACGGCTGGCGCAATGATATTTCAAACAGAGTACTATGCATTACTCAGCACTGCCCGGAGAGAGAGCTTTGATTTTACTGGCACCAAGAATTAGATTCATTCCATATTCAATCACGTTTTTAGCTCATTTTCTATTATCAGCGTGATCAATTAATTTTGTGAGATGATATTGATTTTTTTCACGGGAAGTGATTGTTTTAAAATTTCCCGTTTTGAATTGACATCGATTGATTCACTTAAATAGTTAGGACCTAGCATTGACGCAACAGTGTTGAATGATTGAGCCAAGGGGTGATATTACTGGAGCTGCAAACTTCCGCAAAGAAGCCCTGAGTTTTAACTCTAACGCAACCAAAACATTTCGTAAAAAGCTACGAAGGGGAAACGGCAGATTGGTAATCGATTGATAAAGGATCAAAACAACTCTTCTGTCATGAACAATACGAGTTCTGAGTTTATCACTTCGAAATTGTCTCGGTCTAGTATCATAAAACTGAGCGTGGAGGTGTTTATAGCTCTCTTTGGAATATTTGGAAATGTTTTAGTAGCAGTTGTTGTGAAAGGACTGGGCAAGAAGAAAACGGCAACTGACTTCTACCTTTTAAACTTGGCCATTGCAGATCTTGGAATTTTATTGATATCATTTCCGCTGGTAGCCATCAAAGAAAACGCTCCGACGAACTGGCCTCTTGGAGAGTTCGCTTGCCTCTATTCGTCTCCATTACCTGAAATATTCCATGGAACTTCCGTGTGGTTTATTGTTGTCATTGCCATCGTGCGATACCGGAAAATAGTTATTCCACGAAAAGCGATCAAGAACAGAAACAAATTTTCGTTGAAATACACCAAGACAATCGCTGGTTGTATTTGGGTGACGTCGTTTTTAGTTTTCAGTTTACCATTGTATTTTGTGGTAAGTTTTGGGCTGCCTCACGGCGGGGCCGCAAAATGGTGCGGGCCAATTTGGCCTTCTTTGTTTTTTGCGCAGTTGTATTTGTGTTTAATGACCACGTTTGGCTATATTATTCCTCTTGGTGTCATATGTTGGACTTATCTTGCGATATCACGAGCAATAAACCATAGTAGCAACTTTCTATACGCCATGAAACGGGGCCAGAATGGCGCGGAGGCTAATCTGCAAGGTGCTGTAACTAGCGTTCAAAGTATTCGTCTGCGTCAAAACAAACGCGCAAAGAAAATCCTAACACCTGTCGTTGTTGTATTTGCGACAACAATGTTTCCTTTAACTATTCTTCGCCTCACTCTCGCGTTTTGGCCATCCCTTGCGACGCAGGATTATTACGAAAATACATTGTTTGCAGTGACATTATTTGTGATAACAAATTCTTCCGCAAATCCAGTTATTTATTCCATAGCAAGCAAGTCCTTTCGCAAAAGGATGACGAATCTATATCGCAAATGTCTTATGAAATGTCTTTGAACATACTTAATTAGAAAATAACAGGCTTATTTGCTACAAGGTTTGACCTACCCGATATTAATTAAAATAAATGTAAATGAATTGTAACTTGTATGGTCTTACTTTACGAAACGATTGTGACAATTTGTCGCTGCGATTTCGAAGTGAAGCGGAAACTAAGTGAGCAGAGAACAATATGTAAACAATGTTCTTGTTACCATTAAGCAAGGAAGGACATACTAATTATTTCGTCGTCATATTTGCATGTCGTTTGCGTAGGTTGATTTCAGAAAACAGATAGAAAGGTTGTAAGACCTAAGAGATAATTAATTAAGCATTCTGAACCAGAATTGGCTGCTGTCTCGTAAGAAAAAGCAATCTGTACCGAACCACTTAAGACAAAAATTGTTGCGGAAGTCAAACCGCAACGTATTACTTTAACCTCTAGTTTCTTCTGACGGATACAACGCGCGCTGTCATTGATTGAAAGAGCGTGCTCTATGAGAGTATAGAGCATAGAGCTGAGCAAAAGCTGTCACGCCAGGAAACACAAATAGACAGTCCGAGTTTTAAAGATTTTTGCGCTCAGTTATTTTGTAAGCTTACGTACGGTAATAAAAATCAAACACAGCTAACACTCGTATAGTATATAAAGTTCAGTGTTGCTCTGATATCCATTCCAATGCGTTGAGCGGAAAGTCACATCAGTCACTGCAGCCGAGTTTTGCGGCGCTGTCATCCCGAGCGATCTTCATGTTCCGGTGAAATTCGGCTGTCGGTCATTCAAAAAACACTCGCCTTGAACAGTTTGTTTTCTACCTTGTCATGTGAAAAAACTCGCGTGTTTTTATGAGCCATAATTCGGCGGAATTTCACTGAACATTTCACTGTAAGATTCTGTATTAGAAACTTAAAAAATGTTAAATTCGACCTGCCGAACTATTTAGTTTGTAAACTATTGCAGAATGTGAACTTTGATGGTTTGACATTTTTGACAACTGTAGACTTGTACAGCCAATCAGATCATTTGAACCATTCTAATAGGGATACTGATTGGCTTATTGTAGCGTGCTCTATGAGAGTATAGAGCATGCTGACGACACTGTTGTTCGCTTTGTGTTGTTTGCTTTGGGTTGTTCGCTTTGGAAATAAATTTTGTTTTGAAAATTGAAAGTAATGCTGAGGGAATTTCATGGATTCTTCATTATAAAGCAAATAGAAAAGCCTTGACTGCGCTGTGTTCTGTTGTAAAGCACTCAGGAAGCGGCCAAAGCACTCAAGAAGTGGGAAGAAACACGAGACGTAGTCGAGTGTTTCTCCCTACACTTCTTTCGTGCTCTAGCCGCTTCCTGTGTGCTTTACAACCTAACAGAGCACAGTTAAGGCTTCTCTATTTGTTAAATAGATAGCTTTTTAATCCGATCACGTCCCGTAGCGAGGATTCATCATAATCTGAATTTAATATTTGCTCACGAATCGATAGGACTTAAATGTGCATTTAATTAAAACACTATTTACAAACAGAACAGGCGCAGATGTTTTCAATTAAGCCTAAATTCACTCCAAAAGATCTGAAATCATCATTGAATGCCTTTTTTGGTAATTCTGGCGAGTATGATGTTGTTTGAGTGTAACATTCTTCAGATGTTAATTTTCTCACTTCTCGTCATGTCCTTGATTATTGCAAGCAGGGATTTCATTATCATTACGTCAAAGGATTGAATTGCTGTTCAAGGAGCTGAAGTTGTCCATGGAGTGTTGTTTACACTGTAATTTTCAGCATGAATATAACTTGGCTTTAATCTGAGTTCAGAGTCATAAGATTTACTTAAGTACTTAAAAGTTCGCTGCTGTGACAGTATATCAACGCACGCATAATTTCAGCAGCCACATAGGTAATATGAAGAAGTTTAGCCGCACAATTCAAGACTAATTAAAAAAAAAACCGCTAGAACGTCAAGAGGAATATTAGACAAATGTCAATTTTGAAAAAATAAAAATTTAAAAATTAATAAAAATCAGGTAGTATTACGATAATTTGCACTTTACTGCATAACTTTGTAGAATAATACCATGATTTCCCTTAAAAGCTGAGAATCCGCAGGTCTAGAGTATGTTAGTGTCATAGTTGTGAGCGGGGAAAGTCTGTGTGCGATCTTTGTTGTTTAAACTTTAACTGCGACGAAGAATTTGTTCCTGCTTAGCCTGCGTATATCGCGTTATGGATGCACGCGGGAAGTTTGAAGAGCACGAAAAATGCGTAAGAGTAACTCGAGGCGCAGCTGAGAGCAACTCTAGCTTTTTGAGTGCTCTCCTAATTCCCAAGTGCATCCATAACTCGACATACGCACAGCTAAAAGCGTGAGCAAATTCTTTTATAACAGAGCGACAACAAGGATCTGAACGAAGAGGCCTTTTATTGTGATAAAGTGCAAAATTCTCACAACGCACAAAAAAAAGTAAACAAACGTCCTTATTGGCTGGTCAAAATCACGCCACATTTTATACTTTGGTTTGAGCGACAACGTTTGATCCATTTAACCGATAACTGTGGATGAAAAGCTCAAAATTTACGGGGAAAATGGAGAAGATCAAAGCCGGATGGACTCAAGTGTCACTAAAAAAATGTTTTAAAAGTCAAAGACCCGAATTTGCTGGAGCTGGTCTTCCGACAAATTTGCGAAACGTACAACTTACGAGTTTTTTTCGGCTTTATTTTGTTGCTTGTTAGATCAAGAACTAAAAGGTCAATGCCGATAGAAAAATTGGGTAGTTCTTCGCTGGTTTCTTCCACATTTCAAAGAGAAGAAAAACTGCATTGCGGCTTAACAGGACGGAAACCCTGAAGCCAGGTTCAACTAGACCCTGTGAGCAGGGTAACTGGGATACCTGGATGGTACTGGATCCTTGGAATCAAGTGTAGTGATACTATGGGTGTCGGACTAGAATACTGAAATAGTGAGCTCAAGTCTGGCTAAGGGCATACACCTATTTCAAAACATAGGCATGCTATGCATGCAAGAGTTATTTTTTGTAGGGTGGGTGGATTACTTGAAACATTGTAAGTGATGTCTACATTCTTACAAAAGGAAAGAAGAGCATTAACGCGGAAAAGAACAAAAATGTCGAATTAATTCATACACAGGAATTTTTTGTAGATTGTATGTATTGTGCGAATAAATGTAACCAAAAATAAACTGTATTGGTGCCACGGATACCTGTTAGTACAAAATGCAGACAGCAGACTGCAAACTGGATACAAAATATAGACTGCAGACTGCAGACTGGATACAAAATATAGACTGCAGACTGCAGATTGGGTATAAAATGCAGACTAAGAATCTGAAGAGTTTTTTTACGTCTGGTATATAATAACATGTCATCTTACAGCTTACCGAGCGTCAGCCAATCGCTTTTCCGCGATCAGCTTTCACAATTATTTGCACTATTGTGGAATATTCCTGGCCCATTTCTCGATGAAAATCGATCGTAATATAATTTCAAGCCTTCAATATAGTCTTCTTACTTTGCGCGCGATTTGGTTGGTGTGATGTCAGTACAGATTTTACCAACGTAATAAAAGTAGATGACGTGAATAACAGTGATGGTAAAGCACGCTTAAACGGCAGAAATCGCCAGAAACTACAACGGATACACAGGGCATGAGAAATTTTTATTGATTTTACGAAAAAATGTTCATGTTTCGAAATATTTATCGTTGTAAATCGGCCATATTTTGTTCCCTATACTATTCCCTATAACGTGATTGATTTGATTGCTTTTTACAACAAGTGTACGTTTTTCAACTAAGACACTGGCATACTTGGCATACAAGGCATTCAAGGCTTTCATGGCTTTCAAGCGTTCGCGACTCAATCCGTTCCAAAATTACCGCTCAATAACATATTTTAGTGTGGATTGGCCGCGAACAATACGACTTGTGTATGCGTCTGTAAGTGTTTTGAACGTTTGCGCTATAATGCTCCAGGTGATCGTAATCCAAACACGTTGAAATACAAAACGACCGACAAAAGAGTTTTATTAGCAAAAATCTCGTGTTCGTCATGTGACCCGGCCCTGTCCGTGCATGACAACGTCAATCATCATCAAGATAACACGCGTGATCAGCATGTGAACACCTCATTGGATCGCAGTTAGTTATCATGGTGCTGAGGGCCCAACGACCACTGGGTACTATTGCGCAATTTTTTCCATTTTGTGGCGGAGGAAAAAAAAAGACAAAAAAACAAAGGCATTTTATGACTGGACTACCACAGGTATCCCAGTAAAAAAATGCTCACGTCATCTTATTTACGCACGGGCGTGCGTAAATAAAGATTTTGTTCATAGCGGCTCAATAGGACTTATATAGAGCAAGCACGCGCGCTATGTTATAAAATGAATTTTAACATGACGCGCTCTGATTGGTCACAAATCTTTTGTTTATTTGCCTGTAAACTCTTAAAAACTGAAACATCATCCCGTTCTGAGAAATGGCACCACAAGGGGCGAATTCCCAGGTTTTAACTTGTGAAAGCATTTGGTTTGGAGGAAATGAAGAGGACGCTTTAAAAGCCAAAAATAACGACAAACGTTTTATTTTTCTAACATTATCAAATTTTCTAGTTAAAATGCAGTTTAACTAACTGGTTGGTCTGTTAAGCCTTTATTTATCACTGCGCGGTTAAAGCGAAAGAGCTTCAGAAATTCTCGACAAGAATTCCCCAAACTACGTTCCGAGAAGGAAAAGCTGGCATGTTTTTGCTTCACGAACATTCTAGCCACAAACTAATTAGATTTTAATTTAGATATTTATAAGAAAACCACTTGCAAAGTGAATGCGCTCTCAATATTTACGTGAATTCCGTTTGCTATCCGTGATTTCAGCTTTCATTTGATAAATCTCACTAGTTAAAATTCTAGAACTGACATTCGCTCTCCTGGCGGGTATTTAATTTAGATTCCGAAGCTTTGATTGGTTTATTGCACTTTTGATGGCATGGGTTTCACGAGAATCAGCGACTTGACCGTAAAAGAAGATAAAATTATCATTCTGTCTGACAAACTTCCCTCAAATTTATGTCATGAGAGCAATACGCCACACTTTAGATCGGTCTCTGGTGATAAACTACTTGAAATGTTGGGAGAATACGAGAAAATTTTGTAAAAAAATCGGCTGCTCCTAGTGGTTTTCAAACTTCCCTCTTGTTCTACTAGCATCCTGCTTTGTTTATCAGCCGATAAACCGATAGTAAGTGTGATTTATTTTTTTAAATATCCCATAAACTAAGTCAAAGATTAGTATCGTGACTTAAAAGCAACATTTCCTTATCATTAATCATTCTTGGCAGTAATGTGAGAAAAGTGATGGTAATAAGTACTATTTGGGTATAATGTAGCTTGAGTTGTTTCATTTCAAGTTTCGCCGTCGGATTTTCAAACATAATTTATGGTAGGAGGTGGGGTTAGAAGCTGGTTCATTCAGAAATCTCAGAAGTGTTTTCTTTCTTTGTACTAAGAAAAATTGGCTTATTATTCTTATTATCAAGATTATTATTATTTCTATTAAAAATTGTTGTCATTACCGCTACTGCTACCACTATTATATTTCCTGCACACACGCCTTCAGCGGAAGGACATTTTCAAGCGCCATTAGCGCGTAAAAAGTCATTGTTTTCTAAAGATCAATTTTCTATCTCCTACATTATAATAAAATTTATTGTGCAGTTTGGACAAATGAATTGCCAAATCAAATGGTGTTTCTTAAGTATATACAAATTTTGTGAAACTCGATGGCTTTTTTAATGGGCTCTCTTTATACTCAGCACTGATTATTGTGTTCTTACATGATCCTGTGACTGAAAACTGAGATCACGATAAGGTACAAACTAGGAAAAGAAGTTTCACCTTCAAGGGATGATGAAGTTTTTTTTTCTTTTGATAAATTTATCAAAAAATCCAGTGAAAATGAATGCTTTTCTCACTCAGATTATATTCTGCGGTTGAAAAATGAGGAACCTTTAAGTATTTTCACCGTGCATTCGAATAAAACTTCCTTTGTAACCGTATACGTCTATCATATCTATTACTGACGCCATATTTTGTTTCCGATGTATATCGAGACGTATTATTTTAAGGAGAGGAAGATACTAGAAATCCGGCGATTACAGTGAAAACTTGATTTGCTGTAGTTTAGATTTTAACTTTTTTTTATTTCCACAGGGCAAAGTATGTGTTGAAAAGTTTAGCCAAACAAAACTGTCGCTGAGCTCAGTTGTAATTCAAACGAAGAATCGTTAAAATTAGCGCATCATCATACGTAGTCAAATAAGACTGTCAGACTTTGTCACCTAAAAGTGTTTTATGATGTACTGTAAACGATCCTTAGTTTGCGTTATGACGTCAGCTGGGAGACATGGAAAAGGCCATTGCTTTTCTTCAAAGAGAGCCGGATCTAGCCTACGACGTTAAATTTAAAGCCATCAGCTTCTGATAATAAGATATTGTTTGTTAGGTCTCGATCTTACTCTTGCTAAAAACGAAGTTTTGGGTGGGTCACGAAAATAAAAAGTGGATCAAACAAATATTCTAAACGGAAACGCTTTGCCATAGCTAAATTTAGAGTACATTTAATCGAAAAGCGATAAATCTGAAAATGTTTGCTCAACTTATCGATTGATACGTTGCACACTGGTCTTCCTTGGCTCAAAATAATGATCAATCCATCGCCAAATTGACAAAGACATTTTTCGTTTTACGACTCCTATTTGTCATTTCTCTGTTCGCCTTTGAACTTCCCTGATGCAATCCTTTTATAATCAATAATGAGAGAAAAAAGATCCATATCGAAAGGTTACTCAGATGTAGCGAACGAGACGTCAGTTAACCAGATTCAGTGCAGGGATCAAAAAAGGTTCAGCATTAGTGCCGTAATCAAATTTTCACCGTTGATTTGAAGAAACATCGTCAAGGTTTGTGCGTCTTATAGTAACATGTACCCTGTTATTTGCATTTTATGTTAATCTTGTTCATCCTTACCGCCTCTTCCTTGTTTTTTTTCTTTTATCATTATGTCTTGACTTAATTATTTCTTTTTTTTTCATGCTTTTTAAACCTTTGTTACCTTATATTCAAATTATTTTAACGTTAATTAGAAACAACTCATGCATTCGGTTCCTTGTTGTTAATTTATCTAATTTGAATTGTGAAAAATTTAGAATCTATCTTATCAACTGGCAAGGCAATCTCCCCCCCTCCCACCCACCCCCTACTCCCGACGTACTAAAGGAAAAAAGAAATATCTAAGATCTGAGTAGTATTTAATTTCTGGGTTTGCGTTAATGACCAGACTTTCAAGTCGGGAAGAAGAGGTTTTTTTTTTAAATTGTCTTTTCTAAAAATAATAATAAAAAAAATTAAAGCATGCAATTACGAGTGAATAAATAATCAAATTATTCCTCCCTTTAAAATAATGAAATACTAGTATTCGTACATTTTTTTTCGTCTCTGGGAGGTTGTAGCACAAGCTCTGTTCATGCTGTAGCTTCTGGTTTGTCAACCACGCTTTGTAACTTTTATGGCAGTTGTTTACTAATTTTAGTATTTTGAATTCTTCCAATTACCCTGCTTTGGCAAAAATAAGCAATTTTTGGATGAGTTTGAACGTGATAGCATGAAGTATCAAAACCGAGGTCTAAATTATCCACTGAGGGCGAAGGCTGAGTCAGATATACTCGGTGACGAGGTTTGATAATTCATGAAATAAAGCGAAAACAAAATTTGATAACTTTCTTGTTATACGTTTTTAGATAATCTGTAAAAAAAAAGCATTTCTTGCTGAATTTGCAAAAGTTTCAGAACATTACACGGACGAGGGGGAGGAAAACTAGGCAGACTTTGAACTCGACATAATATCCGCTGAAGATATTGCCTTATCATTTCAACTTCACACGCGATTGTATATTGATCGAATGCTCTCGACCAATCAGATTTTCCATAGTAAGTCTAATACATAAAGATATAATTTAGCGTATGCAACCGGGAGTATCAGAAATGAAATCTTTCTTACTTAGCGGAAGTCCAAGGAAGACTTCTGAATACACTACTGACGCAGGCTTTGTAGTTTATCATTAACCTTACAAGTGAGAACATACTACAGGTCCATAATCAAATATCGGGGATTTAGGTTCAAATGGTAGCATTCTGATCAAAATCATGTATCCTGCAACATTTGCTTAGTTTTGCGAAACTCAAGTGTGTTGCGACAATAGAATAACTACAGTCGAAAATCTATATTACTTTAGTAGACCTCATTTCGCTGCACTTTGAAATTATCGTCTCGCTTTGTAATACCTGCCATATTGTGTAATCATGAAATTGAAAAGTGTTTACTTTGTGATTTTCTTCCTCTTACTGTCTGACCAAGCTTTATTAAAGATAGTCATGTCAGAGCCGGATTCACAATCCAATATGATACTGCTTTTTAACTGGTTTTTTTAACATTTCTGATCATCTTTGTTTTCCATTAGTGATTTTGCCCTAAACGGCTTAAGAATAGGGATTATCAGGAAAGGAAAAGGTTGTACTTGATTTCAAAATAGATTTTATTGTAAGGAAAACAATAGTAATTTGCCTTCATTGGGCCTCACCAATGAGCAGCCATAACCGTTTACGAACGAGCAAGAAGGAATAACTCTGCCGATCATCTTAAATAAAACTAAACTTATCTTTAAAGCGACGACTTTATATTCAGATACATATGCATATCTCTCAGAGGGAATATTTGGCATTTTTATTGGTCTGTTAGTGATGGTACTTACCGTCTACTAACGCACCCTTAAATTGAAGTTTTTCTCACATTTGCGAGGGCTGTTTTGCAAAGATAAAATCTATCTTTTGATCATTGTTTAGACTATATTGCCTGATTTTTGTAAACAAAGAGTAGAAATTCACCAAAAAAAATTGATTTTCATGTAATTTTTGCCTTTCAAATAACTCCAAAGAGAAATATATCAAAACGCCCGCTTTGTTTTCTGTCTATGACAGGATTTTAGTGTCAATTCTATCGACTGTCAGTTGGTATTCATGACATCAATTTTTCATTCAATTTCGGCGGCGGAAATACTCAGTTATCAACCTCGTCATCTACCTTTTGGGTGATTTCATCGAATCACAAGCACATGCAATAATGCTTAATTTTTTTTGCAGAGAAAGGCTAATTCTCAGCACTAGAAGGCGAAAGGTCGCATCATGGATCAAGGGATTTTAACGAGTTTTACCTTCTATTCTTGGACAGCTGTGAATTTCTTCACGGACGCACCGTCTAGATCTTCAACATCTTCAGTGTGACTGGCTTAGGAAGGTAACTTTGAATTGATGTTGTAATTTGTGTGCATTAGGTATAATATCGGATTTGAAATATTTGTAAGATACGATTAAAGTTGCATTGAAATTTCAACTTTTGCTCTGGTGCATCTTCATAATTAGTCTCTCACACAAATACAGTTTCTTTTTCAAGTTACGCTTTAAAAAGGGAATCATGAAGGCAAACATTTCGGAAGTAATTTATATGAAATGCCCTCTTAAATAACATTTCTGTGAAGAACTGACCGTAATATAACATGTTATACTCATAATCTACTGTGTGATTCTTCACCAAATACTACAGTAAGATGTTAGATCATTGAAAAGGTCTCGAAAGTGGGAACAGAATTGATATTACATTTTAAAATCTAACCTTCACTTTTTTCGCCGTTCCTTTTCCAATATTTGAAATCATTCCGCGATGCAATCAATACGTGATTACTTATTTTCAAGGTATCATAGTTTGATTTAAGCTTATTTCGAGAGGAATTCCTTAGAATGTGTTTCTCTCCAAAAGGAAAGTAATTAGTAGAATACATACTTTGTTTCGAGCGTAACTCTATTTTTTTTATCGCAAAGAAATTATTAGCATAAAGCGCATCACGCTTTCCTCGACTTTCCGCCCCCATCAATCTCTTAAGTTTTGACGTCTCTTGCGTTTAAAATTACGAACACAGGGGCTCTTTAATTGCCTTCAATCATTAATACTGTTCCAAGACAAAGCGTTTGATGAAACATTTCTGTGAAAGCTTTCGAGGTATAGTGACAAAATTGCAAATTGACCTCAGGGGTGGGAAAGTTTACAAGTTCCAAAAATTTTCAACGGAATGAAAAAATTGGAAGCATTCTTATCTAAACAGGTAATCAAAATTAAAAGCTGCCTTTATTGTTGACGTTTAGTGTGAGAGGCCAGACAGAAAAATACAACATCAATATTCAAGAAAAATTTCTTGGGGGACATCCGGATCAGCTTTAACTAAAATATTACTGATGGGCTTTTTATGAAATGTCGGTTCTCAAAGAAATGTATTTCAAAACTATAAGTTTAATTGGAAAACACCAACAAAAAATATATGGTGATTCTAACGTGTATGCATAATAATCAGGCGTGGAGCAATTCTAGTGGGCTCTGAAGACAATCTTTTGCTATGCTTTCGTGTGTAGGCTTACTTGTTATATTGATCGCGAGTGAAAAAAAGTTTTTGGCTTCGTATTTTCTACGTTCAACACTTTTTGTTTCAAATCAGCGAAAAAAGATTAAAAAAAACAACATCAACAACAAGAAAAACCGAAAATAACAGAAAACAATAAATGAAAAACAAAGTACAACTGTTGTACTTGTCATCATGAGACATGCTGCAAACAGAGAAGTTCAGCATGATGTTTACGGTAAACAGGAAACGGCTACTAGACTTTTCACGTTTGGCGTTTTTCACTTCTTGCACTTCAGAGCGTATTTCTGAGGATATCGAGAATCGATGGACGGTCCCATAACAAATTCAGGAAAAAAAAAAGAATGTTTCCAACTAATTGTTTTAAAGGAGAAATTTCTAAAAGTTTCAAAATTCGAAGTACGAGCGGTTTTTACCTAATAAAATAAGCAAATTCAGTTTTCATCTTCCTTTAGGCGGCCTTCGGAAACGAAAAACCTATCCTACAAAACAAGACTGCACAAGTTATATACTATCCTTCCATTTTAAAAGGATTTCTAATAATTTCCTTGCAACGTCTTCAAACTATCTTACTTTACAATTACGGCACGAACTTGGAACGCACTTTACAAACAAAGAGCAGTGCGAAGCTCACGGCGCTGAAGTTTTTTTTCATTTTTTCAGATAATTCAGTCAATACAAAACAGTTGTTAAACCTCAAAAAAGGAATAAATAAGCTTCACTCCGAAGCACACGATTTATAATGCTTTACAAAAGCATAAAATAATAAACATTTTACTCATGTCTTCATAAAGGTGAAGCCTCCTTCCTTCACGTTGAAAACAGCATAGAACAAACAGCAAACTTCAAAAATAGCGGGAAAAATTGGTCAGGAGGTCATTTTGCTTTTTCCTGTTTTTCGTAAATGTCGTGCTTAACCTCACCCATGTTTCAAAGAGAAAACGTTGAAACAATTTTAATCATATGGACTACTTTAAATGCCAATGAAGAGGCTCTAAAGACCTTGGGATACCTAGTTGCAGTAAAAAAAAAAAAGAAAAAAAATTGTGGGAAACAAATTTTGTAACAAACTACTTGCAGCAAACGTCTACTTCCACTGTTTTCTTGTTTTCGTTTGGTGATTTTGGGAGATATGGGAGACTTGATCTACATTCTACATCTTAAATGAATTTACACACCAGAATATATTTTTTGTATCATGTGAAACATTCTAAAATTTCCAAAAATGCTATTGGTCAATGAGACGTCATGTCATGGAAACCGTTTTCTGTTTTTTAGCCAACTTGGATGCAAAATATTTTTCTCGCAAATGCCTCGACAAGATTTCTTTCAAACAATGCTCAAAATCAGGGGATTCTCAATGATCATCGTTTAAAGCTTACTGATTTACATAGACATTCAAAATAAATAAGCAATTGTCATTAGCTGAGATCAGTAACTTAGGCACTTTCAGTACAAAAAATCCCCTTTTAGTATTTGACGCACATTGAACGTGAGCTTTGCAAATTCAATAACGAACATGCTGATATTCATTTAAGGTTTAAAAAATAGCTTTTTTACCCGTGGTTAAACTTTAATTTATCGTGCCTTTGAAATTGTAAAAGTGAATATTCCATCGATAATGATATTTTATAATTAAGTTTAAAATGCAAATGAGATGTTGTTACCAACATTTGTGTTGCGTGAGGTCAGCGAGGTTTTTTAATTTCTATTTGTCTTGTTTTACTTATACTTGATACAATCAAAGTTTCCGATTTACACGGCACTTTTACTATCACATTAATTCAAACAGGATTCCGCTAAATTTACCTAATGTCCTTTCAAAACTCAAATTGCGAACTCATGTTGGGTTGGCGCCTGCTGTGTTTGAATCCGACATGAAAAGGAACATTATATTTTTAGAAACTACACTTTCACAGCAAATGTATTTTTGTTCATCATTTTTCCCGAAAAAGAGAAAAAGAAAAATCACACAGATCAAAAAGTCTATCACAGCGAATATTGTTCTGTTCTGTTTTGTCCAGTTTTCTTGAGGTCTTCGAGATAAGATTGATGTTTACATTTTCCTATTTCAATTACATATACATGTTCCCATATGGAAAATCTCCTAAATTTCTCTTAGCATTCAGTTTGGCCACAAAATCAAAAAAGCATTTTCTGGTGCAGTTGAGCTTTCTTTTCATATTTTTCAAAAATTCGTAGAGGACAACCTCAGAATGGCGTTTTCAACCACAAGAAATTTGCACACGGAAATCTGTGCAATTAACGCGCCTTGACTTCCTTCCTGAAATGACCCAATATTTCATTTTAGTCTTATTAACTTAAAAAGCCGCTAGTTTGATGGGAAAAGTACTTCCTCTGTTTACCTTTTTTTTTTTTACTCGCATTATTTTCATTTCGCTTAGATAGTCGATTGGTTTCATTTCAACAGGATGAAATTTTAATTTTTGATTCATGCAATACTTATTATTACGAATTGCTCTGGTTCTTACAAAAGGCAAACTTTACCGGATCGATTTGGTCAGATCTATTTGCATCAGGTATGACTGAAGAAAAACGTTGAAGTTATGTATGAAAGCAATATCACCCCTTGAACCTACATTTTAAGTCAAAGGCCGCATTGTTTGAGCAATTAAGGTGATTTCCTAATGTACATCTAGTTATCATTTGTCGTGCTAGATACCCCATGGTATCTAAAACAGTTGTCTATAACAGCTTATTTCTATCATTTTTTACGTTAATTCGAAGCACGTCCAATCTTCGAGTGGCTTTAGAAATATCGAGCCACCGCTAACAGCTTATGAACATCTGTTGAATTGCACGCTGGTTGAAGGCAGAACACCTTTTTTGATCAATATCTTTTCCTTTTAGATTAAGTTTTTCTTTTTACCTTTTTTTTCGTAAAATGTCAGTATCTAATAATGTTCGACGCAGAATATCAAAGATACCACTATATCAACGGATATTGCCCTGTACAGACGTAGAAACGTATCAGCTAAATGATGAAGCCTTTTATATTATCATTCTATGTTTTAGCTTTTTCCAATTAACAGCGAAACAGTTGGGGACACCATATTGATAAACCCCGAGGGCTCTATGAAAGGAACATCTAAAAGGATGCTCGGCTATTTCAGAGATGTCAATCTTTACTTTTTCTTCTTTTTTGGTGTTTCATAAACGGAATAAACCACATGAAAGGGTTCAGCTCTGTTGGAAAGCTGCTCCATATGGCTCTTTTGAAAGCTCTATGATCATAATTTGAATTCATCAGGTATAAAGCTTGTTGTCGTTTTGATAACGCTATCTATCTTCAATCCCTCGCAGAAGGAAGCGAGTACGAGGAGTTTCCAAATCTTCCCAAGAGATTAATTGAAGTTCACCAAAGGGCGTACGAAACGCATACCGACATCTCTCCAACTCTCACTCGAGGAAAGGCACAGGTAATAGTCTCGTTTTAAAGTCTCACAAGGTAAGGGCGAAGGAACATGTCGACCGAACTTTTACAGAATTGCTCTACAACACATTGTGGAAGCACAACATATAACTCAAATGTAACAAGCTCTGCTCAGACACATACCCTCGAAAATTACACTACGGCAAGGCTGGAAGAGGTAGATATGCCCCTCAAAGAGGTGTTAAAACTAAGTGTAGAATTGTTAATTGCTTTGTTCGGTGTAGTGGGTAACGTCTTCGTGACAATCATCATTAGTAAAATGGGCAAGAAAACAGGAGTGGATCTCTATCTTCTTAACTTGGCCATTGCAGATCTCAGCTACCTGTTGTTAACACTGCCTATAGGAATAATCAAACAGAAACTTCCATTTAAATGGCCTCTTGGAAAATTTTTTTGCCTGCTCCTGTGTCCTTTCACTGACGCAACCATCGGATCATCTATATGGTTTATTGCAATTATTGCCATTCAAAGATATAGAAAGGTCCTCGCTCTTCAAGCTAAACGCAGTGACGAAAAAAACACTTCCCTAAGAACAGATAAAATCGTAGTCGGGTTTGTGTGGGTGACGTCGTATTGCTTCTTTTCTATTCCACTCAACATTGTTTACAGATATCTGGAGAACGACCAAATGAAGTATTGTGGTCCAGTTTGGCCTCACTGGGATAAAACGCGTATTTTATTGCGCACGTATATCGCTGCTTTAACTTTGCTCTCTTATATATTGCCACTTTCTGTGATAGCACTGACTTATATTGGGATAGCACGCAGAATTTCTCGCAGTACCAAATTTCTGAAGGACATGAAAATGAAACAAAACGGCGATTCACAATCAAGTGATAAAGTTTTACGTTGGTCCAGAGTTGAGGCAGAGCGACTTCAGCAGAACAAACGAGTGAGGAAAGTCTTAACGCCTTTAGTTTTGATGTTTGCCATAACCATGCTTCCTTTAAATGCGATGCGTATTGTACTAGCTTCCTGGCCAGTGGTCGTCCATCATAGATACTATAATGATACCATATTCGTCCTTGTGTTATTTGTTGCGATCAATTCGTCTGCAAATCCTGTGATCTATTCACTGGTCAACAAAAACTTCCGCAAGGCACTGAAGGAACTAACACCTCGCCGACTACCTTGTTCCTTTAATTTTTTGTCACGTTCATGGCAACCTACTCAGCTATCTCATAATCAGATGCCCGCTTTTTACATAAACAAAACCTTTAAGACGTCGGAATCGGCGATTCCGAGTGCAACGTCGCAGATTTCACTGTTGGAACACTTCTCCCTTAAAACTGTCAGAAGCAGCACGTCCGCAATCACCACACCTTAGTAGGATCGAGGACCACGGCAATGCAGAGAATGGCGGCAAAAGAAAAAAGACTTTTGATGTGTTCTGTTTGCATAAGAACTGCTTTCATCTGGCTGCTAAAGACATATTTCTATGCCATTCATCTAGCATCTGCCATTTGCATAGCTGTCGATTATGTGTCACGGTTCTTCTTGTTTCCAAATTTTATTCCCTCAAACGCAGGCACTGTTCTGATCATTGAAAATTAGGTACCATGCGCTTTTTCACCGAGAAGAATTTTTTTTCTATTGATGGATTCTTGCCAGCGAGCAACCAACCTTGTAGCATAATGCCTCAAAACACTAAGACACACGAAACTGACCTTTCGTTTAGCCGACCTACTTTCACCGAGGATCGATTTTCAATCGCAAACTATGTTGAAAATGCTAAGGAGCGCCTTGGCGATCAATGGTAGTAGTTGTAGTAGTAGTAGTAGTAGTAGTAGTAGTAGTAGCAGTAATAGTAGTAGTAATAGTAGTAGTAGTAGTATAGTAAAAGCAGTAATGGTAGCGTTAGTAGTTGTAGTTGTTGTCCTTGTAATTTTTATTTTGTGTTGTCGTTAGTTGTCCTTGGTCAGACATATGCTCCTTCACTGAGCTTTGGCAAAAGTAAATGTGTCTACGCCACCAATAAGGATGAACATGTGGCTTCGCGTTTAATTTCAAAGTTTAAAACGCTTCTTTCCATGATTTTGTTCAAATAAATCAAGATTATCAAAATTATTTTAGTTTCAATTAACCCATTTTTAAATCACCGGTAATCCTTGCAGTGTGCTTGGCTCGTTCTATCGCTTGCTCTAAATCGCATTGTGTTTCCTCCAACCTATGCATGTGTGAACGAAATATTGAAAAAGAGAAGCAAATCAGATTTCAAAACTTGTTTCCAAAAAATGGGTGAATTTAACTTCCGGCTTTTTTTTTTTTTTAACAATCAGGCTCAGTGCTGGATCAAAGGAATATTGAAACTAACTAAAAATCCTATTTGGGAGATAGAACTTTGCGATTTCAAAATGGCTGTAGTGATAATTGAACTTCTCGCGATGCAACATCGCCCTTGTATAAGATAGTTAAGACTAATCCCTTAACAGTATCCGGCGAGACGTTTTAGAATTATTGTGCAAAAAAATGGCATTTTGTTTGGAATGAATGGTTACAAAGTGCCGTCGTAAGTTGTCCTTGGAAAACCTTAATTCCACCTAAATTAAAAAGATAACAGTAAGTTACTATTTGCTAATTAACTGTATTCAAATGTACCGGCTTGTCAGACTAAATCCTTGGCAAGAAGTGACATTAGTAGAACTGCTCCGGGGATTATTGAGATACGCGCACTTTGATTGGTCGCTGATTGCGTCATATGTCGCTTTAATCACCTCGCACGAGGTTATTAGAACAAGGGAGCTAAATTTCAAAATGGCTGCCTCACGTTTTTTTCAATGTTACGTGATAGAAGAAAATATTATTCTGAAACGCAAAAAAAAGCTAATAAGTTTGGCGTAACAATTTTCAACAGAAAGATATGATTTTTTTTGCAGGTGGAATGAATGAACCTGTAAAATTCCAGTGGAAACTGGCCGCTTATCTTGATACGAGTAATCCAAACAATGGTAAAAAGATTTACAATTTTGAATTTTCTTAGGCGAGTCTAAAACAGAATTCGAAAGCATCTCAGCAATTATACTAAAACAGTTATTCGCCTCAGGCTCAGTGAATATTGTTGAATAATCCCCTCGACTTCGTCTCGGTTATTATTCAACAATATTCACCGAGCCTGAGGCGAATAATTGCTAAATAATACTATGTAAAAAAAACTAATGCTATGGAGTTTGTAGAGGTTATACTGAAGTTACAATTTTAATTATGAAGAACGATCTTGTGACGCTTTGAACTATTAGTTAATGTTCAGTAACATTTGTAGTGGTAAGGTAAGACATTATGAAAGCCTACTAAAGCTATTGTTGTTGACACGTGATTTAACTCTTTCCATTCAACGGAGTTATAAATTAGCTTCCTGTACTTCGTTTACCGTGAACAAACAACTCCTTTAGCACAGACAATGCAGTACAGTTAACTGTAGGTTGACTTTTACATGACTGTGACAAGGAAGCTGACCATGTGGTAACCTAATTAACTGATCATTCACGGCCCAACTCCTCCACTCCACCCCCTTGTCAAGTTACGCCAAACTCTCAACCACCCTTGAGAAACTTAATCTAAATAGCTTCTTTAGTCAGATGGAACGAAATCATTACCCTTTAGTTTCTCCCGTCAATTTCGTAACTTAAAAAGAAAGATCAAACCGACCAAAGAAAGAAAAAAAAAACGTTTGCCTCCGCCAATCCACCCCATCAAAATTCGATGAAAACCTAGTTTTTAGAGGGTGCACACTAAGCGTATTTCATGAGGAATGCTAAGGTACCCGAAAACTCCTCTTTGTGTCATAATTTTTATGGTAATATTATAGATACCTTATTATTAGGGTTGGCGAGACTTCGTGACATCGAAAACTTTTCTTGGCATAGATTTTTCATTGCTTAATTTAGCATTAGCCCGTCCTTCGAGGTTTGTTTAAAACGGTGGAGCGACGGTGTAAGCTTCGTCACGAAAGAGGCTAAGAAATTGTGTTTTACATAAAAGAGGCTATTACGTTTAGATGACACTGACGTCTTGCTTTCTATTTTATCCGCCGGAAAATCAGAACCTTATCCAACACTTGTTCAGTTCAGGGATGCATACAAGGTTATTGTTCAACCGGTCATCCCTGCTTTTAAGATGGAAAATAGAAGCGTATTGAGGGAGGTGCTCCAGATGATTCTGTAGGATAAAAATTTACCTTTAGGACTGGAGCCAAAATGAAAAAGTCAATGAAAAGTCAATGAAACTTTTATTTGATATACAATATAGAGTCCAGCGACGACTCACCGCAAGCCAAGTTTTTGGTAGTGACTCTGTGTAGTTAGAGAAACGAAAAACATTCAGTTATTTTGCCAAGCACAATGGAAAGATCTTAAAACGATTATTCCGAAGGTTAAATTACAAAAGTGTGGCTATTTTACTTATTGAGTATTGGGTTTCGATAGATTCCCATTTTTGAAAAAACCCCGAGGCTCCGAACTTGTCGTAACCTATTTTAATTCCAACTATCTCTGTTACCTACAATACAGAATAACGCTCTTTCATTCCGACTTTCTTGGTGTTTTGTTTTCCCAATGTCTTTAACGATGTTGAATTCCCATAACAGAATATAACCAAATTGGATCCAAGATAAATCCATGGACGATAACTTTAATCAAAAGAAATCAAAAGCATAACGTGATAATAGGGGGATCGTTTAAAGAGACCTTGAACGTATCCCATGCACTTAACGAAAAATTTGCATTCAACTTATTTAGCATGACAAAAGAGAAATCGACGCAGGTATAATTTCTCTAGGATCGCCTTCCCGAGAGATGAATTTCCTAGCATCGATGCAAAAATGAAAGTGAAAAGGCAAATTAAAGAATAGTTATTATCCATTTAATTACCAATAATGTTATATCTCGACGAAATATTTTTGTGCTCAAAAACGTGAAGCTTTGCAAAGATTTAAAAAAGGGTGTGGCTAAGAGCTTCAGCCTGAAAGTGCACCTGTAGCACCGTTGTCAAAGTTCATTATTTGATACCCAGGTGAAGATTAATGTTTTTACAACTGAGAACAAGAAAAACAATACACGTTCCAATTAGTTTTGGCTCAAAGTTAGATACACGGACCTGCACGCTTAATGAGGTTCGAACAAAATGCATTCTAAAATCGGTCTGTTTATATTTCTTCAGTGTTTTCAGTTTGCCCAACCATTTTACGAAATCCCAAACAATCATGTGAAAAAACAGCTTTCTAGGAGAGTTTGTTTGCGTAGCGATTATTTAAGGCAGGCTAAATGGAAGCTAAAGGTGAACACAGAATGGCTTAAAACAACAAGAACATCTGGTTCCACTTACGCTGATGCAGGTCCTAGTTTCAAAAGATAAATACTTTATGCATGCTGGTTTGTGACTAATTTGTGCTCAAACCAGCTTTATTTATAAACCTCAGGTGAAGTAAACACAACAAGTTAATTTTGCCTCGAAAACGAGGAAATTCTCACGGTCCACTAAGCAACATCTATTGAACGTTTTTCTTGCCATGAAATGCATCAGAAATAAGGTTTCGGTCATTCTAATCGTAACTATTATAAGAAGGTTAAAGCATAAATACGGCTTTATTTTTCAGGGGGTTTTCTTTATAATTTGTTATAGCTAAGCTGTTAGCTGCAAACTGCTACGTTGCTGAGGCAAATTAATGGTATGACGTGCATGGGCGTGGACACAATAAAAATAATCACAGAGTCAGGAAAAAAAATCAAAAGCTGTTTGATAAACCAGCGTTTCTCTATAATTAGAACATTCGGTATTGTCTTGTTGTGATGTTTAGAAAAAATTAAATGTGATTAGAAAATTTAGTCTATCGCGCGCATAAATCTTGCACCTGATTTCACGGCCAGGCCGGAAACGTATAGATAAAATTTTAAAACATGGCATTTTCGTTCATATTGTTTGAATAGTTCCCTTCTCGATAAGAAATTGCTCCCAAAATATAACAACTAGTCTTTTTGTTTATCAGATTATATTGTTTTGATGAGAAATTTGTCTCACGAAAACTACACACCTCTTAAACTAATGTCGGTGAACTAGACGTTAAGGGTGCCTTTGTTTACCGTCATTACGATTCTTTCCTGAGATATCTAAATCTCGCATATTAGTGCAGAAGATATATGTAACTGAAGCGCAGAATTGAAGTATTTCTGTTCTTTTAATGTCTATCATGTCAATGGCATCTCTAGTTGTTGTGCGGCCACGAGAATACTGAATAACAATTCTTAGCTCTAGGCTCTTTCATAGGAAGACACTAATACTGTAACTTCAGGCTTATGATCACTAAACCTCCTTAAGAACATAAAAAAAAAAAAA